TATGACCTGAAAGCAATAGAATGGCAACGATAATGTCAGTAATACTAAGACTGCATGCAAACCAAATTCCACGGAACCAAGTGACCTTCTTCAATATGATTAGGACCAGGAGAACTGTGTTTAAAATGGTGCCAGCTGACAGGATTCCGATCGACCCAAAGCGACAGGAAGCAAAATCTGGACTAGTGACATTTGATGTTAGCATCACTGCCTGCGAACTGAAAGATAGACAAAGTCAAAAGAATCTTCTAAGTTCTATATTGCAACTCCCACGTGATTCTTGCATATGTTAGTGACACACGTGGAAGTAGAATGCTAGATCCCAAATTAGATTGTCCAGTTCTATTCTTGCAAGATTGACGGTAGAATTACTTTTTAATTTTCTTTCACTTCTGCAAACGGGTGACTATACCATGTTTACCTGCATTGTCTTGCACAATGACTTCAATATCTTGCAGAAAAGAAAATCTTCAATATCTAGATCATAAAATCTAAATCGTAACCAGTACAACGCTGTTGATGCGTTAGTCTCTCTTCCATTGCTCTCTTCCCCGAGAGGAATGTGCAGCTTTTCCAATGAAGGGTCTAAAATAAGTGAAATAGGTAATTTCCTCTTGATTTCTTATTCTTTAGCAATATCGTAAACATTTTCTCGTGCAAAACATTAATGCACAAAAAGTTAGTCAAGTGACTCTGCGATGTTTAAAGGCATTTTGACCCGTCAATCAACCGTTCAGAGTTCACAATTGGATTGAGAAAACATTAAAAATTTTACGAAATTGAATACGTAACAGTAGGTCTATTGTAAACTCCAACAAATGGTAATGGAAATGGGCATCGAAATGCGTCAGGACAAAGTACTACTTTTCTAGACCTGCTTGTGTAGTTAGTAGGATTGATACTTTGTTACCACTTCATGGTTGTAAATGCGCACGCGCACTGTGAATAGTATAAAAGGCCTTGTTACCGTAAATCCTCGAATTGTCCCCCCCCCCTCAAAAAAGCCCCCCCCCTCAAAAAAGCTCCTCCCCTCGAACAAGCCCCCACCCTAGAACTACAAATTGTTAATAAGCCCCTCTCCCCTCGAATAAGCCCCAACTGCTACCGTAAATTCTCAAATTGGACCTCTCAATTTGATGATTTTTGCCCTCTGAGGTTGTCTATGGCGTTTAATTGATGCTCATAAAGAAATTAAATGCTCATAAAGAAATTTCTACTAAAATAAACGAGGTCTTTTTTAATAATATCTTCTTAATGTCTACAATGATTTATAAGCCCCCCCTCGTATAAGCCCCCCTCGAATAACCCCCCATCCAAAAATATCAAAAATAAATAAGCCCCCACGGGGCTAATTCGAAAATTTACGGTATTGTAATTACATTTGCAACAAAAATTGCGTCAGATAAATTTTTGGCGCAAAACTTTGTCGATAAAAATCTCGGACAATTTTTCAGAATTTCGTCGTGGATATTAACACAGAGATAGCAAGTAGCATAACACCAAAATATTAGAGCAAAACCATACAGATTACTTTATATCCAATTCCATAGTTACCGACTTCGTGGAGACTTGGGGTTGAGCACCCTTTCGGAGTTTGGCTCAAACCCCTAGACAACTTTTTTCATACAGAACAGCATGTCAGGAAAATAAAATTTAAGCGGTATATTTACTCAGTTTATGCAAAGGTGGGGTCAAAAGAGATGATTTTAGCATAGAGTTGCTACTCTATATCCACACGGCGTGAAAGTTTATAGACAAAATATAATTAAAAGTATTAGTGTGAATATAAGTATAAGATTCGGAAAGCATAAGACCATCTCCAACAGGAAAAATTGGTCTGAAAATTTTGGTTCCTATAGAGTTCAGAACTTGGGTTGAAAAGTGCAAATACCTTGAAAGAATTAAAGAAATAGTGCAGTTGAGTATAAAAAGATGGAGGCTGAATCTTTTGAAACCGGTGACAAAAGACAGTTAGAACAGTAGCGTAGCCAGATTGGAGTAGGGGGGGGGGGGCAAAATACAAATTGGGATCCAAATACTTTTGAACGCCAGAAAACGCCCTTTCAAAGAGATCTTTTGTCATTGAGGGAGTGTCCAGCCCCTCTTGCCTCCCCCTTCCTACGCCACGTTAAAACTATTTCTATCAATCGATGGTAAAAACGAAGCTAATATAATGATGTCTACGATAAAGAAAATTATGAATATAAATGAGGAAAGCGACGTAATTGAAATTGAAAGGATTAAAAGGATATGCAAATTGGATTCCTGACCTCAAGTTAAAGTTTTTCTATGCGAATTCTCAAAAATCTTAAATCCAACAAATTTCGTCGTGACCAAATTTTATCACATTTTGAATTTAGTCGAAGAAAATTTCATCAAAATATTTGTCCGAAAGTAAACAAAATTTTTTGTAGTTAATGTAAGAGAGAGTTGTTGCGTTGTTGTTGAATGATAACCTTGTAATGATGTTTGTGTGTTAATAATGACAAAGTCGAGTTTCCCTTAGTGTAAAACTGAATGAAACATAAAGCTCTACCACACTTGAAAGGGGGGCGGGGGAGCAGGGATAATTAAATCGTATAGATTCATAAAACCTCATCACTAAACAACAAGACAGTTCCTGTCTTAAGAGAATAAAGCCAGATTTCCTAATCTCAATTTTAAAGAAAACCAAATTGATTTAAGAAATGGCAGTCACCAGATCTTTCTCCATTAACGTTAAAAGGTTCTCTAATTGGTATAATTGGGAATTAGCGTTGCTACAACCTGAATTATGTAACGATGCAAAGATGCAAGCAGAAAATTAGTTTGCCACTCAGAAAATGTGCTGGACACAATAGGCGTAAGGGTACCTCTATTACCCTGGCTGGTAGCCAGGGTAACCCTCTATAAACATTGAGATGTCTGAAATGGGACAAAATTTCTCCTGAAATCACCATAAAAATAGATTCGATGCAGTAAAAGAGAGGATTTTGACATTTAATGAGTGTCGAAGGCTTTTAATGATCGACAGTGTCGAAGGCTTTTTTCAAATCCAAGTACACAACACCAGATACATGACCTTTGTCCATGCTTTCAAGGAGGCTGTCCGTAAATTTTAAAAGAGCAGAGCTTGTAGACATTTTGTTTCTAAATCCGAACTGATCTTTGAAGAGGAGATTGTTTACTTGCAAGAATTCGTAAAACTGCTTATGAACTGCTCGCTTGATTATCTTGCTTATTGTAGGTAAGATTGAAATGGGTCTGTAATTGTCACAGTTACTATTATCGCCACTCTTGAATAAAGCTACAACTTTCGCCGATTTCCAGTTTTTGGGAAATTTGCCTTCAAGAAATGATTTGTTTATTAAGGCTTGTAGGGATAGTGCAACGATGTAAGCGGAGTCTTTCAATAACCTTGCGCTGATTTTGTCTAAGCCAATTGCTTTGTTTGTTTTTAAGTTTTGCAGTTGGATTTTTACGAAATTGCTTGTTACGAGGTCCAGTTGGAAACTCTTATCAGTTTTCTTTTGCAAAATTCCGCTTGCATCTTTAATTTATTTCCCAAAGGCCTTTGCAATTTTTTGACCTATAGTTGTAAAATGTTTGTTAAACACTTCAGCAACTTGAACTGGTTTAGAAAGGACTTTCTTTCCGGATTTGATAACAGAAACAGAATGGTTGGCTGACTGAGAAAGGGCATCTTTTAAAGATTTCCACTTACGCGAACTGTCGTTTTTGTTCTCTTCAATCATTTTGCAAAAGTGCTCTGATTTCAGCCTCTTCTCCAAACGATTTATGTGATTGCGCAAGCATTATAATAAATAGGACGTAGGCCATCTTCAGAAAGATAATAATAATGAAAACTTTTCATTTTCAATTCAATTAAAACTACAATTACAAATTTCACTATCACAAAGGTAATTTGCAATTGGCTAGCCTGGGTTTACAAAGAAAAAGACTAATTCCAGCACAAACAACAGAAATTAACAAAAAAGGGAAAAAGTGTGTTCGTCATTGATTGTTTTAAAAGAGATCGTTAGAATTGAAGAAGTTCAGGATTATTCCAAGACTTATTTCTGCGGCAGAAAATGTAATAGGTAGTACGGATAGTTAAGTTGGATAGTTTGGGGATCATGAAGCGGATATGATTCTCGCTGATATCTAGAGCCTTGCATATGTCGATGAAAGAGGAGCAGGAGAGACCAAAGATACCAAGGGAACTGATAGAAAGATTAACAAACGTGATTGAAGAATAGGCTGAGCTTAGGCTGTGAACGAGATGCGAGTTTTCTCTCTTTTGCGATTAGCATTAACATCGAAGTTAGTTTCGTATCCTACTGTAAGCTCGAGTATGAATAGGCAATGGCCAGAAGTGACTAGAAGTGAATCAGGACGAAAATATTGGGACGAAAAAATGTTATGATAGAGGGTGAAAGATAACCTGAAAAGTCTACGTAAAGAGACCAGTTAGGGATAGCTTTAAAAGACTGTGCTAGGAAGTTTAATGCAGAGTTGTGGTGCCATGTGTAACGGCCTTCTTCGAGTTATGTTTTGCAGCCTGCAAAAATGTGAAGTAACGTTTCTCTTGCACATGCAAAAAAGAGCAATCAGACGACTGAGTAATGTTCCATTTAGATAGGTTTTTCTTTGGCAAGGGAGTTGATACGATATTTGATAGTAAAACTGTATATGTTCTTGGGTCATGTTGCTATGAACCGTGGTACATATTTTAGAGGCCATAGGATGAGAGTGGTCACAATGAAGGATGTTTTGAAGGCGCTCTTTATGTTCTCAGCCTTCAATACTTCTCTAGTATTCCTGTAAACATCATATTGGATGTTCATGCTCTGGCTGGTATTCTTCCACAAAGATTGGATGTTTTTGTAGAGAGAGGATTTCAGTGCATTACGATAAACAGTTTGGCACTGCATGAATTCAACAGAAGGAAGAATCAAATTAAGACCGAACTGGTGACAGAATAATGCCACTTAAGGTAGCACTTATGGGTAAATCGAGGCAACGGCGGATAAAAGCAGAAACTGGATCATCAAGATTTTCGACGATCCAGGCTTTTGATAGATCGTCTACTGTGAGGTTCCACGAAACTTATGACAGAAGATAGCTGTTATAACTGCTATATACTACAATTAAATGTTACAATCAAAGAAAAATATGATAAATATGTAAGACTGTTTAGAAGCATAAATTAATTTTAACTGTTCATGCCCCTTAATGCTGTTTTTAGACTGGGGTACTTTTAGACAAGCCTCTACAATTGGTATTAAAACAACGATACACAGTTGGATACACTTATAAAAAATGGGAATCCGAACCTCTTCAAATTCAAAATGTTTATTCGAAAGTAAACAGAGAGTGACTTACCTCAGCCTACTATTGAAGTTTGCATGCCCACTTACGAATTTTTCCGGCAGTGTTGTTTTTATTGGTATGAAAATTTCTTGATTATATTAGCACACTTAATTAATGGAAGGACACTTTCTGACATAATCAAGTATTGACATCATCTTTGATAATTTAGGGTGATTTCTTTCACATGAAATGAAATTTGCGATGCTGTTTATGGAAGCGAGAGCGTGCAAAAACAATTACTGGAGGGCCATTTTCTGAATAGGCCAAAACTTGTCGCATCTGGTCATGATGATAATATAGCCAATATGCTAAGGTAAAACTCGATAAAGAAGTGTTACTAGCGTTGGTGGGTCATCAAAACGATAATGCTATATGTTTTATTCGAATTACGCCCAAAAGGTTATTAAATTAGAATTTGGTTATTAAATTCAAATAGACACCCAAAAGGTCATTAAATTAGAATTTGGTACGAATCAAGTCAAATAACACGTGGCTGTAAGAAAAATTTTTCTAACTACTTCAATTGAACTGGTAGCTGATAACTGCATGTTGATAAACACTGATGGTGTCATCAACAAATAAATTTTGATTTTATTCAAACTGTTATCTCAATTCTTTGATACACTCTTTTTTTGTAAGAGTACTATAAATTTTGTCCAGCTTTAATGTTCTAAAGAAACTTTTGTTTTGAGCCTTGATATATTCTTAAAGCTATCTTTCATTTTTCAAATCTGACATGTTTTCAGGGGAGCATTGCCCACTCTCGATTAAAAACAATGCTTTTTGAAAACGAAATATGTCAGCTCTGAAACTCCTTGTTTTGAACATAGCAAAGCAGGCAACTTTTGAAAAATATGACAGAAATGTTCGATTTGAAACTGTGTAATAACTTGAATAAAATTTTAATATTCTTCAAAAAAGAAAGATTCTGACACCAATAATCTTTAAACAATATTCTTAAAAATGCTATTCATAAAAAGTGGATGATTCCAAGTCAGAATTTTCTTAAAAATCATAAATAATATCTTAAAAAGAGTGTAAATCAGTTGATACTCCCTACCACACATTCAGAAAAGCTCGAAATTTAGTTTCAACAAGGGTTTGCTTGCTACAGACAAAATTGTGGCCTGCTAACATCAGGACTTTCAAGATAGGTAGATGTCATTGCCTGCTAACATCAGGATCAGATCAATCAGGACCCGCTACCGAGTAAACAGGATCTATCCCAGCTCAAACTGGTACACTTTCAAAACGACACAAACGGGTATTGATAACAGGTTTAAATGGGTTTGGATTCGCAGGATGCATCAAACGGAAGATAGATCAGTATCTGTTTGGATGCATTGTGCTTAATATACTTTTAGCATTAAGACTTCCTTTCACCAATTAAGTCGAAGTTATAAATGAATTAAGTTTGGAAACATCTCTTGTTCTTGTTTTTCTAAACAAGCCTGATATAAAATTAGAACAACTGGGACAGATAATTGAAAAATGTTGTAGTTGAAGTTTTGATGATGTTTTTAAAAGGGCAATTTCAACGAAATTGTACAAAAAGTTGCTCAAAAATTCAAATCTATGGAACTTAATAAAAATTCTAGCAGGCAATATTGAGTTAATTTTTCAAAAAAGATTTCTCTGATTCTTATCGATTCTTTTGTGTAGGTCACATGCCTATGCTTCTCCACAGTTGGTAATTGTTCTTCAAATTTCCAAAATTTGAATGAAATAAAAAAGATCAAAAGCTGAGGAAGAAAATTTTGAGAAACACATTTTTTTGGCTCACTTTTTTAAAAAAAACTATAATGGTACATGTCTGATTACTTACTGTTACAAAAGTTAATTTGTATTGTCATTGTTTTTATCATCCACTGTCACTGTCTCTATTTCATTTTCTTTTATGGATTGAGTAGAAGGAAGATCTTTTGCCACTTGTGCTACAGCATTTGACAAGTAATCAGACAAAGGCTTAAATGGTTGGTTACTTGGGGTGAAGAAGTTGAAGCTTCTACGTGACAGAAGCCTTAGCGCCCTCCATCCAAACTCACTCTTGTTAACAAGTTTATATTCTTCTTCTATCCCTGCCTCTGGATCAGCTTGTTCTATGGCTTCCTCAAAAAAATCTTGAAGGGTTGGCAGAAACTTTGTTCTGTTTTCAGCCTTGCAAGCTTCTAGGTTATCAGGACAGACATTCCACAATCTTGTCAACTCATCACTTCCTAAGTCAATCTTTGATCTTTTGCTACTGGCCAAATCATCACCTATGCTTTTTCTTCTTGAGCGTTTGGCACTAATTTCACTGTCCTTCTTAGCAAAGCTAGGGCATCCATCATTTTTCCAGTTGATCCAATTTTCTTCTCGCTTAAGTACATGCAACACTGTGTTGGCAAACTTCTCTCCTTCAGGTGGTATCTCACTCAAAAGACTTACAACTTTACTCCTTGTCTCAGTTACCCACTGCTGTTGCTGCTCATTTAGTACCTGATTGGGTTTTGTGTTAGCAACCAAATACTGAAATAAAATTAGAAATTGCACAAGCAGGTGTCTTCTAAAGTTTGTGTCACTCAATTGTAAGTCCATAAGGTTTTCATTTGTTAAAAATTTTGGAAAGTATTGGTGAGCTTTATCTCCTTCTTTAATGATGTCAGTGATTGTGATGTTTGCTTTGATGTTTGAGCCCTTCTTTCTTCTTTGCACATATTCCAATTTGTAGCTTGAAAATGTTTTCAGTACCTGCAAAGATAAAACATCAAAGGTTCATTTGCTAAAATTTTAACCAATAAAGAAATTATCTAATTACTTCATATGCCATCAACACTTCAAATTATAAAGAATTTTCAATAGGATGTAAATTTTTTAAGAATACAGATTTATTTTGAACATCCATTTTCCATCCTTTTCCACATCAGCTGCAAAGGAACTTTCAATTTGTTGCCATGATTTTGTCTTCCCCTAACATAACATGCAATAGCTATAGTTTAAAGCTTATAATGAAATCATCACAACTGCTAAATCCCCTAGCATAGGATGTCAGGCACTATTTGGCAGACCAGCTTGCAGAGTTGATCGTCAGAGAACCATTTGTATCGAAATATTCAAGATAATCAAAAATTTGAATCCACCTTTTATGCATAGCATTTTTAGTTCAAGAGCTTTGAAAAATCCTTCTCAAAATCCTAACAATTCAAATCATTTTCAACAAAACCAAGTAATATTCTGAAATGAACTAAAATCAGCTGACAATCTCAATAGATTTAAAAGTAGGATAAAACGATGGGATGGTCCTAGCTGTAAATGCAATATTTCATTTATTTATATAACATATTTATTTCCTTAGTTATTTTCTTTTGCATTAGTTGTATGTGTATATATCCATACATATACATATGTGTATACATCCATATATCCATATATCCATAATCGCTCTGATAAGTTGAGCACTCTAGACAGAATTATGCTAATTACTATAATATTTAAATATACATATATCCATATATAATATATATATATATGTATAGCTAGAAGCAATATCAAATTAAAATAAGGTTACAGACAAACAAACAAACAAACAAACAAACAAACAAACAAACAAACAAACAAAAAAAACAAAAAAACAAACGAACAAACAGAGCAAACAAGAGTATGACCAATTTCGACAAGATATCCGGTGTGCCAACAATCCCAATATCAGGTGCATGAGTGCAAAAAATCATAAAATGTCAGGTTCTATAGCACTATCAACTTTTGCAGATTTTAATATAGATCTAGTGTGTAATTGTCATGCTCTGCATACCAGTTGGCAGACATGTTGCTGCAGAAAAAAGAAAGAAAAACAAACTAAACAATAAAAGATTTCAACAATTTCGTGAAAGTGCAAATGGCATGGGGTCAAGTGGAGCTGCAATCAGGCAAGCAGGTAATAATGCATGCTGATCTCTACCTTAACCTTGAGCTTATTCTTAGGTCCTGAATAAGCAGGGGGTCCTAAAAAGCAGGGGGTCCTAAAAAGCAGGGGGGTGCAGTTGGAAAATTTCTTAAAATTCAATAAGCAGGGGACACATATTCGGGACCAAAGAGCCAGGGTGCATTCCATGTTAGACCCAGGCCAGAGAAATTTCAACCTATTCTAGTTGCTACGCCAAGTGTAAAACATACAAGCTTTCGATTAATCTATAGTTTGCATTGCTTTTACTGTCCATATCAATATAATCAGGCTGTCCACGTATTCTGTACAAGTACCGTTTTTGCTACGCCGATCACGAAAATTTATCACTTACACCAATGCGCCAAGGCTCGCAAATAGCAAATTTCACGCCACTACGCCGAGGTAAAAGCTAAGTCCATGCCGGAGATCTCCGGCGTAAACTACATGGAATGCACCCTGGCCTAAGAGTATGTATGGCTTTGCATTAGAGGCCATATGTCGAGAGGTATGCTAGTGCATTAGATTGGCAAATATTACTCACCTGTACTGTATTAACTTTAAGATTTCTCCATCCAATTGGTGTGTAGCATTTTGTTGGGTTGCTAAAATACTCTTGCAAGCTCCAAAGCTTTGCATACAAATCAAAGTCAATTGGACTTGATGATGGCAGCTCGCCCTCTTCAGTGTCCATATGAACGGTGTTAGATCCATCACTTACACCATTATCACTTCTGCTCTTCTTAAACAAAGTGACATTTTCAGTGTTAAAATGACTCATCAGATTTAAGGCAGATCTTTCTTCTAATGGAAAAAATCTTGCCAAAAACAACTGAATCCTTCCACAGAAAATAGTGTTCTGTGATTTAGATAATCTGCGCAATATATCGTTGCACATCCTGAGAAGATGGTTTTTACAAGAAGCAAAGAACGATTCAGATGTCAAGAATGAAACACTTTCCTCTAGGAAATTGAACAGCTCGCAGCACCTGTCTATAGTCAGTGTCTCGAAAATATCGGCTAGCAGCAGAACAGGTGTACTGGTAGTGCAAATATTATTCTTTGCACAGGAAATTGCAAACTTTACCATAGAGATGGCTAGGCCTAAATCAATTTCATCCGACAACTTCAAAACCTCCAGTTGAAGACATTCCTTGAATGCCTGATCACAACAGGCCTTTTTGTCAAGATCTGATCCATGAGGTATATTAGAAAATGTTCTCTCAATTTCATCGGTTTGAATGTCATTTTCTCTTTGAGTAATACATTCGCAGAATGCTGCTTTAGTACTGGCAAAACTAAATGTTTCAACCGCCATTTTGAATGCCTTTACTTTACTTCGACTGGCGCAGTTTGTTCCCTCGCAGAGGGCTCGGATCGGATTCTGTACACTGTGAAGAAATGAAGTGAAGAAATGTCAAAATTCCCTGTCCAATAGCCTTAAAAATGCTTTCAGACTACACTCTGTCGAAAAAATCTGTCTTTGATTAAAACAATATTGAATGCTTCTATTACTGATACCCAGTCAACAATCAAGGCAATATTAAGAAATGATCTTAATTTTTGAATGTTTGTACAACTTGACAATTCTTCAAACTTAAATTTTTTCAAAAATAGACACTGATTTTTTATAGAGATAGGACACGAGTCAACATTTTTGCCTGATGTGAAGCAAAAACAAAATCCCCCTTCCAAGTTCCAATGCACGTGCAATGTAAAAGAAAAGACAGAAATTTACCGCCATTGGTCCCAGTCTTCCAGCGTCGTAATGATATGAGCATGCGTACTCATGTAAAACAAAAACGTCGATTGCCATATGCATGGCCTAGGCACAGGCTAGTTGTGACTTTGACTAAATTTGGTATAAAAACCTTGACGCAACGAGACTGCCTGGCTAGCACATATTAAGCAAATGCCTTGATTGAAGGACGCTTTTTAAAGAGAAATCATGGCGGATGCATCAGCAAGATCACGTCAGTACGTATACAAAGAGGTGAGCGCATAATATAGATTTTTGTTACACCACATTAAATGTCATTTGCATTGTGCTATGTTAGCATGCAAGTAAGATGTATTTTGTCATACTTCATGTACTTCTGTAAATATTGTCAAGTTCTTCAATTCTATTTTTTGATATATCTTAATCGTGGGTTATTTTCTGCTGCTGTGATGTCATCATATCATACATAATAATCATTTGGCTCAGAGTCAGACCGCGCAGAGGGCTCCAACCAACTGGTATTATTAAAGACAACGACGAGTGAATAGTAGTTATGAATGAGATTTTATTCAGATATATAATTTCATAAAGCCCTTTGCATGCATGCTAAGCTTTTTCAGGAAAATGTATCAGCCCCAATTAATTGCCCAGGATGACCTCATGGGTTTCTCTACCCTGATACTGAAAAACTTGGTTTTGCCATGTAATAAATCAAAATATGCATGACTTTTTTAGGTATCTTGCTGCACCACCATTAAAGCATCTGCATACAAATGTTTAATGCTTATAAATATATTTTATGTCCACATCCATATAGTAAAGCAAAATCCAAGGGTCCCTGCTATTGAAGATTTGAAATTTTTCATGAAATTTCAAATTTTGACGTGCAAAGCTAGCCATTCTGAAATGATCTTGTGCGTGCATTTGCCATAATCTGCAGACCGGGTTTCTTAGAGGCCTAATAACTAGTTTTTTCATTTCAGAATTCCAATCTTGTTTTGCAAGCTGACTTGTCCCTTATTGAAAGAAGAGGTAGAAATGAGGCAACAGGGGAAGTTTTGTCACTTGTTGGCCACCTTCAAGGAACAAAGATGGGTGACAGAGCCCTAAGAGCTCAAGCACCTGAGTTGAAAGAAAAGAAGGCCAAGTAAGTTTTTATGAACAGCTGTTTCCTAAATGTAATTCGGTGTCAACTAAAGTGTCTTAACCCTTTAACTCCCATCAATGTCAATTGGTGTCAAAGATTATTTGGCTCGATTCCCCAGGAAGGTCAGATGACATCGCACATATTTTGCATACTTTCCCTCGACTGTTGTCTGATGCTTGGAACTTTTGTTGCTTAGTTTTTCTTTGTTTTTATGCAAAATGTATATGGTCACATATTGAAATTGTGAGAAAAAATGATCTGGGGAAAAAAGCTAAAATCATGAAAAGGAAGCTGGGGTGAAGTGCATTAGAATGCAATAATGTCCAGTCTTTGTAATATGAAAATAGGCCGCGTGCGGCATTTCGCACGCCTTGGTTACTTTGCGCGTGCGATGGCGTGCGATGCGAACCGCTTTTTATCGGTTGTTTCTCATCCCTGTTGTCAAGAACTGGGTGCTGCTTTTAAGGAGACCTTTTGTGTTATAAACTGAACGGAAACCAAGGTAATTGACGGAGAAACTGTTCTTGTTCTTTTTAAAGATGTTAAATTTAATTAGTCACTTAAAGAAATCTGGATTGAAAAAAAATTCTATTACCCGTAGACTCTACTCAAATTCTATTACCCATGAATATCTTAGCGGATATTCATAAAAAATATCTTACCGTTAGATCGGTATTCCTTTGGAATTGAGCTAACAATCAAATGAGAAGGTAGAGAAATGACACAAACGTCGAAATGAACACACTTTTTTTGGGCACAAAAACAAGTTTAAAATAATTTGAAAATAAGTACAGTCACCGTCACTTTTCTTCATCAGAGCTTTCTTCAGCTTCCTCCTCCTTTTCTAGCTTTGGTTCCTTCGATAAACTGTTGCACTTATCCAGCTTTCGCTTTCTGCATTTCGAAAGATAGATCTCCGTTGCCCTTTTCAAAATATTCTCCCTTTCTTCGTCAGTCCATATAATGTCATTGACTTCGATGCGAAGTCTCACCTCCATAACCCTATGTGAAATTCGTAATCTTCTATCTGACAATAAAATGCTGAGAATACTGAATGCTCTCTCTACCGATGAATTGGAGCCAGATATTGCAACCATTATCTTTGCCAGAATGCACAGGTTGGGGTACTCGTCTGCCCTGTAAGAAAGCGTATTTTTCCACAGCTTTCTTGCTTCAATCCCACAAGCATTATATTGTACGTATTTTTTGAATGACTTCCATTCCTTGGGAGCTTTCGAAACGTTAAACTTCGTCTCGCTGAGGGGGGAGGGGGGGGGGGTTGAAAATAGCTGCAAAAGCAGTGATCTCTGGGACCCCGTAATCCTTGTTGTCGTTCCATTGCTTTCGAGCAAACAACTTCATCGTACTAAACACGCCATCAGCATCATCGAAGTAGCATCATCCTTTTCCGACTTGAAAACAAAAATTTCGTTCTTTCCTCAACCAATGAATGTTGCCAGCTCCACTTTCTTTCTTTTCGCCATGATTACCGAAGAACAGAATAATCAATCGAACAGTGAAAACATCTCTTGGATCGAAAATTTAAGTTGCCGGGTTTTGACAGTAAGCACCAGGTATTGACTGGAGATTAATCCCCCTTGGGTCAACTGTTAAGCGATCTTTTTGACGCTGTTGTTAGATCCCTTTTTGGAATACTTTAACAACACCTTGGACAACGACAGAACCGATCGCACGCCTCATATTACAAAGACTGAATGTCTGGGAGGGAATGGGTTGAAATAACATGCAAAGAACAAGCACAGAAAGAGTTGAGTTGTGAAACACTGAATATGATTGTAGAACTGACCTGATTACTGTTCAAATTACAGGACAGCTCTAAATGGCTACTCCAATTTAATGCAATCATCAAAACATTAAGTTGCTACTCCAAGTTTAATTCAATCATCAGAACACTTGCCTGTTGATCTTAGTAAGAGTGAAACATCATAATGTTAATTTTTTCTCGAGCATGTCCCATCAACCAATCTTCTTTATTACATTACGTTCTACTATGCGTTATTCTATTGATTAGTTGTATGAGCACCTCATCAATATCAAGCCTACATAATATGGTGAATCCATTGTATGCTCCTTACATTAGACTGTTTTTGACAAGGCAATGTTAGTTTGATTTAATCTTACATCGTCACTAGGATCTCAAACCAGATCTATCAATAGACCAATTCAACTTACAACCTTTGTTTTGAAAATTCTGTTGTACCAAATTTTTGACATATCCATGTTAATCGTAAATATGAAGGAATATACATTATTTGTGTTGATGTTAAATGGTTTATAGCTGGTTTTCCTTCTGGGTTGAAGTATTTTTAACAGACCAATTCAACTTACAACCTCGTTTTGAAAAGTCTCCAAATTCTTTTGTACCAAATGTTTGACCTCAGCTTCGGATTGACAGCAATGATTTTTAGTCTACTTGGAAGTTTGCAGTATGATATTGCTCACAATATTGAATTTATGATGACATAAAGATAAAAATTTTATAAGGGATTTGACTTGATTGGCAACTAGGGGGGTAAAGTTTCCCCTTGAACGATTTTTGCGGTCAAATCCCTTACAAGTTGTTTAAATTTGTTTCTTCGTAAAATCTAAATTACAAGCACAAACATAATGGAAATTTGTATCTGGCCTAAAATTATGGCGTTTAAACCAAATCTGAGCTTAAAAAAGTTGTGCAATAAAGTTTGGAGAAATTTCCAAAAAAAAAGCAGTAAGTTGAATTGGTGTTTTGCACAGGATTTTTCCATTTCTTTACTTGTAAATTTTTTACCCCTAGAAAGCAGAAAAAGGTAGACAGTGATGAAACTCTCTCAAAAATGAGAACATCAACATTATTATCAGGAGATGCAGAGGACATTTCTGGTATATACTACCATCCTAAGACAAGAGAAACCAAACACACATATGAAGTTCTGCTCAGCTTCATTCAAGCTGCTATTGGAGATCAGGTAGTTTTTCAGTTTCATTTTACTCTTACTTGGGTTGCCATTGTTGAAACTATTCTATCTATGTATGTTTTGTTTAAAGTAATGAAGGGTATCTGTTTCTTTATACCCAAACTGACTGCCAATTAATGCTCAGTCAACAATTGCCTATGAAAACCTGTGCAAATGTTTTCAAATTATGTAATCTTCTTTCTTGACTTAGATCATAACCTTGAAGGTTCAAATATTGGTTAGAAAATATTAAGCATATTAAGAATGGAAACTTGACAGGAAATATCTTAGAAACTCTATTCTCTTTTCATTTATTTTGGGGTATATTATATATCTTACTCAACATTATCTTTTGAAAAGTGGTAGATTCAGGTTTTCTAGTCATGTAGGAAAGTTGAGAATCAAAACATTTACCAACATTATTGTTGAAGTAGCTTTATTTCATTTCACACACTTTTTGGGGGTATAACATCTACAAAGCTGTCATTTAATTTGCCTGTGTATTAATAGGCATTTTGAATTTCAATTTTTCAGCCACGGGATATTTTGTGTGGTGCAGCAGATGAAGTTCTTTTTGCCCTAAAAGATGACAAACTCAGAGTAAGTTTTCAAAAGACGTATTTTTATTTGAATTTAGTTACTCTGATGAATCCTTGCAGGTTGTGGTGCAAAGTTTGTGAAATTCATCAACTTGAATATTGAATTTCTTTTTACAATTTGTTGGTTTCTTCTTCACTAGGTTTTTTTTCTTTTGCTCACTGTGTGGAGACTTGATTACCGATTTGTTCAACTTATACAGATTTAGTTTAATTTCCAAAGTTCTTGTAAATTGACAATAGAAAACATTTTTAAGAGGTTTAGCTACATAATGATATGGAGTAGGAAGTTTGCAGTTTTATTGCCATTAGAATGAATTAGTCAATACTCTCAGTAGGAGCTAGTTAGCTGGTAGACAGTCTTATGTGCAACTTTTTACCAATAAAATTTTCATAACAATCTCATGTAACATCATTTTTGTTTTAGGACAAAGACAAGAAGAAGGAAATCACAGCACTTCTTGGAGATGTGCCAGATGAGAGATTTGCATTGCTTGTCAACTTGGGTAAAAAAATTTCTGACTATGCTGTGGACAGGGATGCTGGTGGTGATGGTAAGAAGGCAATATTTTATTTTAATCTAGGATTCTTTGATTTTTGAACACAAGCCCATTAAATGGATAACTAACTTTACACATTTGGCAAGTATTTTTGACTAAAAAATAAAAAAAAATAAAAAAATTAAAAAAAAATTAAAAAAGTTAAAAAAGTTCAAAAAAATTAAAATGAATGGAAAAAATAAAAACATTCAAATAAATTTAAAAAAAAATAAAAGAATTCTAAAAAATTAAAAAAAACAATAACTTAAAATAAATTAAGGAAACAATTAAAAGAATCCAAAATAATTCAACAAAAGAAAGAAAAGTCGAAAAAATAGAGAATATAAAAAAAAATTCAAGAAATAAAAAAATGGAAATTATATATGTATAAAAAAAATAGAATAAAAACTAGTCAACCAAAAATAAAATTAATTGAATAAATGGATAGCTCTAGTAGCAACTAGTCAATTCATATGAAATTTTTATTGAGCAAGAATTGACATCATAACAGAAACAAATTGCAGAAACAAAAAAGACAGTATTTTCACCAATGCTGTTTGGAAAGTTATACTTAAAATTGACCTTAGGGAGCAGCTACTTACTAGAGACTGTGACTCTGCTTTCACTGACTCCTACTATTTGGAGGTTGAACTTCACAGCAAATGGCATTACTTTTAGTTCAGTCAGACTTAATAGTTTCATAAACATTTTACTCCAAAAGCTTTTACAGGATCTAAGACAGGTGCCATGAGAATGAAAAGACAAGAGCAAAACGTTCACTTAAAACAATGAAACTTGAATCAAAAGTTAATATTGTTTAGGTGTTTAAGGGAATTTTTTTAAGTATGGCCGTTGCAATGAATTCTAAACTAAAATATTAACCTTTCTTCTCTTCCAGATGATATGATCGATGAGAACTACGGTGTCGCAGTGCAGTTTGATGAAGATGAAGAAGAGGTTTGTATCATTTGATTTGACCTCAGCTCAGTGTGTAAGTGTTGTGTATACAGACAACCATTGGCCAGACTTTCTGGCTCTTTTGTCTAACAATCTCGAGCCTCTGAAAAATTTTGATAGTTTTGAATTAGTTTGGTGCAGAATCATAGAACAACATATGTTGAAAGATCAGGGAGATAAATGAAGGGTTGCAGTTAATCTTTGTATACTGTTTTTTCTGTATTATGTTATTTCTGTCTCAGGAACAAGAAGTGGACGAAATAAAAGAAGAATCAGAGGAAGAGGATGACGGAGAAATAATGGAGGTTGATGAAGGCTCGAGCACATTGAGAGGAAATGTAAATGATTTCACCATCTCTTTTAATCTTAACTATTTGTCCCATGTTCAGGGTGAGCTGTTGAAAACGCTATGTAATACTTGCAAATGATTTAATATTTACAATTTGTGTTGGTATTTCTTGTATGTGCGTTATGCATTATGTTGTGAAGCATAGTATGTGCGTATTATATATAATGCTCTTAGATACGTTTAGGCTCTTTCACCTAATACAGGATCATTTTCCAAATGTTGCTACTTTGTCTTGCTTTTCTGGTGGCTAATATATGCTTAAGATTTCCTATTACACTAGATAGAACCCTATTGATGTAAATTTGGTTAAAATCATGCAAAGTTTCATATTTATTTCTATTAAGCTCGATATGGACGAGAAAGCGGCGAGAAGGGCTGAAGAAGAGTTAAATGCCCATCAAATCGATGCCTTTTGGCTTCAGAGAGAATTGAACAAGTTTTACAATGATGCAGAAGTTTCTCAGGAAAAGTCTGTTGAGGTGCTGGATGCGCTCAAGGTGTGTATAGATATTCATTGTACTCGGGCTTTATGAATTGTAAATTTTTACTTCACTTTGCAGAGTTTGGTGCCGTGACCAAAGCATGGCTTGTTTTTTACAGGTGTTGTCGCCTTATTAGGAAACATTAATCTTTATTCGTGAATTGAAATTTTCTCTTTCTCAGTTTCAAGCATATATTCACCATGCATTTTAGAAATTATTATGCTAGGTATTGCTTTTTTAAAAAAGGTTTGGTATGTTGAACAAATCGCCTTTTGTTCCTTTTGTTGACGCTGCAAGATTTAAGACTCATTTTCATGTAAAGAAAAGCAGTAAACGTTATAAATAGTGCGTGTGCCTACATCACAATTTAGAAATGTCTATCGCTGAATAGCAATATTTTCACAAGCTATCGCAAAGGCAAAAACCTGAGATTTTTGTTGCATGTCTCGATAATCTTTTTAATGTTTATTTGAACAGAATGCTGCAGATGAAAGGGACTTGGAAAACAAGCTTGTGCTTCTGTTGGGACATGACAAGTTCTCAATCATAAGAAAGCTTAGAGAAAATCGCATGAAAGGTAATTGTTTTATTTAGTCAGACACTTTATACTTAAGTGATAACAAGTAAATGACAAAATTGAGAAGTCTTCATACAATCCGTTGACCTCAGAATAATACTCCTATTTTAGAGCAATTGAAATATAGCACTCAGCTCACTTTTTTGCAGCCATGTTAAAACAGTCAAATTCCAAGTTCTAAAAACAGATTCTTTATGACGGCTCATCCAAAAACCTAGCTCATTAATGGCAATCTACAGATACTAAAGTGGTTTAAGCCATCTGTTAGTGATTGTTAGCCAATCAATGAACGTATGAATGGTACCACGGTCACTTACTGATTGGCAAATAGCGTAGGCCACTTTAGTTTCTGTCTAGTGACTTAATTAAATTAATTTTATTTTATTTGAAATGAGTGCGTTGAAATCAAAATTCCATTCAATTCGAGTGCCATGATAAGCTGCATCGAAATAAACTGTATCGTCAATGGCTGAAATGAGAAAAACATATACTTTATGCCTGTGTTTAATAGTATTTTCAGTTTTATCATTACATGTGACATGTCTTCTTTCATCACATTCTTCTTTCCTTTTTTGTAAATGAAATAAGTAATACACACCTGCAAGTATTTTGACTTTCAATTTGCCTTCAACCGGCTGTAAAGATGGTCCCAATATGTTCCACGCATACCAGTTTGTACCAATTTTTCACATACAGATAGTTAATGTAGGGAGTTCAATAAAGACAATGAGTAAACAAATTTTTTGTTTGCAGTTTTATTCTGCACACTACTTGCGGCTGCACAGTCCGACCGGGAGAGAGATGAGATTGAAAACAAGATGAGAAGTCAACCGGATCTTGCAGAGATACTCCACAAGTTGTTAGAAGGAGAGTCAGAAGACGTTGCCCAGGTTTGTCAATCGTATATCCTTTTATTGTCTCCTTCGCCAAGGTTGGGGGGCTCAAACCCTAATTCAATTGCCGAGGTGTCGTAGCCTAGGGGGAAAGGGTTAGCAGCTCTTTTAATTCATAACATGACATGAGCTTTTTATAAGTAGCATCCTTTCTTAACTTATTTAAGATGAATAAACTCTTCTTCGTAAACAAATTTTTAAGCTCAGAGTAACATCGTTTGCCTAAATTAGCTAACTGTCAAAACCAACTGTTAATGAATCATGCTATTTATTGACCTCGTGAACTTTCTTACTAGGGAAAGCATAGAGGCGATACGCTTTTAGTGTCAATGGAATGTAAGATACATAAATTGTAGAAAATATGATTGCATTCATCCAAGTAGATGTACGGCTATTAAAAATAATATTATTAACAATTATACTTTCCTTTAATGATATTTTCTGGCAGGTTTCTCTTTTTTATCCTATTATTTCTGCAATCTCTAAATTTCTACTACAGGAAGAAAGAGCTAGAAAAATGGCAGTGCGAAAATCAAAGGCGGGTGGAGACTCTGGTGCTGGCGACCAAGATGAAAAAGCTGTAAGTGTGTTATTATAAAGGCTACCAATCCTGCGTCGATACATAGCAGCGATACATTTACCTCCTGATTTTCGATTTGTTTGAAACTAAAAATCTTTGAATTGCTTTCATCAACAGATGTTTGAAAACTAATGAATTTCAAAAGCTTTCCTTAATGATCTCTGTTTTAAAATCTTCTTATTTTTTACAGAAGGAATTGCCATAATCAACCAATTTATTTAAGCAATTTATTGCCCGCAACTCGCGCGCGACAGCGCGCGAGTGAAGGGCTTATAGTCTGCCCCGCGTATAAGTAGCATATGGAAGCTTCAGTTCATGTTGTCAGCACTTTGTCAGCAGATTTTGTCACTTTCTGCTGCCATGACAACTGTCAATCAATTTCATTGTCAATCAATCGGCTTTGTCGAGGAGGTCGTTAACCGCCACCTCTTTGTGCGGAAGGGAATTATCTTCGGAGAGTTGCTCTGCCAAGACTCTGTTAAAGGCCTTCGGTTTTTTTGGCACGAAAACGGTGCTGCATCACAGCTCGGTTCTCCGCAATGGATGGAAGTTTTGATTCGAAGTTTTGGGAATCAAAACCAGTCGAATGCCACACCTTTCTCCCAAAAACTCGAGACCATACGAGCAAAAGTTATGATTGGCGTGACTATCGAAAAATAAATGTCAAACCCTTGAAAAACTTTCATGATTTTCAAAAGGGCGTTGGACTTAAATCAAAGGCAAACTGAACGCCAAAAATTCTTGATAAAAAGAATAGTTTAGCATCAACTAGAGCAGCTGTTTTTATAAAATTGTGAAAACCCAAGATGGTGTCTTCTTCGAATATCCTGACCTAAATTTTCAAAACAATCATTATCAAGGAACTAATTGTTTGCGGGCAGTACTAGCAAGAGCTATTTCTAGTTATAGCTGATATATTGCCTTAGATGTATTGCGTTAGGTTCTTGAAAATGAAAATGCAATTCGCTCAACGATTGATATTCAGGTGCTTATCACATGACATAAATAACCAACTTTTCTTGTGTTTGACAATCATTTAGGCTACTAAAAATGCGTAGACAATTTTTAGGTGTTACCTTCTTGTGTCAAATTCGATAACACATCTCTTTATATAATACAGCATCGTCTGCCTCTGTCAGAGGAATGTCTCTTATATTAGAATGACTTTTATCAATTAGCTTCTTGATCAAGTTTACAGCACAGTCGTTCAGATTGTGTTTATTTCAATTGCCAATTCCAATGAACGTATTTTGCTGTTTTAAAAACAAAGCGGCTTTTTGATACCAAAATTCGATAGCTTCAAAAAATACAGACATCCCAATAGTCGCTATTGTAAATGTAGGAGTCAATTCTTAAAAGGGTTTATTATTCCTGAACCGGCGGTCTTTCGGTATATAAACAGCGCCAAATGTTGAATAATCGATGGGAAAAAAAGTTTATTATTCCCGAGAGTCTTTTTATATTACAACTGTGCGTAAGCGGCTTTTTACACTAGTGCCTCCAATTTTTTTCAGTTAGACATTTGATCATTTTTTCGTCAATTTTTTGAAGCTTTTCAAAGCATATGGTACAATTCTGTATGCATCACATTATATGTGATCGTCTTCCAGTATCATAACAGCAGTATTTGGGTCTATGGCAAAGATCTAAGAATCGTAATCGTTGACGATTATTTAAGGATAATTTTAAAGGGCATTATGAGTATTAAGGAACCCTATGACTAAGTCTTTGCTTTTTAATATTGATTTTAAGTGCATAGAACCGTATTTGAATGACAGAGTCGGGTTAATGTGATGAAATACCCAGGCCAAAAAGCGGAAGAATCTAAAGAAGATAAAGAACTAAAAGTACTAAAGATGTACTCCTTTTTACTACAGGGCCGCCTGAACCGAAAAGTCATCGACTTGGAGGATATTTCATTCAAAGAAGGAAGTCATTTGATGGCGAACAAAAAGTGCCAGCTGCCTGATGGCTCTTTCAGGAAACAAAAAAAAGGGTATGAAGAAGTCCACGTACCCGCATTGAAGCCGAAGGCCTTTAAAGATGGCGAGGTATGTGGTTTTAATCTAGACAGTGATTTAGTATTTACATCTGCAGTTCGTGGTCCTACAAAAGACACCTAATTTCTATGATAACACGTTATGTAGAGAGTACCAAAGTGATGACTTATGTAGAGAGTATGCTATCTGGTGTTTAAAACAGGATGGTTCTAAGTTGCTTCTCCGAGTTTCACGCTTAATGCGATCATCAGGCAACTCTGGTGCTTTATAGAATAGAATATAGTATAGAATAGATGATAGAATAGATCATACAGTCCAAATAGCGTGTACAGCTCTGCCTATACGGCATCAAGTATTTTTTGACAGACTGGCAAACAGTAATTTTTATTTGTATAATTTTTCGATATAGACCATATAACCTTTAAGTTAGCAAAACCAGTTAACTATGATACAGATTGACTGAGATTTGACCACCTGAGCAGCCACAGGCCCCTTTTCTAATCAAACGACTGTGATTTTGTCAGCGTTCAAAAGTCAATGAAACAGACCAAAACAGAAGCAATCCATGATAAGAACTCTGTTCTTTCACTTGTTACATCTCTGTCAATTTCAATAGATTTAACCCATTTTGCACTAATAGAGGTATTTCATAGCGTTCTCTGACACAAAGTGGTCAAAAGTAAAAGATGCTAGACAGGGGCGGACACTTGATCAAATACTGGGGGGACAAGCCTATTGTTTTAATAAGATGACGTCACATTTCCCATTGTTTTAGAACAAAAGACCCTTGTCCTCTGAAGTATTGGGGGGCCGTTGCCCCCTCTCGCCCCCCCCTCTCAAGTGTCCGCCACCGATGCTAGATATCGTGCAGCATGGAATCTTTCCATTTTTGGAAGATATGTTTGATCTGTCTCATCGTTTTTAGGGAGAGGCTAGGTGATATATACCCCCTGGGTTTCTTGTAATTCTGTTGATCTACTCCTTTTTAGCTTTGAAACTTGATAATGTTAATGGTTGTAAGTTTTATGTTTGTATTAGTGTTTATTTTTTGTTGATTTTATCTTGCTTTCAAATTTTGTCAATGATGGTCATTAATTTAAAAGCATTCCATATAACGTAACTCATCTAAACGCATTTTCTTTGTTTGAGAATAAACAACTATATAGTTTGTGAAAACGCTATTTGGTGTGTTATCATTTGTTTATGAACATGTTTTCATCTTTTTTTAGAGTCTTGTTCAGATTACAAATATTCCCAAGTATGCACAGGCTGCCTTTGAGGGCTACTCAACTCTGAACAGGATACAGAGTCGCCTCTGCGATGCCGCGTTGAAAACAGATGACAATCTTTTGCTCTGTGCTCCAACTGGAGCGGGTAAAACGAACGTTGCATTGCTTACTATTTTGAGAGAGATCAGCAAACACATCAACTTGGATGGAACCATTAATGTCGATGAGTTTAAGATAATCTACATTGCACCAATGCGGTCGCTTGTACAAGAAATGGTGATGAACTTTGGAAAAGTAAGTTTGACTTGATTGTTTCGCTGTCTATAAACCCTCTTATCTTTACCCTTTTGCAATTTCATAAACTTTTGCAACTTCCACTATTGCCTTCCCCACAAACCTCTTTGCTTTTCTTTATTGCCCGATCAAACAAAAGGATATTGTACTGTACTAAACATAAAACATAAAAAGCTACTATGATGTTTCTCTTTGCCCTTTTACTTTCTTCACCAATCAGTGTCATCAGGGGGATAAAGCCAAAACAGAGCCAAACAATATCAAAACATTCAATAAAACTCTAACAACTTCGTCCTCTTGCCGTTTTTATCTCCCATTCGATGCTCAATTAGTTTCGGCACGATAACATCCAAGCAACGATGCTTTTCCTTCGTCGCACTGAAGTGAAAATTATTTCAAGATATCAAACTCAACCACATATATATGATATTTGTAAATCCGCCTTAAATGCCTTCTCACCTAGCATTGCATTTTATTTGATTTCATTTTAATTCATTTAAGGAGGGTTGCCCTTCATCCGGAACTGATTTACAGGGGACCCTCCGCTTAAAATCTTATATAAAAAAAAGTGAATGTGATAATGTGAAAATTAGCGAAATTTATTTAACTTCACAGAGGCTCAGTTCTTATGGTATAACGGTCTCGGAACTGACTGGGGATCACCAACTGAACAAGGAGCAAATAGATAGCACTCAGATTATCGTATGCACGCCAGAGAAGTGGGACATCATAACAAGGAAAGCCGGGGAGCGAACGTACACACAGCTGGTACGGCTGATCATCATCGACGAGATTCATCTTCTTCATGATGACAGAGGCCCTGTTTTAGAGACAGTCGTGGCAAGGACGATACGACAGATCGAAAGCACACAAGAACACATTCGACTTATAGGCCTTAGTGCCACGCTACCCAACTACGAAGATGTCGCAACGTTTTTGCGTGTAGACCCTGCGAAAGGATTGTTTTTCTTTGATAACAGCTTCAGGCCGGTGCCATTAGAGCAGCAGTATGTTGGTGTCACAGAGAAAAAGGCAATCAAGAGATTCCAGGTAACAAAAGCATTGATTTTTATGACTGATATCTGTCATGTTTTTAAAGGATGTGTCGTTTGCATAGGTCACGCCAATTGGTTTTAAGTGTAAGTATAATTTACAGAGCTGTATTTCAAAAGATGCCGGTGCCGTAAAGGGAAGGTCGAGATTCTGAAGTCTTTTTCTAGAACCTATTTTTATCTTGGTTAATTCTGCTGGTTGGTTTCTTAACTGAGTACCAAGACTATAGAAGTTTATATTCTGACCATTGCCGGCGTATCTTGCCATTACTGTATAGAATAAACCTTGCTGTATTTAAGGTAGCTGCTAAAGTAAGCCCTTCCCCCTATGCTAGCCAGCACAGTTGCACTGCTTTACTCTAATCTTCTTTTTCTCCGTCATTTGCAGGTGATGAATGATGTTGTTTATGACAAAGTAATGGACAACGCCGGTAAAAATCAAGTACTCGTTTTCGTGCATTCGAGAAAGGAAACTGGGAAGACAGCAAGGGCACTGAGAGATGCCTGCTTGGAAAGAGATACGCTTGGGCAGTTTTTACGTGAAGATTCTGCAAGTACAGAGGTTTTGAGGTCTGATACTAAATATTCTTCCATTTATTGTTTGCTGTTTCGTAAGCCACAATGATCAAGGTCATATAAAGTGATAAGGTCATAAAGACTTTTCTGTGCATGTTTGGTGGCAATTACTGTTTATCTTTTACGTGCAATTAGCTTGATACAAAGAAGGGGAACAGAAGAGTCTAGCAGCAACCTTTATCTTAGGCCAATCCAAGGATGCCCTATTTTGAACTCTAAATGACCTGTTCGATGCAACCTTCGATCAAATCGGTTTTGTAACACGTATCCCGTGTCTTAATTTCAGGACTGAAGCTGAGCAGGTGAAGAACCTGGAGCTCAAGGATCTTCTGCCTTACGGTTTCGCCATTCACAATGCTGGTATGTCGAGAGTAGACAGAGCACTTGTCGAAGATCTCTTTGCCGACAAACACATCCAAGTTCTGGTCTCTACAGCCACATTGGCATGGGGTGTCAATCTTCCCGCTCATACTGTAATTATTAAAGGAACTCAGGTTGGTTGCTTTATTCGATGTATAGTTAATCCGTCATGTAGCGGATAATAGCTGGGTTTGACGTTGTGCGGAGATGTCCGTTTTCCGGACATTGGTTGCTCGGACAAAGCTTAAACCGCAAGATTTTTGGAATAAAACAATTTCTCTATTTTTAGTGCCCATTGTCCCGGGGTGTCCGGTATCGAGAGATGTCCGATGATGGATGTTCAGCTGCATTACTTTAAAAGCTGATGCTTAAATATCTGAATTTTTAGCTAAAATTACTAAAAGCTGAAAATATGAGTTTTTGCTGCTTTTCAAAATCCTTCCAATCTAGAAGTTTTGGTTTTGGAGATTTTGAAACTATTTTAGCTTTGGTTGTGATGATGTATGTTGTCCTTGAAAGCGGTAGAGAATTGACGGTGTTAAAGGTTTTAGAGAAATAGTCCTGCAAAAAGGCTGTGTTTGTTCCCAAAGCAGGGACAGATTTCACATTCCTTTGCTGAAGGCTTGGCAAAACAACGCAAGCAGAGATCCTCGAGACAAGAAACATTTTACCTTTTTGTCTCTGGTCTCTGGTTTGTTGTTTCAAAATGGTATTTATTCGCTATCAACTCTTGTAGGTGTATAGTCCGGAGAAAGGCCGATGGGTGGAGCTTGGCGCTCTTGATATTCTTCAAATGTTTGGCCGTGCTGGAAGGCCGCAGTACGACACGAAAGGCCAAGGTGTACTCATAACAACCCACAACGAGTTGCAGTATTACCTTTCATTGCTGAACCAACAGCTGCCTATCGAAAGCCAGTTCGTTTCTAAGCTTGCGGACAACCTGAATGCTGAGATTGTTTTAGGAACGATTCAGAATGTTAAGGATGCCGCTACTTGGCTAGGTTTGTAAATTGCTGAACTTCTTTTTTCAGACTTGATGTTTCCAATGTATTTGACGCAAGTCGAATATTTTCGTGTTGGGTTTTGAAATTAGTTATTGAAGCCCGTTTTCTGTAATCATATGCACGAATTAAATTCAGCTTTTATCCACTTTACTGAGAAAAATTTCGGATACTTTGTCAGATATCTTCGTTCCATTACAATATGAATTTTTTTTGAAAGCATTATTATCTGTTTAAAACTAGGTGGTTGATAAAATTTAAGATCATTTGGCAATCTGTCTTGTGTAGAAGGAAGATCATATTTCTCTGATTGATTTTAGTATTTAATGCTGTTTTGATTGACTTGAGAAGAATGGCAGAGTACTTATTCAAATACTTAACTGTCAAGGAATGCAGCAATGCTTGTCATTAACGTCCAATGAATGCAAACTTTCAAGAATGATATGACCTTCTTTGATACGTTTTGGATCATTCAGTGATTGTCACATTTCAATTTAGACTTCTTTTTAGATTCAGATTTAATTGTTTAGATTTTGTATTAAGCAAAAGATAGTGAACGCCTTTTCTGTATTTGAAGCTTACTGTAATATTAAAAGCAACTTTGTTGTTTCTAGGTTACACATATTTGTATATTCGTATGCTGCGAAACCCTACACTGTATGGTATATCACATGATGACATGAAGACAGATCCAATTATAGAACAGGTTTGTGAGATAAAACATTTCTTAGCCCATAAAATAACTCACGAAACTAAATGAGATTCAGGGAATAAAAAAGTATTAACCAACTTGTTAAATTGCTAAAGCGAAGGCAGACTATCATTTAGGAGTCTCTAAAATTTTCAAATTATTTTGTCTAAAACTTTCAACAGAACCATTGTTTTTTTTCTTGCGATGTGGCTCAGAACCAATTAGTAGGAAAAATTATAGTTACTTTATTGAAAGTTTTTCCATTTTTTCTTTACTTTTTCTTTTATCTTAATATGATTGTAATAGTTTATTTTTTGAAAACAGGCTAGCCAGTTACAAATTACCTTTGTAATAGAGAGATTTGTAATTGTGGTTATAACTGGAATTAAAAATGACAAATTTCCATTCATATATAGGCTCAATACCCAATTATTTAAGCTAAATACACCAACTGGCTAAGTTTAAAGATAATTCAGTTGTTAGTGAGATGCTTTAGAGGTGATAAGAAATATCATATAATTTTTTTTAAAATGTTTTAACAACCTTAATGATAACCAAAGCCTTGTTCCTTCTTTTTTAGCGACGCTATGATCTTATACATTCTGCTGCGTCAATTCTCGACAAAAATGGAATGATTAAGTATGATAAGAAGACTGGAGCTTTTCAGGTAATTTTGAGTTTTCAGGTAAAGTTCATGCAAGATAATCCATTTCAGGTAAAGTTCTGTAAGACAAAGGTAACTTGATTGCCTGCTTGTTGGTTAACCACATGTTGGAACTTGTAGTACATAAATCAATAGAGTAGATAATTTCATTTTTTACTCTCACCCATGGGTCAGTATTTACATAACCCTGTTGTCTTTAGAGCTGTCTTGCCCTTCAGGCTAGTTATTTGCGTTTCTTATTTCCACGAAAACCAGCCTTTCTGGAATGAATCTATTTGATAAATTTTGCTGTTTCTCACACAGTCAACAGAACTCGGAAGAATTGCCAGCCACTACTACTGCACGCAGGAATCAATGGCCACATACAACAAACTTCTCAAGCCAACTCTTAGTGAGATCGAATTGTTCCGAGTTTTCTCTTTGTCCTCTGAGTTCAAGTATATCAATGTAAGAGAGGTGGGTAAAGCAATGTTTCAAGGTTTGGTTCTTAAGCTTGGTTAAGCCAGAGTTTTGGAGATATTCTTTTTGACCGCAAATAGAAAAGAATTGTAGGAGCATAAACTTTGAAATGATGTTGATGATGATTAGTTAATATTTCACGTTATTTTTGAATTGCTTCGTTTGCAGCAATTTTATACATGTTTAACGATTTTTTTTACTTTTATAATGATTGTTTGTTAACATTTACCAATTAGTTTAAGATATGTTTCTAGGAAAATTGTAATATTTCTACCTTGCACAGTTGCCCGATGATCGCATTTAGCGTGTAACTTGCAATTTTGAACCGTCTTTTCTACACACCAAAGCATAGTTTGCAACATAAATATATATTGCAATTTTTTAATTTTTTGTAATAATATATTTGCCAGCATTGTTTTATCCTCACGTTTCATTATTTCATTAAGCCATTTCTTCCCCCAGCTTTGGTGACGCCCATAGCAGGGCACAATTGTATTATCTATATGTTTTGGCTTTCAGATTTCTAAGTTTTTATTCACGTAAATTCTTTAACTTATATGTTTACATTGAGCCCTGTTCTTTGAAATGACAGTTTCAGATTGTAAGTATGAGTTTCTTGCTTAAAGTGATCATCATCCCACGTATTCTAGCTAAAGTTGATTTTTTTCGCAACCAGGAGGAAAAGCTAGAGCTGCAGCAACTTCTTGAGCGTGTTCCTATACCAATCAAAGAGAGTATTGAAGAGCCTTCTGCTAAGGTAAAACCAAAATGAAAAATTCACCCTTGACTTTTTTTAGAGTTAATTTTTTGATGAATGGAGAAAAGGTCACTGTAGCAGGCTGCTCGACGGGCTCCAAGGAGTTCTTGCGGCGAAAAGTCGATAAAAATGTAGCAAATAAGAAACACCGCAAAACGCCGAGAATAAACAACAATAAATACACGTAAATCAGTAAAGGCTAATCGCCCCGGCATACGGGGCTTCATCAGAGCAAAAGTTAACGGGCTAAAAATTTACAGTGGTACCATTAGCTTGCAGTAACTGAAGAAAAACCGTTGTGTATTTTGAAAATTTTAGAAAAACAATAATGAAATTGCACAAGTTATCATAATGCTAGGCTAATTTCAAGCCAGCAAGCAGGAGCAAACAAGTTGCTTGTGTTAACGTAGGTCAGAGTTCTGGCAGGTAATGGCTGATGCAGACTTGCGGTTTGCAATTAATTATGAACTTTTCAGTATTTATTAAAGTTTTAAGCCATATTATTGTTTCAGTAAAGCATTATACATATATTTTGCCAAGCTAACATCTTTCCTTGCGTCCTTTTCTTGTAGATTAATGTTCTGCTGCAAGCTTACATATCCCAGCTAAAGCTTGAAGGATTCGCCCTAATGGCTGACATGGTTTACATAACTCAGGTAGGCAATGCTGCGTTCGTATATATTTGTGAATATGATTTCCGTAGACTATGACATCTCATGTCCACCCCTCTTTGACCTCTAAAGGATCTAACTTCTCCAATGTTTTATTAGAACGTCTTATTATGCACTGCTCTTCCGTTGTCGTAGCATTTAGGTAAATCTGTAATCAAAACTTCCAGGAAATGTTCTTTCTTCTTTAGTATTTTATTCCAGTTTTCTTGGAAAATATCCCCTGTTTCAGAATTTTAGCATTTCTTAAAAAGGTATATAGTTTTGTTTCTCTAACAACTCTTTGTTTGAATAAGGTTTAAGGCCCAGTAGCACGTTTAGATTTGTCGTCAGTTGTTCATAATAAATTTATACTATTTGCTGATGCTTATACAGATATTACACAAATATAGTTATTTCCCTCATTTCTGTGGGCATTGTAAATCTGCTTGTTCTGTATATTTATTTAACTAATCATAATTCATTTCTTTAGTCGGCAGGTCGTCTGTTACGTGCAATATTTGAAATTGTGTTACATCGTGGTTGGGCGCAGTTGACAGATCGAGCTATCAATCTTTGCAAAATGATCGACAAAAGAATGTATGTTGTTGAGTTATGTTTTACACTTTTTCTGTGAGATGCCATTCACTAATGGTTCGTTACTGGCAGAGAAAACTGAAATATATAAACATACTTGATGTTTTCCAATGGTATTTCTGAAAAGATTATTCTAAGTCCAGGTTTTTCAAGGGTATTGATATCGAATATAGTTTGTGAAAAGTAATGTAAACGTGAAAAAATTAACGGAAAGGAAATTTGATTTCATATACTTGAAGCCTAATTTTCCTTAAGAAAACAGTAGGTTTTGCGGCACGTTCCAATTTGAGAAAGTGGAGCCTGGTTTTGAACAATTAACAATAGCCTATTGTCTGAATCAACCATTGAGAATTCTACTGTATCCATATGTATCTTCTCTCGTCATGTATGTTTGATTTTTACTTGTAGGTGGTTATCTATGACTCCTTTGAGGCAATTTAAAAAGATCCCGATGGAAGTGATAAAGAAAATAGAGAAGAAAGATTTCCCGTGGGAACGCTTTTACGATCTTGGTTACAACGAGATCGGGGAGCTGATTCATGCACCGAAAATGGGAAGGGTCGTCCACAAGTTTGTGCACCAGTTTCCAAAGGTCGAACTGTCTACCCATATACAGCCTATTACAAGGTAAATTTCGCAGCTTCAATACCCCGGTTTATTGTTTTCTCTTTGAAACCTAAGGTTGTAATTCATACCCTTTTGACAAACACGCTGCCTTGTAAAAGAGTCTAGGGGAGAAATGAAGAAGTCAAGATCATAAACAACTAACCGAGCGTACGTTTTCTCATGTCAGTTCATCTATATTTCCTCTGACTATAACCTCAAGCTAGTTAAGAAAAATTTTCTGATGTGCGTACAAAGTATAGTTTCCACTGCAGTCACCTTGCAAAGATGACAATTCTAAATTAGACTTTTGTTTGTGAACCTTCACATTTTTTGCTGACATGAGTCTTTGTAAGGTGTTACATCAGATTTTCCTGGTTCTTCACAGAACAGCTGACTTTTTCAGTAGTAACCTTTTCATTATATTTCTTCAGTAACTAGTTAATGATCGTGCTAAGCGTAAAATTCACAGTTGCAACTTAGAGCCTTCCAGTTCTACACATAAAATTAAGTTCATGGCTCTGTCTATACAGTACCGAGCAAATTTGCAACATACTGGTTAACATGAACTTTTTTGCCGTATATATATATCTAAAATTTTCATGATTATTTATGTCATAGCTATAATAACAACTAATACTTTTCAGATCGACATTACATGTCGAATTAACGATTATGCCAGACTTTCAATGGGACGAGAAAATTCACGGAAACGCTGAAGCATTCTGGATTTTTGTGGAAGATGTGGATAGCGAGAGCATTCTGCATCATGAGTATTTCCTGCTGAAATCTAAGTACGCCCAAGACGAGCACGTGGTCAAGTTCTTTGTGCCTGTCTTCGAACCACTGCCGCCCCAGTACTTCATCAGAGTTGTTTCAGATAGATGGCTACGTAAGTTGGCTTTTCCTCACATGTACTTTCTTCCAGTTTTAGGGAAGATAATTTAGGGTGTCTACATTTAGCGAATTTAGGGTGTCCCTTCCCTCCACTAGCTTACAGATCCAGCCTGACCCGACTGGTACCACCTGGCAGGGTTCCCTAGCTCGGGGCTACGACGATGGCCATTGGCTAACTCGGCGGGAGACCGACAAGGAGGGCGGATGAGCTACGACTCCAGGGGTCAAATGCTTCGGGCGGAAGAATTCCTGGAAAGAGGGATGGTGTCCCTTTAAAAACATTGTAGAGGTGGTTCTGGGGGCCCATCTCTACTATTAGCCCCTTAGTTTTATCTATGACCATGACAACAAACCAAAACTCAGATTTTGGGATAGTTGGAGGGTCATGGTAGCCAACTTTCTGATAGTAGATGGTACCTGATGATGACATTTAGCAACAATTTTTCCCCTAGTGCCATACATGTTGCCAGACCAGGCTCTTTTCATTGCCTTTTGAGAGGTCTTTCAAAATGTTTGTCAATCGAAGTGTCTTCACTTATAGACAAATTTCTAATGCATTTTTCCTGAATTGTTTGTGTTAAAAAATTTGTAACCGGCAGTAAGTAACAATTCACAAATCATAAATTTCTAATGCAATAAAATCATTGTAAAAGTATCAAAACACGCAAGCAAAAATAGTTTTCCATTATATTTGTATTTCCTCAATTGCTTTTAGATTCAGAAACACAACTACCGGTTTCATTTCGGTATTTGCTGCTGCCAGAAAAGAACCCACCACCAACAGAGCTTTTAGATTTGCAGCCGCTACCAGTGTCCGCACTTCGACGTCCGGATTTCGAAGCACTCTATGCGGACAGGTTCCCGTACTTCAATCCAATCCAAACTCAAGGTAATTTCTCAAGGTTGCTTCTTTCTCCGTAACCTTTTCTGCATCTTCTCTGCAATACGTACACTTTATTCTTTGACTATACTATCTGTCTTTCATCGTATTCAATTATACCCATTTTATACCAAGTTAATTTTAACACCCTTTCAACTCGAATGAATTTTGATACAAAATAAATAGATTTATGAAAAGTAAAATTGTGGCATCATCTTAAAGGGCCACTCCAGCCCAAAATTTTTATTTCAGAACACGATGTAATCAGACCTGCTGAAAACGAATCTGTTATTATTTTTTTCATATCTCTAACCGTTTCGTAGTTATTAGCGTTTGTAAAATGGTCATTGAGTTGAATTGTTTTTCAACCGTGTTATCGGAGATCTTCGGATTGACGTCACAGGCATTTTCGGCCTCGGTAAGTTCGCGGCAAGTATCATCGGCTGGCCAAAGGGTCAACGAGAACCTAGCGAAATGGCGGACAGGGCCTAGCAGCGGCATGTTTGTTAGAAGGCCAGACTTTTATCTGGAATCGATATAAAGAGAGAAGTATCGCTCATCAGTCTTAATATTCTGATCGAATATGGAAGTTTTTTATCGCACGAATCTTTCTGACAGAGAAGTCAAATTGTCAAAATAGGCCAGCGAGACAGAGACATGAGGATGTTGACAGACTTTCATGGAATGTTGCTTTTGAAGCAATTTGTATTGGCAGGCCAGTTCCCTGATTTTAAAAAGAAGATTCGCGCTTTTTCATCAGCTCTTCCTTTAGTGCAACAGCTAAAAAACCATCGCGCAATTTATTCGAGAGGAAAGACCAAAACAAAACCAGTATACCGGCAATGAAAGCTGTATGAATTGATACAACATATTCATTAGGATAAAGAGCTTCATATCAACATGACTATGACTTATTAGAAACAAACCAGGACAATCGAGGGCATGGACAAGAAAGTATACAAACTTTCAAGACAATACTAAAAACCTACCATTAGTCATGAGTCAAACAACTTTTTCAAAAATTATAAATTTGTTTTTATACAAACAAAAAAGGGATTTGAGATTATATTAATAATTCAACTTTTTCAATATACTTGTGTAAATATAATTTTTGTATTTAACCCCTAAGCTATTACAGGGGCCTTGTCAGCTCCTTTAAGCTGTCAGAATTTCAACCTGCTATATTTATGAATGATAAATACATGTTTGATGTATTTAAATACTTGGCTACATTAAATTATATATTCAAATATCTATACAATCAGGCCAGTGAACTAGCTAGAAATTTGTAATTTCTATTGCACATGAGAAATGTTCTTATAAAAGTATCATGAAACAATAATCTATTGCAAAATTTCTAGAAAATACCTATATGTTGTCACTAGTTTTAAATAATAGCAGTGGATTTGCAAACATTATATAGATATGACCAAATTATATATAAAATTTTGATAATTTTAAAAAAAGTCTCCTTTGTAAAAACTTTCATACAAAAACAGAATAATGTGTTGAGGTCTTTGTGGTAACTCTTGCATGGAAGAGAGGGGCAAGTTATCACTCCAACAAAGCCAGTTGCCAGATAACAGGATGCATGTAATCTCCAACCTTCATCTAGCATTTTTTTGTTAGATCCTTTCTGCTGATCCATAAAAGAGTTTGTTACCTTTTTTATGCCTAGAATAATAAGGTTGACAGGGATAAATACTAACATACCAGTGAAATTTACTTTTGAGTCATATTAAAACATAAAATGATCAAAGAAACTTGGACACTCAGGGGCATTCAGAGTATAGATATTTAAAAGGATCAAAGAGAAATTTAGGGGTGAAAGGGCAACCACTGTTACTATAGCAAATAGCATCTAAGGATATTAACTTGAAGTAACACAAAGATGAATTTAAATGATATAGGCCATGCTTATATGAATCAATGCTAGAATAGCAAAGGTAAATTTAACAAATATAAACAATTCTGCCTTTAAAACATTAGAATGAGGATATTACACATCTTTTTTCCAAAACCAAGGGTTAAATTCCATGTTTTTACGTTGGGGTAGTAGATCTTTTGCCCTGGATATTGATCTGGCAAAATTTTGAAATTGTGCATCAATTTTATGATGAAATAGGCAGAACTCCAAAATTGAAGGCAGAACATGGTAGAACATGAAGAAAAAGGGTTCAGGGAAACATCAGACAAACCCTGGGAAATTTTACACATCTATATCTTGGGCAAAGGTGTAGTGCACAGATCATTGGCAGGGATGTAGTGCTAGGAGGCTCAGGCCCCCTTGTTCGTACAAAAAAGTAGCAAAAAAGTAACCTTTACTTTTGGTACTATTTTATGTGACATTTTGCTTGAGAGCCCCTGTTGTACTTTTCATATTACCACATTTCTGACCATTTGGGAGACAGTTCAAAGACTGGCTGTTAGAAAACTTGTATTTAGAGTACGAAGTTTTTCTCAAAGCCCAGCAAATTGCATTGCTTAGGGGGTGCGTGTCACACCATCCCCAAACCCCCTCCAAACCTCTACACCCTGCATTCAACATGGTAAAATGATAATAAGGATGAATTATGACTTACGGAAAAGTTTCCATCTTGTGAATGGGGTTCTTCTTCTAATGCGGTGAAACATCAATTATTATTCAGCTCCCTGGAAATCCCTGAGATGACACGACGATATGAAATGCCTTCGGTCAGAAATCCATTCACATCTGAAAATTCGTGAAGCATTCCATATTAAAAAGCTTGCTGCGTTGCCAAGATGAGGGTATGCGTTCAGGTTGAAGCTTCCATCTTTGATTTGTCGAATTACTAGTCCATGTTTGCTGGAAGCCTCCGCTGAACATCAATCGCAATGAAGGAAAATAAATAAAACGACAACCGAGATTCCGACATGAATCGCCTCTTCCGAGCCTCTACCGAGTCGTGCGAATTTCAGTGCGAACGTACAACAATAGCCTCGAATGTTGAAACAATAGCCCTTTAACACGTCACAAAGTGCTTTTTCCGAAAAAAAATTTGTCGTATTTTTACGGTGATTCTCAACTTTGAGCGTCTATATCTGGAAAACGAGTTAAGCTTTTCGAAAAAAAATTTCACGATAGCTTCTTTTTCTCGACTAACTACCAATTTATGCAAAAATCTCAGAAAAAATTTTTGGGCTGGAGTGGCCCTTTAACATTAATCGACAGATGCTAATTTGGCTTTAAGGCACTATGTCCCGACGCATTTCGCTGACCATTTTCCCATAGGTCGGACTTCACAATAGACCTATTGTTACGTATCCACTCGGGCTAAGGATAAATTTTTTCTCGATTATAAACGCGCTACAGAGCATGTTGTTAACTCCAGCGCTAATGTACTTCTATGTCAACCTAGAAACATTTCCCTTATTTGTTTAAGGCTTTTTTGGATGACAGTAGTTTAACTTTGTTTTCAAGGCTATTGTTTCTAAAAGATTTCTTTTTCTTTGTGAAAATGACTTACAGGCCTATGTTTGCTTCCACAGTTTTCAATGCGCTGTACAACTCAGATGACAATGTCTTCATCGGAGCACCCACTGGCAGTGGGAAGACTATTTGTGCCGAGTTCGCGATTCTTCGCATGCTGTCGCAGAACCCAGAAAGCAAATGTGTTTTCGTCACTCCGTTGCAGTCGCTCGCTGAACAGGTATTTTTTAGGAAGTATTTTCAACAAGGACATTACACAGCATTAGTATGAATGAAATTACCCCAATCTACCCTTAACGATCGAATGAAATACTTACTTTTTCTTAAGTTTGATCTGAATGTAGATACTTTCCCGCATTTTTCGAGAACAGTCAAAACACAACACACAATTTCGCTGTTTTATGCACGTGATCTTATAGGTTGAATCGAGGCCTGGTCCGTGTTACTGTCCACATTGCAATAACCTTGGCTTGGTCGGGTCAGTCCCAGTTTACCGTAACTTGCATAAAGTCCTGGTTACTTAGTATATTGTGGACAGGGCTTTAGAAAATGTACTTTGTAAAATGTAAAATGTACTAGAAAATGGATTTTGTGTAAACTAAAAGGCTTATGTGTATTGACCTGTAATATGCTAGAAGTACAAAGGCTATAGACACCGTGCTGTTTACTATTTACCAGGGAGTGGACAGAAAGGTAACCACCCCGTGGTTTATGCGCCTCTTGGGTCTTTAGATTGAGACTTGGATGTTAGATTTTTTAATACTGGTAGTTATTTATCAGGTCTATGACCACTTTTTAACGCAGTGTGTCCGATTTGTTTCCCCACCTTTGTATAGAAAATGGCATGTGTTAACCAGTCCCTTTTTTGTTAGGCTTATATTGATTGGCGAACGAAATTCGGTATCCAGCTCGGAAAGAACGTGGTCATGTTAACTGGTGAAACAAGCGCTGATTTGAAGTTGCTGGCAAAGGTAGCGTGATTCTGTTTTCTAATTTTTATAAAAAGAGCTGGTGCTCTTACTGGCTTTGTATCTGGTGCATGGATACTTGCAATTCATTGACCTTTAATTGCTTTTAATTGCAGGGAAACATCGTGATCAGCACCCCAGATAAGTGGGATGTGCTTTCTAGGCGTTGGAAACAGCGTAAGAATGTCCAGAACGTTTCCTTGTTTATTCTTGATGAAGCCCATCTCATCGAAGAGGAAAATGGGGTATGTTCTGTAGTGTTTTGTAATTTCTCGTTCTTATACAAATATTTCGAACAGAAAGAAAGCAACAATAGATGGATAGTTTCTGTCGATGTCCAAGATAAAAACTAGTCTATTCTTAATATTTTATAACAAGTAAGAAAATTGGTTTGCTGGTGTCTTAGCGACATTCTTGTGCAAGGATCCTTTTTTTACTGCGTCACTTGTTTCTGCCTAACAGATATCAAGATAATATGTATTAGTGTCCTTTCGCAAGTAAAAGTGAATTATATCGTTTTATGCTTGTTTTCTTAACGAAGAAGACTTTGTGATTAAGGGTTCTGTCTCCTTTTTTCGTAGCCCGTGATGGAAGTAATCTGCTCAAGAATGAGATATATATCTTCTCAGATTGAAAGAAATATTCGCATTGTAGCGTTGAGCTCTTCGCTTGCAAATGCCAAGGTATTTTCATTTCAAGGGTAACTGGCTAACAAATATTAACTGGCTAACTGGCTGGTAGCGACATCCCCCTCTAAGGAATCCTCCATCACTCGTTCTGCTAGAATCCAGCTTCGAAGTCCAATGCAATGCAGCTCTACCTTTCGCTTAAACCACCTGTTTTAACGTCTATCAAGTTATTTTATTTATCTTTTGACTAAAACAATCTCGTATATGGTATATATTTCCTCGATCTATCTGAGTTTAAGAACTATTGCGATTAAATTACAATGAAAGCTACACTTGCCATTTTCTCAACATTAGCCATTCCACTAATTTGGTTGATCTTGTATAAAAGCAACAAACATTATCCAACTCTTTAGAAACACGATTTTTCATAACAATGTCTGTTTTAACCCATGTTTTATCAAGCGCTAATGTTTCTCTGTCTTGTTTAGGATATTGGCCAATGGCTCGGTGTAGCAGCTAATAACATGTTCAACTTCCACCCGAACGTGCGTCCTGTTCCATTGGAATTGCATATTCAGGTAAAATATTGATTTCTTATAACGTGCTTTACTGTCAATCTGCCAATACAGTTGGTATCAGGCAAAACTAACCAGTTGTAAACTAAGTTTAATTAAGTTGTTAGCACATCAAAGTCTTTTCATTTGCAGGGTTTCAACATCACTCACACTGGCTCCAGACTCACGGCAATGTTGAAGCCAACATATCAGGCCATAATTAAACACGCACCTAAGAAACCAATCATGGTTTTTGTTCCATCGCGTAAACAAAGCAAACTGACTGCGCTTGACTTGGTTGCCTATAGTGGAGCTGAGAACCAATCACAAAGGTAAGACCTCCTGGAAGCTTACCTCGTTCAATGTAAGTCCACTTAATATCCTAATTTTTTAGTAGTCTGAAGCCCTTGCAAATAGATGGTTATTTTCAATGTTCATGTTATCGAGTTTACTTTGGACTTGATAGTGAGTTTCTACAGTCTCTAAAAGTCATCTGTGTAGCGGAGTAGGTAGTAATCCTTCGTAGGTTTACTTAACATATTGTATCAACGAAAGCTGACTGAACATATCTAAACATTTTTAAAGATATTCAAATGCTTGTTTTTCCTTGGTTCTGTCTTTTGTCTACCCTTAAATGGCATTTATTTATTGCTCTACAGATTTCTTCACTGCACGGAAGAAGATTTGCAGCCACATCTAAAAAGGATTCAGGAAAAAGTACTTCTATATTTTTACCTATAAGTTTTGCTTTTCTCTTTATTCACTTGATTTCAATTCAGTAATGGCATGAAATTGGCAGATGCCGTCTCATTTGTTGATTCATACCAACTAGTATCAGTTCCCGAGCTCAGAAAGTGCCTCAACCTTTTCTGGATGAAATTTTACCCTCTTTGCCTCGAATTTTTCTTGTATCTTCTGAAAAAGTTTCTTAGAAAGTGGAATTTAAATAATCCAGGAATTTAAGTAATTGTTTGGTCTTTACACTTTGTCGGAAAAAAACCAGGAAAACACACCAGGAAAAAAGAAAAGTTCAAGCACAAAGCTAATTCCTCCCACTTTATATACTTTCGTCAAGTTATGAATTGGCCTTCCTTGAAGTACTGCATCTTTGGTTAACCCTTCTCCAGCTCACAGACGTGGAGCTGTAATTTTTTCTGGACTCTGGTAAATTCATTTCAAATTCATATCTAATTCATCCCCTCATTATTTCGTCACAGACCCTCAAAGAAACCTTGACTTATGGTGTTGGATATTTACACGAAGGACTTTCGGATACTGAAGTGAAAGTGGTCGAGCAACTCTTCACATCTGGAGCAGTTCAGGTTGGTTTAGCTTCATGATTTTTGATCGCATGCAGAACATTTGATTTCCGGCTCTGAATCTACGTTTCAATGTTAGCCTTGTTGATATTATCCTTTAAATTGAATTCTTTCAACTTTAACGGGTTAAAAAATCAGCTTGGCTTTCAAATTTAACAGTTAAGTACCCGTCAAATTTATCTTGTATGGGTTTATGTACATATGTCATGTTCACGCGAAGATCGAGTCACTGTTTTGGAACCTTCTATAATGGACCTCTTTTACATTTATTTTACACTATCCATTGCTGCTTTTTGAAATTTATCTTCTTCTACCGTTTCTTTAGCTGCTAGTTGTCTCACGAAACCTCTGCTGGGCAGTCACTTGCTACTCATATTTAGTTGTTATCATGGACACCTTGTACTACGAAGGGAAAATACACACGTAAGTAATACTAGACCTACATATTGAAAATCTGCCCAAGAATATCAGATTATCTAAACTCTTGTTCTGGTAGTACTGATTAGGCGTGAGACAGTACTTTTAGCTTTCATTGTAGCTTTAAACGATCCTTGTCTTCTATGGTATCTTGATGTTCTAATTTTCAATAGCCTTACCAGCAAGGCTTCTTTAAAGCTGTTAAACTATTTGATGTTTGAGAGAATTTTGTCACGACCGAGCTGATGGCGAGCAGTGTATGATATGAATTATGTAATCAAATTTTTTTCTGAATATAGATGCTATGTCTACGATTAAATTTCCAATTTAGAAGACTTTCCTCAAGAGAGTGTCCACGAAACCCCCTTTCTTCCGCCTATTTTCTTTGATTATTTGGCTATAATATTTGCCTTCTGTATTTATTGTTGACATCTGCTTAACTTTATGATTAATAAATTATCTGTATTAAGTAGATTTTAAGAGTGAACTGAGTTGAGTATTAACCTAAACATGGCATTTAGATAAGGGATATTTTTTACTTGCGTGATCTTGAATAATCAATACTTGTGGCAACAGACGTTCTCTTTAATGGTTACCTTGGATGAAGTGAAATGGATGCACGGTTCAGTGTTTCGTCATTGATCAATATGTTCAACCATTACTACAAAATGTCAGTGATGACGTCATTTTTTGTTAGGTATATGGATTATCCCGTTACCGATGTTCTTCAGATGGTCGGAAGAGCAAACAGGCAACTCATTGATGATGCAGGTATTTCTATACAATCTGAATTTTCCTGCAGCTTTTTTTCCAGTACCATTTGTAATTCCATCTTCATATTTTTTATGTAAACATTTTATGTAATTGTATCTTCATTAGTTGTATTGCAGAACTTCAAATATATTTTGTGATGATTGGCAAGAATGTGCATATTGTGGTTGATCTGGTTTATTAATTTAAGGGTGTATGGTAAATAAAGGTTATTTAATAGCTGAACATGAGTTGAAAGTTGAACGTGAGTTGGCCTTTGAAGGCGTAAAGTCAAAGACACATGACAAGATGCATTATACACTTCTTCAGCAAAAGTAATATGTTTTTTTGTATACAGGAAAAGCTGTTATCCTTTGCCTGTCATCAAAAAAGGAATTCTACAAAAAGTTCCTTTATGAGCCGCTGCCAGTTGAAGTGAGTAACAGAACTTTTAAAACTAATTCATCTACACAGTAAACTGCATAAGACGTGAATGCCCGGCCTTTCTTGGCACTTATACGTCACTTAAAAATTTAGATTTGAATAAATACGAAAGCGGGAACAAGCACATAATACTGAAGTAAATTCCATCAAGCACTTTTGAGACTATTAAATGTCGTTTCTAACCAAAACGTGAACGAGATTCACAAGCTTGCTCTCTTCATTATTTATGTTTTACTGTTCAGTGTGAGAGATATTCAAGTGTTTTTCGCTCCTAAATTTAATTTTGTAGCACATTTTACAATTCACAGTTTCACTAAATAATTACTTCTGCAATGTGTCTTCTGATTTCTTCATCGCAGTCTGTTTTTGCTATTTCTTTAGTTTGCTGCAACTCACTTTCAAGGGGTCAGAGCCCCTTGAAATCTTTCTCTGAAAATAAGAATGAGTTGAACAAATATCCATTAATACATGGCTCCCTCCATCTTTCTTCAAATTTCACTAATCCTCTGCTCCTTCATGGTTTTATATAGCAAACTTGTGTTTCACACTTGGAAGTGCTTGTCATTTGCTTGCGTTATTTCGAGATTCCGCTTCTTTTTAAGTCACATCTGGATCACTGCCTACACGATCACTTCAATGCCGAAGTTGTTACCAAGACGATCAGCAATAAACAGGATGCAGTTGATTATTTAACATGGACGTTTCTGTACCGCAGAATGACACAGAACCCGAATTACTACAATTTGCAAGGTGAGAGCCTTTGTTTCGTCATCTGTGCCTTTGTGTAGCCACATGATTTCTATAGCATATGTGTTCGTTGTTACTTTCTTTTTGTTTTGCTGACGGGAGCGTATATTTTCCCGGGTCCTCTTTTCCTTAGGTATCCACTTTAGAAGTATCCACTTTGTAACTAGTTTTCTGGGTATCCATATCTTTGTCTTGTATTTTCATTTTACTCCGGTATCATTTTTTATCCAGGCACCAACTCTTATCTGGGTATTTACCTTTAATCCGGATATTCGTTCTTTGGCAAGAGCATCTGTAGGGAAAATTAACGAATTAGCAGCATAATTTTTAGGATTTAGAGTTTGGGCACGGAGAGCAATTTTTTTCATTCATTTACCTTTTCTAGCCGTCATAGACCTTATTGAACGGCATATTTTCCAGGTTATGTTAGAGAGATTCACATGAGCGGGATAAGGAACCACAGTGGTTATGCGTCTTATTACGCTGTTGACATAGGAGAAGTGTCCTCTCTAACACTACATTCACTGCGTACAAATACGAGAAGCACCGCACCACATCCTTAACCTCTAACGCTTTTGACAGTCTTCCCTACTCACATTGGCTGCAGTTAATCACGTCAAAAAGGTCTTTCGAAACAGACACAATAGTGATTCACCGATTGAGCAGATGCAATAACTTATTTTTGAATGGTCTATTAAAATCTTGGTCGACCTGACCAAGCTAGAGATCTAGAGCCTTTTGCGTAGAACAAATAGCCGCACACTATAATAAAGAGGGCCGTCAGGTAAACCTTTACTTGCAACACTTAGGTCTTACAACTGTTAACTAAATGTTATACCCCTGAACGCTTTAAATAAAAATAGGAAATGCCATCTTCACTCTGTATCAGTGGTGGACACCTGGGGGGATGGGGGAAATATTTGGAAGACAATGATCTTTTGTTCTTAAACAATACACAAATGAGATATCGTCTTAACAAAACAATAGGTGTGCCCCCAATATTTGCCCAATGTCAGCAATTGCTCTGTATCGTTAGAAAGTAAATGATTCACTCTAGTCGAGTTCAATGTTGTCATTACATATATTTGGAAATACCAGAGACACATTTACTAAGCTGTTGTTTGTATACATGAATCCAGAACATTTTTCATTGTAGGTGTATCGCATAGACACTTGTCTGATCATCTTTCGGAGATGGTGGAGAACACTCTCAGCGACCTAGAACAATCTAAGGTATAATATTGTACTTACTGTTCACCACAGATATGAAAAAGCTGTTCACAACACAAAGCACTTAGGACGAGCAATCAAAACTGAAACCAAACACTCTCTCTATCGTCTAGTTCCATTTTTTAGGAGTGTATTCGATTTCGTTTATTGTCAGATCACATTTTCCTTGAAACTTGGGTCTATGAGCGGGGTTTTCTCTTTACATGCAGCTGAAATGGGTGGCCAGGATCATCCTCAAAGTTGCCTTTAACATGAGCTTAATTGTTTGAGTCACATTTTAAGTGACTGCCCAATCCTTAAAAGTTTAGAGGAATGTTTGTCTGATTTCTAATTGATACTGGAACCCCTTTAAGTAACGCGTTCTATACAAAGTACATTGGGGTTTGACCTCGAAGTTTAAATTGTGCTTAGTAATAGCAGTCACGACCCACTCCAATTTACTTGCAAAGTAAAATTAGATAAAAGTCTTTCATCATCTTTATCCAGGAGCCATTTCTGTTAACCGGATTGTTATTGTGTCACGGTTGAAATCCTGAAAACCGGTAAAAACTCAGGAACAATTGAAATCGGAAATCAAGTCTCATTCTGTATATGATTTTGCGAAAGTTTTGTTAATTTGCATTGTCGAAACACCCAATGATTTTTCGAAACATACATTTCATCCATTTTATTTCTACTCCCAGAGATGTAACCCTGACTCTATTTTATGAGTGTTCTTGTTTCTCCACAGTGTATCTCGATTGAAGACGAGATCAACGTGTCTCCCTTGAACCTTGGCATGATTGCTGCTTACTACTACATCAACTACACGACCATCGGTAAGCCTGAATCATGGTTCTAGTATTTACTTATTACCATTTGCATCATTGTTAAGGAATAACATAACATAAAACCTTCACTGTCCTGAAAACGGTCACGTCTTCTAAGGTTATCTAGTTTGGATTTAACTTAACAAACTTTAAAGTTTTATAAAAAAGTGATTTAAAAAAAGCTAGCATCTTTTAGCTATTTATTGAAATTTGATTAGTGTGTGAATTTTTGGAAGTTTTACTGTATTAGTTGATACACCGACCAAGCCTTATCAGGCCCCATGTTGTGATGACTAGATTCAAAGCTTTACTCTAAAACTTTTTGTGTATTTATGTTTATTGTAAATAAAATTAGACATTAGATAGCGTATTGTGTCATTCTTAGATCTCTTATAACTATTTTTTTCTTTTATTTTGGATGCATGGCCCCTTGTAAACAAGCATTATTGACTGGGCTACCATGCTTAAATAATTGAAAATGAAATGAACTCAATAAAATGAGATGAATAGGATGTTGATACATATGTTATTTTAAACCTCTCTAAACCTCTATGTCTTTACGGTCTAGTGTTACCATTTTTTCAGTTTTGGGATAACTATTGTAAAGATACCTGTAAATTGGTAGCGCCCGTTACGTAGTGGCGCCTTCCTTGTATCGTTAAATGTGCAAAGTGGCTCGCTGTATGTCATTATAAAGCATTTATGTTTTTGCCATAGAATCATTCAGTGCGTCACTAACAGCCAAGACAAAACTGAAAGGGCTGATTGAGATTATCGCATCTGCTCATGAATATGAAAATCTGCCAATCAGACAGCATGAAGATTCCATTTTGAAACAGGTACAGTAGCGGGTTGTTAGTTTTATTTAAGAGAAGGTAGTTTATATATTACAATATAATAACACATCATTGTTAGGCCCTGTAAGGATCTTGGATTTTTGTATATTATCCGAGGTGTTGGGAATATTCTTGCGTAAACAATATTCTTGCGATATTTTCTTGTCTGGGGTATCTTTAAATTGTTAGTGATATTCACATTACCACCATTCAGTATTGCGAAATCATTGCAGTACTAGACAAATTCTACAAGTTATTTTATCAGTATGGTATATGGTCCTTTTTATCGTTTAGCTGTCAAACAGAGTTCCATACAAAGTGAGCAGTACCAAATTTACCGATCCTCACGTGAAAACAAACTTGCTGATCCAAGCACATCTGTCAAGAATGCAACTTTCTGCTGAGCTCCAATCTGATACAGAGTTTATCCTAAGCAAGGTTAGTAGTCTTATGTTTCACTCGTATTCCTGTTTCCTCCACACGCATTTTTTGTAAGATACTAAGCTAAAGATTTGTACCTAATTGATATTTTTACCTGGATTTCAGTGCAGTGAAAGTTTCTCAAATGTTTCTTATATAGCAAGTGCTGAAGAGCTACTTTCTAGGATGAAAAGCTAAACACAAAAACGGAACATCACAGTACATAAAACACAAAACTAAATCGGTCGGAAGGAGTTATTTGTCTTTTCTCTTTGTTAACACTACCAGAAATAAGTACCAAATCGTCTAAAAGAATCATTTCCGTTTCCAGAAACTTTGGGTTGGCATAAAAAGCTCGACATTTTATTGAACTAAAAAAATGTGTAGTTGATCTCATTTTCTTTGATGTTTCTTTTCTCCTATTTAACTTCTTTTGTTTAACTTCTTGAGAACTTAGGAGTTCCAATTGAACATTTCTTATCACTTTTTTAATACGTCCCAAATATATTTGTAGAATGTAAGGTATGGGGATTCTTGGTTTTGTTGGCTTGGTGTATTATGTAATATACTCATGCAACGTTTGATTGTCGAAATTTCAAAAGAAAGGGAAGTTGCTCGAACCATTAAAAGTTTTAATAGTTAACTTCACAGAGTAGTAAGAAGAATTAAAGGTATTATTCGAATTAAGAATGATGTAAATAAGGGAAGGATGGATGGTATTAGAACAATATATATAATAATTACACATGTAAATAAAATAGAACGCCATATTAAAAAAGATAGAGAAAAATCCAACTTTATGAATATACTTAACACCATAATAGATTGTTTTTGGTTTGACGCCCTTTTTTATCGCGTTTGCTCTGCACTCCTCCCAAATAACGAGATTTCTATCCACACCCCTATATCATCTACCACCCCTATACAAATTGAATTATCTGATCTTGAATGTATTATTTCTGTATAGGCAATGCGGCTAATCCAGGCTTGTGTTGACGTGCTTAGTAGTAATGGATGGCTGTCACCTGCAATGACTGCAATGGAACTTGCCCAAATGGTATGTTATTGTCAACCTCTTAGTATTCTGTTATTCCTGCTTTCTTGCTTATATGTAGCGCTCTGCAACCATCAACAGCTACGTATTGCGCTGTCGTAAATATCAACACAGTTAAAATTCAGGATCTTTAAAGAGAACAAAATTTAACAGTTTAAGCAGTCCATTGAGAAATGCTGCCTTCTTTTCTGCCTCCTTTGCAACCTCCTTTGCAACCTCCTTTGCAACCTCCTTTGCAATCTCCTTTGCAACTTCCTCTGCCAACTTTGCTGCTTGAAAGTGTACTTTGTCGCATATCAATTTAATGACTTGTTATCCCTCTGAAATGTATCAACTGCTCTAAGACTGTTTCGAGACATTGCTGTTTCGTAATAAGGCTGATTCGTACAACGGCTGTTTTCGTACTGAGGCAGTTTCCTTCTCAGGCTGTTTTGTACTGTGTCTGTTTCGTGCCATTAATGTGCAATTTTATGTAGGAGTTTGGCTTTTGTTATCTCCTTTTTATCATTTAGCATCCAATGTTAAATTAAACCTTAGCTGTTTTCATTTCTTCTTTGATCAGGTGACTCAGGCAATGTGGAATAAAGATTCTTACTTGAAGCAGCTTCCACACTTCTCCGCAGATATTGTTAAAAGATGCCAAGAAAAGGTATGTTACTAGCAACAGTGGTAATTCCAAATAGGAAGGGTGGTTAATTGTCACAAACATCAAGTAATCTGATAGACGACTACATTGTGTCAATCACTAGGTACAGAGAGTTAAGCACCCAAAACGTTTTTATTCTTCCACCTGTAAGTTTCGTTGTTTCTTTCCTATGAATGCGATACTTTCTTATTACACTTACCTTTCTCACTTTTCATCGTATTTCAGGAAATCGAATCTATCTTTGATATCATGAACATGGAAGATGATGAAAGAAGTCAGTTGTTACGATTAGCTGACCATCAAATGGATGTAAGTTTTTTGGAAGGATTTTCGAATAAGCATATTTCAGTATCTTCGCTGGTTATTACCTTTGATTCATTTGATATCTCTTTCTTATCATCAGTGTTATTGTTGTATGGGAATGCATTATATAGCTTCTTTGGCCTACAGTATTGACAAAAATGTTATTGGACTAGGCCAAAACCATATAATAAACAGCAGGTATTGTTTTACCCTCGAATTATGATAACAAAACCCTTCTCTACTTCAGCAGTATTAGTTATTGGGGCAATGCTTGTGTTCCAGCAAGAGGAATGAGTTTGAATGGGTATATCCACGTTACAGGTAGGGTCTTAGAGGGCATCTTCCTGAAAGGACCCCAATTTAGCCAATCAGCCCGATAGCTTCTGGCCTCAAGGTCTGGAAGTGGTGATCTGAAGTCTTGTACCCAGACTGGGAATTAAGTTTAGGAACAAGCCGCCAAAGCAAAGGAAATGAGAGCATATTCAGTTATGAATAGTTAGAGTTATCTGTTCAGTACGGTAGGGAGGTAGTTTGCAAATAGAAAAGCTGCTAAGGCATTTCACAGATTCAATACAATTCTCAAGAACGAGAGAAATAAACAAGAGGCGTGACTGTTCTAAAAACTGCCTTATGTTTTATTCGTCATTCGCAGATGCAACCAGGTCAGGAGGCGTGTGATGTTAGATTTAGATTTATTGCAATTTTTGCCACAGTCAATAGTAAGATGTGATTAATTTCCAATGAATCTACAATAATGGTATTTATTCGACGTTGCTTTGCGCGTCTTTGAAACTTTGGTGAAAGTAAAAAACACTTCCTTGCACCGAGAGGACAAGAGTAGACAAAAAACATCTAATTGCTACCTATTTGCTATTATTTCATCCCAGTGAACAGGGCTTTCTCAACGCTACTCAGTTTTTTGCTTAGGGCTCGTTGTTATCGAAACCTCTGCAGCTGTTTTAATGTAAGGTCCTATTGATATTTTCAGGACGTCGCACGCTTTTGCAACCGTTATCCGAACATCGATATGTCGTTCGAGTTGGAAGATAAAGATAGTATATATTCGTAAGTATTTTTTGTGCATCACTAGTTTTTTAAATCAGTTTTTGCGAGTTCAATTTTAGGGAATTATTTCTTATATTAGGCTACTGTTTGTCAGCAAAGATAGGCCTAATGAATGCTTTTGATCATTAGAATAAGTTGTTTTCCAATGAAAATATTGCTATATGGTATAAGGCTGTACTTACACACCGTTTTATATATAAGCAGTTAACAATTTTTTGGCGGTACAAAATTTTAAAATGGCTTGGAAAAAGAAACGTTTTGCAGAACACTGAAAACTTTTTCATTTGACACTGCTCAGAGTTAAAACGTCAGAATAAGGTTTCGAAAGATCAAGATGGGAAATATATACCCAGTTGTTGATCGAATTAGGCCAATCAGGAAAACGCGAGCATATGACTGGTATGTTTGTCCAGTCAATACCGCGTGCCTATAGGAAATCACAACTGGATTCCAGAAGAAAAAGCTTCTAAGCAATCCTAAACCAATCTGACAGACAGTGCAGTCTTGCATGCCTTTAACCTATTGGCTTTATTAGATCCCTATTAGGGAGTAGAACTCAAACTCTCTTGTTTGTTATCCAGCTTTCCCCACCCTTCTGTTCTTTAACCAACATAATTTTCAGTACCGAAGCCAAATGTTTATCTTTGCCTTGTTTTTCCTGGAAATTACATCCTATAATCCAAAAAGAAAACCCTTTCTTTTTCCTTCAGCTGCTTACATTGCTTTGCTTTTTTGTTTTCACTTGCATTTCCGATCACTGACGTTTATATAAACAAGCCGTTTTAACACAGAGCACACCTTTCAATACACTCAATGAAAACATCTACCTCCTTTTCTAAACAGGGGCAAACCGGTTGTTGTAATGGTCGAATTGGAACGTGAAGATGAGCAACCTGGGCCAGTCATAGCACCATTCTTCCCGCAGAAAAGAGAAGAAGGATGGTGGCTTGTTATCGGTGAACAAAAAACGAACAGGTTTGTTTACAATACGCTTTTTCATTTTCGATTTATTGCTAAGGCCAGCTGTCTCTTTTTCTTAATTATAAGAGCTTAAACAGGCCAAGTCAGTATTATTAAGTATAACTTTAACGGATGCTACTCTAAAGCAAATGTCATATTGGAAGAGGGAAATTTACTACCCTTGAAAACATATTGGCTTCGACAAAGTCAATCTTAGCAGTTATGCATCGGATCTAAGTCCACCTTCCATAATTTTCCTGTTTCGTAACGGGGTTCAGCCAAAGCCCATGTTGCTCTCTGGCTGCATATTTTCTCAGCGAAGAACAGTGACGCAAAATATCTTTCAGGCTTCTCTTATCGTGGTTGATTTTTGCCAGTCAATGTAACTGTCAGAGGCCGAAATGTATATGCATTTTTATGGACGAACTGCTGAGTTCGGAGCTTACTTTGGGTTTACTCATAGGTTTTAAATGCAGTGTAGATTTGCTTTTATAACACTTCTAGAACCGTAGGACCATTTGAGGTTTGATGCCTTAAAATAAAAAACTGTTTTTGAAGGCTGCATCCTTCTTTAATCAAGATTTGTCGTAGATTTTCTTGCCTTCTGCATCTACATCTATTGTGGGTGGACTTAGATCCGATACATCTTTGCAAGGTCAATTGGTATCACTGCAAAGATATTGTTTGCTATCATTGCCTTTCTGGAATCATTTCTGGGCTAGTATTCCTGACTTAGAGCCCTTTTTTAGGATAAGATGCCTTAGAATTGCCCTGCCCATCAAACCCACCATTTTTCTGACCTGAAAATACTTATCTGGTGCCCCTAGCCATAAAAACCTTCTACGCTTAAGTGGACGCTCCAGAAGATTTTTCCCAATTATGTAAAACCTTATTATCACTCCAAATCTCGAGAATCCTGTCTTTTGTATCATAAAGTGAGTTCTTTGTCCAAGTTTTCCCAATTTAGAAAAACTACACTAGAAGGCTCGTAGCTAATTTTGAAACATTCAGACACAGGCAGGGTTGTGCTTGGAATCTTTGCCAGTTAACTGCCTCCCAGATCAGAATCGATCAGTGCAACTATTATGAGCATAAGCCATAAGAAATTGTTATTTCAGAAATACGTTTTTCCCACCCGATTTGTTTCCTTCATTAATTCTCCACAAGCCATGTTGATCATGAGGGCCTTCTGATATGTTTCAGCCTTAGATAGTAATTAGACGCGGTTCTGTCGATATTTGATTGAGAAGATTTCTGTATAGAGTAATCCGTAAAGCTGAAAATCAATTTTGCGTGCTAGTGGTACCCTTGCAGGCAAAAACTGGTACAATGAGATTCTTGTGTCACCGAGACGATAATCTGAAGAAAGTTTACTTTGGACATACAGTGCTTCATCTAGTGTCTCCAGTTACAAAAGATGTATTATCAGGCGACGTGATTCTCCCAAACACTACTTTGTTTGTTTCTGAGTTCCGAGTGATTGGAAGTTTGCCATAATTAGAAACAGCTAAAGTTTTGTTACACAGTGGTTCTGCGCTAGAATTTTTCTGAGGCGATGTTCAATGTTCCTAAACGATGATCTGTGTGATTTCTCCCTCAACGTAACCTCTCTGAAGCTAACGAGAGACTTGCGAATGGTTTCTTTTCCTCGATTTCATATTTATTTATCGCCCCTTCTACGACACATCCCGATGCAGAAAGGTAATTGAATTCCCCTTCCCCTTCTGAAGAATTTGGCCCTTGTTAGGGATTTGAGGCCATTATTTTGCTAACACGTTCCAAACTTTCTTTTCAGCTTGATCTCTATTAAGAGGCTGACATTGCAGCAGAAAGCGAAAGTGAGGCTAGATTTTATCGCGCCAACTGTCGGCGCTCATTCCTACTTCCTCTACTTCATGAGCGATTGCTACATGGGTTGTGATCAAGAGTATCCGTTCAAGATCTCAGTGGCTGAGGGAGACGACATGAGCGAGTCAGAGGATAGTGATTAGACAGTGCGTAACGTCAAAGAAGTAGCCAAAGCATTTTGGCCGAGCTGTTCAAAATGAAGCAAAATCACATATTTGCCTGAGTAGAAGAACTGCTAAATGATATTGGGTAGCTGACAGAAAGAGCTGTTAATTTCGACCCATTTAATTATCAACCAATATTGTTTTAGGCTAAGGAGAGGCAGACATTTTGTAGCTATGGGATCAAGACTATGTCTGTTGAAGCATTTTTCAAAACACGATGATAGATCGATAAGTATGCGATTTCCGTTTGAAGCGTATTTCTGCGTTCCTAGAAATTTAGATACTAGATATTAGAATTTAGCGAAATGTCTTTTATGACATCAAATATATTCGGACCTATCAAATAAAAAGTGACAAGTGGTTTTATTCAAACGATCTTAAAAAAGCTGTTTTCACCTGATATTGTACTTGTTTTTTTCTAAATTAAAGTTCGCACAACCTTATCAAAAAAAGGATCTTCCAGAGTTAATTATGGTATCTTCAGCATGCAGCTGATATTTTAAAAAGCTAGATTCCTGGTCAGTGCGGAGATCATTTGAGCTTTATGATATATTTTGCCAGGATAAGATAGATTTCCCTCGAAAAGACTTTAATGACTTTGGATAATGACGTCACAACATAAGATCATTCCCTACAGTAACAAGAAGTTCCCCTCCATTTATGCTCGGCATTTAGTCATTCTACTCGGTTGTGAAATAGCAGCTAACGTCTCATGTGTATCATGACTCTGATCATATCATTATGCTTTGAGTAAACAAGCCAACAGCAACGTCTCGCAAAATCTATACTAATGTTTTATAATGATGAAAATTATTTGACGTCTGTTTCATTTTCGTTACTTGCAATGTCTAGAAATTCAAATTTTGCTGTTGTTAACTATGCCCAGCGCGTTGTGTTTTGTTAACATTAGGATTTTGACAGCAGTTTTTCAGGGCCTCCGACAAAGGTGGCCCTGCCCCCACTTTTTTGAAATGATAGAGCTTTTTTCAAAATCTTTTGTTATGATCGTTAAATTTTCCCTTGCCACTTATTCCCCAACCCCACTTTCGATCCTGCCCTCGGAGCCCATGGTTTTAGTATATCTTTCGTGTTTGCAACTGTCGTACCCCGGGCATTTTAAACATACAGACAAGGGTCAGAATGCCAATGTTCGCGCCCGCCAGCCCTGATTGTATTTGTTTGTTTAAGACAATAGATAAAAGCCCCCTTTACAAGAACCAAGGTTGGACAAGCCAGCCTAACCCCCTGTGAAAAAGCTGTGGTTACATCGCTGATCTTTCGTCTGTAGAGCAAAGGCTTTTCAAAGGACTCTCGGAGTTCATTTTATTTTTCAAAGTTGACTTTGTCCCCCCCCCCCCCTTTACATTTTCTGTTCATAACGAAAATCGCGAAGGGGCGATGCTTCGTCCTCTAGAAATTGTTCGCTCTTTTCAGTAGAATTCAGTATGAACGGACTGGAAGCTGAAAACTCAATAATGTAGAGGGAGGGGGGGCTAGGATTCTGTCCATGATTCTTTTGCTCCAATACATGTTCGTTTACTTTTAAATTTGGAAGGTATAGGGGCCCTGGGCTGACTAAAGAATCGAGGGACCCATTTATCACCATCTGACCTTCTCTACCCAGGGCGAGGTGAGGGGACTGGTATGGGGTTAGTTTCGCGCCGACACCTCTCGTCTACGTTCGATATGACGATTGCAACTAGGAAAATGGGTCACCATCGTTCGAATGTTGTTCGAGATGGCCCTGTGTCAACATCGTGCCAGTCTACGTTAAAAAATAAACTCTACCTGTTTCGTATGCAGTGGGAAAATCCACGAGCATTTACTTACGTATGGCGAAAGGGAAAATTATCTAATCGGTACCATGTCCATCAACTTAGGCCAAAGAATTATTGCCAACGTGATCCGCTATGATTGATCAACGAGAAGGTAGGGTATTGTCTACGATCGTGTATAATAATATTGTGCAGAAGTGCCGAGTTGGTCATTTGGAAGGTCTTGATTTGCTAGCTTTGCAGAACTCATATTTTATTTTCAAGTATTCAATTTACAGTAACTGGATTTGAAAACCTGAAATTGCATTTTCCACGATCTTTGTCAATTTAGTCTCGTTGCAAACTTCTTCTCAACTATTATATTGAACAAAGCTTCGATTCGGTATGAATTTGGAAAGCACCAAATCAGAAGACCTGTTCTGGTCAAATATAATGTTTTCAGCAGTTTTTTAACTAACGTTGTAAGAATTGGCAGATATTCTAAAGGAAAAATGTGAATTTTGGTGGAGGGGTAGGCATGGGGAGGGGTAGCTAGCTGAAACGGACAATGACAGTGTCAAAGTGAGGGAGGGGTAATTTTCAGGGATCTTTGCCTTGAACAGTACAAGCAGGTCCACATGAAAGTTTTCTCAAAGACGAAAGTAAAGTAAAGAGGGGCTGCTTGTTGGTAATTTCAAGGGGCTCTGCCTTCTGAGCCCCCTGAGCCCCTCCAGCTGTATATCTCTTGGTAGTTAACCCCCCAATTTTGTCAAAGCTTGATCCACACATTTCTTCCAAAAACTGGTAAAAATGAGCTTAGTAGAGGCAGGTCATGTTTTTTCAAGATTTGCCTGAACAAAAAACCCTTGGTATAAAGCAATGAAATAAGGCAGAATGCTGTTATCTCATGGTCAACACCCAACACTAGCTCAATTTCTGCAGAAGCAGGCCATTGTCACTGTATAAATCAGGCCAATCTGCATTTTTGTGTGTACACATTCAGGAATTGTGCTCAAAAGCAGGTGCTCAAAAGCAACATTTTCTCTTTCTGGTTAACATTGAAGAGCACATTCTCTGACGGGAAAACAGTGTCCATTTTTTGCAACATATCAGTGTCATACTCTTCTAGAAGCACTAGTTTTCACGGCTCAGTATCTAAATAGTTTTACATACTCCTAACCAACTTATTTCACATGGGCCAATATCCTATTGATATAATAATCAATCATTTTTGCGAACATAGATGATTATCCCCTATCTCAAATGTCCCTTTAGCAATGATGCTGAACACTTAGATGGCTGAACTATTTGGGGAATTATTTTCGTAAAGATATTTTATTTTGTTTTTGACTTCTGTTTTACCTGTTAATCTTATGTTTTTAACTGCTAGGGTGCCTAAGGTATTGCTAGTTCAAAAATGGCCTTGGCACAAGACTTGTCGCCTGGATCAAGTTGTAGTGAAAAGAACCTTAGTACCACAAAGTGCTCCCTTTTCATTGATAAGAGACAATTGCAGGGCCTCCAACAAAGGAGGGCTAGGGGGGCCTTGCCCCCCCTACTTTTTTGCAAAACAATAGAGTTCTTTTCAAAATATTTTGTTATGGGTGTTAAATTTTCCTTTGGCCCCCCTACTTTTCAACCTTTGACAGAGCCCATGAATTGTAATTATTGCATTTTCAAAAGTCTCACTTTCAGAAAATCCTTACGATTTTCTGCAATGATGATTTTGGTCACTCTAAAATGACATATGAATGGTTTTCAAAGAGTCCAAAATATTTTTTTAATAATCTGAGCACAAAAGAATTAGATAAATTGATATACAAACTTTTAATAAATGTTAAATAATATTTAATGCCATCAACAGATATACAACAATCTCAACTGAAGACAATATTTTCAATTTATATGTTTGGAAAGACTTCCCAACATTGTTGGTTAGTGATTAAATGTTAACATCTTAATTATATTGCATAAATACACATCACTTACAGTTTCCTTGAAAGAAATCTTACAAAACCAATCTTGTACATTTTATTAATAAAATATCTTTCTATTAAAAAAACCATTTTCCAATTCCAGTTATAGTTATCAACCATGGAAAATGCATGGCAGTGTCTCAAGCTGGTTTGGAAAAAATAGCAAATGGTTATTTTGGAAATTTTCGAGAGGCTTTGTGCTTGAAAAAGAATTAAATGTTCTCTCTTAATAAATGTTCCAAGATATAGCAACACAGTAAAAAAATTAATCACTCCATGTAACCAAAAGTTACTGAGCCTCCTACTGGTTACTGAAAATCATCTTAGCTGGGTATGCAAAACTGGAAACAGATCTAGATAAAAAAGTAACCTGCAAAAATTTTCTATAGCCAACTTTCCTATCACACTACCTCGTGTAAGCTGTTTCAATAAGCATTTATACTAGGAAACGCTCACTACTTGATTTCAAATTCCTTTGCAAACCGTTGCAAACAGCGGAGGGGGCGTGGGGTGTGCTTGGGCCCCATGCTCTCTAAAAAATGTTGTGATATCTCAGTAACAGGGTGGCGAATCATGGGATATGATTGATCCTTGTTTGTCTCTTATAACCCCCCCCAAATATAAGTGCCGCTCTGACAGCCCCTTTTTTGTAAATGGGAGTTTATTAAATTTCTTTATATGACGTAGCCATTACCGATGTTGCTCTTAAAATATAAATATGTACAATACTTTTTAAACTAATTGACATCCTTTGCTAACTGCGATATAATACTTCTTAACTCTTGGCCATATTTCGCCAGATTTCTAGTCCTGGTTTTCGTTTCTCTAATTTTACTAGAAACTACAACATTCTTCCTCAGTTTCTTCAGCGAGATTATCGCACGTTTTAAGCTGCTCTTTCGTTTTTTGAATTGTTTTATATATTTGGTAACAATATCCGTGCTAATACCGTTATTTTCTGGTGTTAATGGCCAGCTCCGCTCAGACTTTTGGTAAGATTGCCTGTGTTTGTTTCTTTTCGTCTTCCGACGACTCGGCCTCGGTCGACTCCTCTCCGAGAATTTAGGTGAGTCTCTTTTTACTCCGATCGGTCTTTCAATGAAATGCACTGATTTGCTTTGCCCCTTCGTCTGGGGACCCTTGCGTGGCTGTCCGTTTCTGTCTATGGCAAGATACCACGATTCGTTAGATGATAATTGAAAGGAAATGTAGGCTTTTTTGCCGTAAACCTCTTTGAATACACATCTTCGCATCTTCTTCTCTTTTGCAAAGCGCCTTCTTTTTCCCTGTGAGCTGCGATCTTTTTTACTTTTCTTTCCTTTCCGTCTTCTATCGGCCTGTCAAAAGAATGATCATATATAGATTACAGCGTCATTTCAACAAGGTTCCAAAAACATCATATATTTTGTTATAATTAATGGAAAATGATTGTTAGTTTTGATAATTATAAACAAGGCTTTCTTTAATATTTTTAAAATTTTGCCCATGAATGTTTATACCGTCAAATAATTAATTTTAATTGCATACCTCTAAACATCTAAAGTACATCAATTTTACCACGCAGAGAAAATATATGGCAACAAGATTTATCTATGATTTATGTTTCCACTTCGATTATAAAATGCTATCTTGATGGGAAAAAGATTACAAAAGATTTATCAATTCACCATTATGCTTGACTTCAATTTCGTAGTGATTAAGCGACATTTAATTAATTAATTAATATTTATTTAATAATTACTAACCTTTGCAATCAGTTTTCCTGCCTTGTTCATGCATAAATATCTTCCTGATTGAATTCCTTTGAATCTTACTCTCCCAAAATTGTCACTCTCCACCAGGAAACGAGCTGTAAGAAGAATTATATATCATTAAGATGTATGCATAGAAACTACCCATCTATAACCTCAGACGTTCACGTATTATAGCCCCCCTCCCCCCGAAACGTTTTAACCCCCTCAATCTGTGATATGCTGCACGGTCCTTGGTTGGTTACAAAGATCAAAACTAAGATCTTTTTGTATAAATGACAATTCTACATTTTCGCCAAAGCTTTAGAGAGAATTCGAAGGTTGAAAGGTCTCAAATTTCTTTTTTCTTCTAGGATAGCATGGAGATTACAAAAAAGCGGTCTAAAATCATTCTGTTGATATTCTTATCCAACACATCTCCCTAACTGCGTAAGTTCAACATTATCTATTCATTGTCTGTCAAGCTTTGGGGATTTCAATGGCCCCGGGCAGTTGTTTTCCTTTAGAATTTTTTATTCCCTGCGATTTTAGATTCTCAAACGGTTCTAATAAATTATTTTTAAGCCACACCGAACATTTAAAGATCCAGCTTCATCATTAGAAAAATTTTCTCCATTCGCAATCTCTATTAAGTTCATATTTTTCAGTGAAGTTGTATAAATAATTTTTTATTGAAAAAAATTGCATAGCTTTTTAATAGCAGATGTTCGTTCATTATGGCCTCGTTTTGAATATGAGGGTAAATCCTATTTTGAGACCTACTTTCATTTGCGAACCAGCTAGTAGCGGTATGTTACAAGCAAACAACCTTGACGGCCAATCATCCAAGTTTTGGGGGTTAAGGGCAATTAGGGATGATACCCAAAGCTACGTTTGTTTGAGCCCAAGATAATGCGTCAGTCACGCAGCTAATGACCGGAAGGAAAGTCATTTAAAGCAAAAGATTTCAGGTACCAAAACCCGAACCAAGAAGGGAGGTTTTGAATGTTTCGGGCCGCAAAAAAACTTTGGCCATTTCGATTATTGTAGATAAGAGTTCTACAAACGTATCTGAATATATCAAAAATAGCTTGGACCTGATCGAACGGTTGTGGCTATTATATTCTTTGTAAAGAAGTCTCCCTGGCCCTTGTTGCTGATCTGAAGAAGTCTTGAGTGTACGATAACAGCCTCAAAGATCTACCGGCAGTACTGTTATCAAAATGTTAGTTTAGAGTATGATTTTCGTTTTCTTATGAAGCCAAAACTGGCTGCTCTCGTGTACACGAAGACTTATCCTTACAAATACCACGCCCTGAGACAGACTAATCTCCACTCTGCGTTTGAAAAGAATTTGATTTTTCCAGACGGCGAGTATATGTCAATAGGATCGACCTGCGCAAACGAGCCTGCCAGTGGGTGTCGCCCACTTAGAAGTCTGAATTCGAGGCAATTAAAGCTTTTTCGCAGTGTTTGTTTTACCTCGATATGAACACTTGCAATTTGAATGATCTCTAACAATTCTGATTTTGATGGGCTTTTATGCATTTGTTAGCGGTTGACGCAGTTTCCGCAGTAAGTTTGAGTGGCAAAGCAATGAATGTTAACTTTCCCTAATACAGTTGGTTTCTTTTCCCATCTAGTTGATACATTGCAGTTGTCCTTCTCTTTCCGCTATTTGGACCGTGACAAAACAAGTAGGCGTTGTGAGCAAACAGAGCATGCTACACTTTAACAGTACCTGTTCAATAACCATGAACTTTATAATGAACCTGTTTACTTTCTGACTCGCGTTTGGTAGTAGCCAACCCTTTAGTTGGTAGGTGCTTGCTCCTTCGACTCCATAATCTGAGGGGGGGAGGGAAAGGGGAACTGAGAAAAAAATGTTGGTTAACAGCTGTTAGCAATATGTCTTGAGTAAAGAACTGTGACCGTACCCCTTAGCCTCTCTTATGGTATTGCCCCCGACTCTAGGGGTACTGATTCGAATCTGTGATGTTAAGAAGCTACCAGAGTTCTCTTGCTTTGTTTAAGAAAATATAGGTGACAATTGGATGAACTAGATTACCCAAAACAAATATTAATCTTTGATCAATACCTCAATACCATATTTTATTAAGGGTATGATTTTTTGCGGGGAGGCAGGGTGCTGCCGTTTATGGTTGAATGGGGGTAAACATCATGGTAGCTTTTATGGTTTTCTGACACTTTCTGCGTCTCCTTGTTCTTGTGTCTGGTTTTGTGTTCTTTTTTAGTTTTTTCACCCGGAAAACATCACATAATACCTGGATGAGAGGGAATTAGTGGCCATTTGAAATCTCATTTCACTCATCCGATCATACTATTTCTAAATGTTGTCTGTGCCAACAGAAAATGCCTCTATTGGAAGACCCTCCAAATACAATTAGCGATTAGCCCAATAAAATATATATCGTCTGAGCTGTGCTTTACGTTGTGGCATGCAATTGGCCGGCATATGCGAATTTCTCAGCGCACGTAAAACTCGTAAATCCAAATTAATCTTATTGCTATGGTTCCCAGAGACATTCTTAAACTTTAGATGTGTTCACTGTGGGCAGCATCCTCCCTTGCGTAAGGTTTCCATGTTAATTTTGAGTTTTTATTGCGAAATGATCAGCGTGCTACACACACAGCCCTGCAATTAACCTCTAACGAGATTAGTGCCTAATCCCCTCAATGCTAGGCGCGTTGTTTTGTGTTGGGCTTGAACTTCCAATTGCCCTTTAGGATGTGGACTGCGCATCCACGAAACCCTTAATAACTTGAATGCCTGGATGCTGATTCGCCGTGATTATTCTTCGAAAAATGCTCAAGAATTATAGATCAAGATTTGATGCAGACATCATCCGGTGATTCAAACGCTAGAATTAAAAATGTTTGAATTATCGGAACTTCGAATTATATTGAGGAAAAACGTTTTGAAATATCAGATTACCAGGTAGCCGAATTATCCAACTTTGACTGAGTATGTTAATGAATGGATCCATGAATATCTAACGTAATGGTTGAGAACAATATATTGCTCTTTCATTAGTCTTGGCAATGTCAAAACAGCCTCTTGTGACGAACAAGAAATGGAACAAAAAATGCCATTTATTTATAATTTCGTTTGTCTGTTCTTTCCTTCACTCATGTACTGTAATCAATATTATTAGGCGACCAAACCCCGTTCTTTGATCTCAAAAATTATAATTGTCATATGAAGACAATGATGAAGAGTGCAATCTTTGATTCATATGCTTAGTTATATGAAAATTAGGATGCTTTGGAAATGATCATCGTTCGAAAATGATCATGATTTGAAATCGACAAAATGATCATAATTTGAAAACGATCATGATTTGAAAACGATCATGATTTGAAAATGACAAAATGATCATGATTTGAAAATGATCATAGTTCGAAAACGACAATGGTTAGAAAACGACAAAATAGTCATGATTTCAAAACGATCATGATTTCAAAACGACAAAATGATCATGATTTGAAAATGATCATAGTTCGAAAACGACCATGGTTTGAAAACGACAAAATGATCATGATTTGAAAACGATCATGATTTCAAAACGATCATGATTTCAAAACGACAAAATGATCATGATTTGAAAGCGATCATGATTAGTCGTGTACCTATTACCAAAGAGAGATATTGATATAATGATTGTGACCATTATAATCTGCATTTTAATTATGAGGTGGGTAGTTATTTCTGACAAAAAGGTTATTACAGTCTCGATAGCGATTACTTTAATGCCTTGTGGGCTACGCAAGTTATTGTGCTTCACTGATTACCCAGAACCCCTATAGACGTAACTAATTTTCCTCGGCCTTGAAATTTGAAGATTGATTCGGCTCCGTCGGAAGTGGTGTTGAAGAGCGAAACATTATTGCGATGTCAAGGAACAAAGTTCTTCTTGGATGCCCAATATTCTTAGGAGTTCATTTACAAAATTTCCTACTTGTTTATGACACTGACAGTCCTCTAAATATAGATTTGGAAATCTCAGACAATTTTTGCAAATAAAGAGAAGTACATCTGCAAAAGTCAGATTTGCAACAATTTTTGCCAAGTAATTTTGTCCCTTGTCAAAAAATGCCAGACGAGATGAAACTTCAAAAGACAGGATATCCAAAAGTCTCCTAGTACTGAAACAGGATAGCCATCATTGCAGATTCTTAGGTTTGATACAAGGGTAACGGTATCAATATTTTATCAATAGTGTGTACTATTTATGCAACGCATCTAGTACCGGCTTATGATAGCATTTATAAACTAAACGAGAATTAGCTCCGAATCTCTTGTCAAGCAGATGTTTTCGTTTTCCCTTGTTTCCCCCCTCCCCTGTTGTTTTACCCCCTTTCCATGCAACTTGTTGTATACGCCTCTTTAAAAGCAGGGAAGCGTTGTGGGACTACGCCAGTAGCTTCGACATGGAGCGGTCATGACTTGATTTGTGGGTACATTGTACTTGGTCAAAAGCGAATTAATACTTTAGGGCTTTGGGTCAAATTACATGTTGCTCTTTCTAATTGACGCTGTTTCTATCGTGTACAGCTAAGAAGAGGGCGCTTGCATCAGCTTAAGTCTAGTAGCTCAAACAAACGTAATCCCCTAATCTCCAAATGCTCTTTGCTTGCGAAAACTAATGCCCTGATCAGCCTAGTATCGCGTGCCTGAAAGGGCAAGAATTTTATTAATCCAGCATATACTTCTTTCATTTGTCTTTAATTCAGATAAAAAAAGATGTTTTTCTTCCTGGTCTTAAGACACGTTCCGCATTGTTTTTCGGTCACACTTGTGACTTTTGCGTGAAATTGCAATGGTCACTAGTTTACATTTTGGTATCAGTTTTCAAGAAATTCTTCTAATTTAACTCTTTCAAATCCTTTCTAAAGGAGGGAAATCCCACATTGAACAGGACTTTCTCATTTTGGCTCTCTAATATTCCAGAAATCAAGTACTAATATGTATAAAAACAAACTAAGCCCTAGCAAGAAAAAGCTGAATATTTATTTTAACTCTTTATTGGTACATTTTAAATACGTCATATCCGTTTCTTGGGGCAGAAATTAATGAGTGCCTTGACTTGCACATTGGTAGTGTTCTCGCCTGAACTGCTGCAGCACACGCGGCTAAACATTTCATAAGCTAATCGATAGATAGAGCCTCATTGGTCGAATGACAGTTTTATTCGATAGCTGATGTCTCATGTCGCCAAGAAGTAAGTAGGTCATCGTTTTACTTTGTTCCTTATTTTCTTTCGCAGGTTTTTGGACTTGATGTGATTTTATTTTTACAGGAACAAGGCAAGGCCTAAATTGGTACCTTGCCATTTGGTCATCTCTTGCTCTGCTACAAAGCTTTCATACACCTATCAATATATTGCCTGGGATCGTGGTTTCTCGTGGTTGAAAAGCTTCAAAATATACTTGAAGTTTCTCTTAAATTAAAAGGGTGGAAATATTCAAGGATGTCAAAATTAGTATTAACAATATATTTTTCATGAGTGCTCCCTTAAAGAAAAAGTTACATTGCATTTTGCATGAAGCATTTTAGTGTATGTTGCTGGAACTGAGAGAATTGATAATATCTTCTAAAGGAGACATCAATTTCTAATGCAACTATTCTTATTTCGCATTATCATCATTGGAAACCATATATGTTTGCACTTTATTGATAAGATTCATATAAATCTTCATGATACTAGCAGCGATATTCTTAATTATTTCATATCAGCGTATGACGTTTCACTTCACTAGTTGACTGCGGTTGAATTTGGATTTATGCTGGATATCCCTTGTGTTAATAAAATTGCTACATATGATAAGATTTTCTCTCTATTTGCTCGAATATGTACCGAGCTTAGGAAACACTCAGTATTTTAGCTGGCGGCTAGTGGGTTGAAAGTTTCAGCTTCAATTTGTGTTCCAATTCCAACTCCTCAATTCTTTGCCCTAAGCACATGGTTTTAAATGTGTACACATGGAAGGAGTTTCAAAGGAAGTTGATGGCCATGGTTTTATCCAAGCAAATCAATCGTTATTGAACAAATGACAAGGAAAGGAATGAATGGCTGAAAAATATATTGATTAAGCACATGCAATGAGAAAGAAGGAACAAAGGAATTAATCAATGAATGAACTTTTCTCGGTACCAGTTTTGAAATGAATGGAGTAATTTTTTCCACTCGCTTCATAAACGCATTGGACTGTTCCTTGACAGCATGCAAGCATAGTCCCTGTACAGTGGAGAGGGAACAAGGCGGGGGTGACTGCACGACGTGACATAATTTTAGTCATGATAAGTTCAAATTATTCAGATTCGAGAAAGAATGTCAAGGAAAGTTGCAGCAACCCTATAATTTTTTAATGGGCGTATCTCCTCATTTTTAACTCACTTAAAACCTGTTTGATTAGGTTACCCCTCCTACTGACCACGTTTTTCGAAAGCGACTTTGTATACTGCTGCATAAGTATTCCATACGTACGCTTAGAGAAAGAAGCCAGTTCTGACACCCTTTGTAGATTTCAGACAGGCAATATCACTTGCTTGATGAAACAGGTACTAGTTGGTTATTTCACTGTTTGTAGGACGATTCGTTCACTGTTAAGCCAGTGGATAGCCTTCTTGTAAGGAGGGTTATCTGCGAATTTCATTTCAGGGGATGCAAAGTACGGAAGTAACTCAGGCACACTTAAGATGACTGTACCTAAGATCTCAATTTGGTTCTGGTCCAAAAGTACCCTTTTAAGGACAGTTTCTAACACTTTTGCATACAAAATGAGAATCTTTCTGAACGTTTTTACCAGTGAATGTCTCCATTAGTAAGGAATTCCTTACGGCATCGTTTATTATGAAATTTGAAAAATTGTCGCTGCAACTCCTTTCACACAAGAACCTTTTGGGAGGGGTGCAGACCCTTTTAGATTTAAACTCTAGATTTCTTCGTAGATACAGCCAGTGGAATCAACCTCTCCAAAATCCAAGTATCTAATTTGAAACATCTTTGACAAATATGGTATATTTCGGATCATTCTCACAAGTTTGAACTCTTAAAGAAGCCTTACGTTACGACTTGAAAATGAATTACCTGATCCACGAGTTATGTGTATGAAAATAGTTCTACTCGTGCTGTTTTGATAAACACGAAATATTGGCGGGAAAATACGAGATTCCAAGAGAGGATGTTAGCTGCGACCGCAATGTGTCGGAGGAAAGACTGCCTTCGGAATAAGAATCTTGTTCGTCCTTTGAAGGTATCACCGATATAGGAACTGAGCGATCTGAAATGTTGCACCTTCAATTCAAGTATTCAGTTTTTTATTTGTCGGAAGATTTCTTATAAATACACAGGATACCGTGTTTGCAAACGCGGAACAATATGAATCTTAAAGAAGAATTTTGCTTGCATTAAAGATTGAAGCTGGAGATAATGAAAATAATAGAGAAAATGCGTTGATATTTCCTACAAAGTATCAAATCTGAACTTTGTTTTTGTAGGACTTTTATCAATGTTGATCTGCTCGAGTTGATATAGGATTAAGGCTGTTTAGAAACGAATTTATCTTCAAGCACCACACACTCATTATTGCTACCTTGAAGATCTCGATTGCTGAAAAGGGTTTTCCGGACTCCTTGCTTCTTTGTTTCTTGTATTTGTAATAAACCTGGCCTAATGCTCCCGCTCTGCGTCAAGGCCTTTTCATAATCAGTGTTCACCTGCCGATATCATGCTTATTGCAAAAGATCAAAGGATTGGAAAGATCAAGTGAAAATTTGCGCTCAAATCGATGGCCCAGTGTTTTTGGATTCCTCCTTAAGCTAGAGTATCTGCCTGAATTAAAACTTGAATCAGATGGCTTGGCTTCAGTATCACTATGCGTTTTTCCTTCAAAATTAACTTCCTTTGGTATTTATCTAGATGGTATTTCAGTGGCGTAACGCAGTTTATGGCACCTTAGTTTGATAACTAAAGATCCCCGATCAAAAGGGGCCCCAGGTGTATTTGTACATTCATTTCTTAAAACTTCGTTAAAGATCTCATTAAAATTTTCTGACTTAAGCATATAACAAGTATGAAAGTAGAAAAATCATCATTCTATTCTCTATAACATGCTTTCACATGTGAATGGGACCTTCTGGTACTCCGGTGATTGGGGCTCGTTTCAGTTTTTTCCTAAGAGCCCAAGGTGTCTTTGTTACGCCCCTGGAGTATTCACTTCTTGTCAGTTTGAACAACACCCTCCTACCAAACTTGAGTAATGGCTTCCAGTAGAATATGCAACATCACCTGAAGGCTATACTGTGTTTTTTTGTGTTTGCAAGTAGCAAAGACGTCTCCTGTCCTTGAACTCGTAGCGTTATGCTTCAAATGAGTACGAATTCACGGGTGCATCGACAGACAATATTGATTTATAGGAATAAACTGAGAAAATTTTATTGTTTGGAAACATGTAAGGTTTTCTTTGAAGCCTTAAAAGCAGTTTGGAATCCTGGGCGGGGTTCGTTTGATGAATTTTGATCTCTACTGAGGAGAAATTCGTACGAAGGCCTGATGCCCCAAAATGAGGGTGCTTGAACCATTAACTGAACGGGGGCAAAAGAAAACAACAGTAACATGAGAAGAATAGATGCATCTGGCCCCGTTAGTCCTTGGTCCCTTGCTCCTGATTTCGGTTTCTCTTCATCAAAAGTAAATGAATGGTTCTAAGTAGCAGTTAATGATTTGTTTTTAAACTATTTTTCCCTTTAGGGTGTCGCTTGGATAGATGTTCTCAATCATATTCGCGTTGATATGTCAAGTGTAGTAATAAAACTGCATCTAAAAGCTTGTATGAGTATTTTGATTTCAAGTCTATCTATGCCAAATTAATCTCAAACATCCTTTCCTCTATTTCGCACAGCCATTTGGTAAAAGGAACCCCAGAACAGATAGCCTTGTCCATGCACCCTCATCATTGACCGACCTGATTTCACAAGACCGCATTTACCAGAGATTCAGCAAAAGCTCGGAAATCCTAAGAATCTGAGCACACCTTGTGGATTCAAACTGGCCTATTTGGTTTAGGCAGGTAAGTAGATTAATTTACAAAAACTAATAGCAACTAAGAGCTATACAAACTCCGCTTCTGGTCTTAAACGGGCTTCAATAGCACTACCGCAGTGATATATTGGCTTAATAAGATGCCCATGTTTATTTCTTATTTTTCTACAATGAACCTCGGGTTGTATTTTTTAAAATTACGCTTAAAAATAACGCGAACATGTTAATCCGGTAATACACTTAGCCTTGTTACCTACAAAGATGGAAGATATCCCTTTTCACCTTTATCATCCGCTTGTTTAGATTAATCAACTTTTGCTTTAGGTTCATACACCGTTGGTAGGTAACACTAATCTCGTGTTTACGTAATAACAACAATTCTAGATGCATAAATAAACTTCAAGGGGGGCCTTGAACTATGTTTTTCAGGAAACTCCGCTAATCCCCGTATTTTATTTTAGCTTTTAAAATTAATTTTCTAAATTTTCCCGCACAAGCTTGCCAGATGGCAAAGAAACTGAAGGGGGCGGGGACGCTTTAGAGGATCAGCCTTGTCAAAGTTGTTGTCCATTCAATGAGCGAATGCGGGGGCGCATGTGTTGTACCACTGTAAAGGAGCATTTTTATTCCTAGTATTTTCTCATGATAATAAAAATGATTATAATAGAAAGTGTTTCCTTTAAAGAAATGGCTTTTAACTGTTAAGTACTAAGAATACATCTTGAAAGGCCTTTCCGCAGGAAAATGTTTTATATGATTTTAAACGTACGTGTTACTACCCAATTAATCAAGGACTTTTTTGCAAGATATAGGAGTATTGTGTATGAAGGACAGGTCTTTATTTAATTTATAGCAGCTTCACATCTAGAAAGGTTTACTAACTTTTCTTATGATACATCTTTTCAATGTCTCTACTTAAAATTTTTGCACCCTTTTGACAAAAAAACACAAAGGAAAGTTGTACGTACCGTACGAGGACCTCCGCACCCCATTTGCATTGATCTTTCTTCCTACGATTTGCAAGTATCCCTTCGCTGCTCTTGAATAGAGATAAGTCTCACGGGTGAAAGGTAGACTAACAAAGTCTGATGTTGTTGTCTGGCGCTCAAAATGGTCTTTGAACTTGTAGTAAAGGTCAAACTGCAATGGAAATTATATGCGTTAATCCTGGCCAACTTGATGTTCATATAAATGATACAGGAGACATTGCTGCATGTAAATGGTCATTTTCTAAGTGATTATTGATCAAAGAAACCCATAGAATACTAATGGTCTTGGATGAAGGAATGTATCAGGTTGATTCAGGCAGATTGATTTTCATCGTCAGTTATAAAATGGTCTTGATGTGGCGACGCCAGCTCGAAATTAAATCCTAGATTTGTGTTCTAGATGTTTCCGTTGCTAGTTTTACCGAATCTTGGAATGTGTGGATCTGTTTCCTTCACGCCCACTAATGTTTTTGCTACTGTTTTTCTTTAAAGAGGAAAAATCTTTTTTTGAAAATTTGGGGTTGCTGACTCGTCCTCATTTATTTTCTTTACCCTCCTTTTTCTCTTAATATTTGGAACAATAGCAAAAAGCGAGGCAGGTATGAAAAGACAGTTGTAAAGGAAAGGGGGCATTTTCCTGTATTGTCCTACCAAGATTAAAAGATTTCTAGGAATATTACTAGATCTACTTTGTTTTGAAACTGTTCTTTATTCTAGGTCTTCTTCTTATTTGTATATTTTTTTCTATGTAATTCTGGAAACTCTCTTTATTTTGGGTGCTCCTTGCAAACTTTGGAATTCCTTGTACAGCGTAAGCAATTCCTTTCTTGGGCGTCCCTACTCGCTTAAAGAAAAATCATTACGAAGTATTATTGATCGCATAGTTTCGTGTAAGCGGCCGCCGGTCAGCTGAATAACAAAAGTACTGTCTGTTTTCCTTATGATGATGAGTAAGCCCCAAAGGGATAAGGAAAGTGTCATTTCATGACGAGTCGACGTCGCTTGTTTGCTTGGCAAAAGAATTCTTGAAATAGAATACGTGCTTTTTAAATCCCTAGAGCTAGAAAGAATTCATCCACTATTTCTTACACGAATACAATAGAATAGCAGAGCTCCCAAAAGAGTCTGTAAAATTTGTTCTGTTATGTTTTGGCTGGCAGGAATGGAAGGAATAACTCGTCTTGAATGGGGTTATAGCAATTAGCAAGATCTTGTTTTCGTGTACTCTTCTGAGAGTAGTTCAACTTGTGAGGATTATGAGTGCTTTTTGCTTAAAAAAATTAACAGTTCATGTACCATGTTCACAACTCGCGTTAATTGCGTCTTGGAAAGCCAAAATTCTTCAAGACTGGCTACTGGCTCGACTTTTATAGCTTAGAATAGGGGCAGGTTTTTCTAATGCTTTAATTTTCCACAAGGTTTTTCAAATTTCAACTACCTGACTTTTTCTAACCCCAAAAACCTCGATCTACATTCCATTAGAGATTGAGGGGTCAGTCACGTCCCCAACTCCTTAGTAATCGTTTTCGTTTTCCCTGCCAAAATTTCAAGCTAAAATTTTGTTTTATTAAAAGTCGTGTAACCTTTTGAGACAGTGTTAATGCCCTTTTGGAAATTAACCAGCCTTTCCAACATACAACATCAGTGAAGTCATTTGCCGATCACAATTCTTGCATTGATTTAAAAATGCAAGTCAGCTTCAGAAAAATATTTTCTTTACTACATCGTGACTTTATTGACGCCAGCGGGTCTCTTCATCTATGAATCTTATTTTCAACCAAGAACACACCATTAATAATTTTATATCCTAATTTCGCTTATTGTTTCCAATGTGATCTGTATGATTCCTATCAAGAAAGGAATTTTCTCTTCAATTCTAACTACTTTTGTGACATGTTATGATCTGTCCTCTAAAAGATGATTGGGCAAAGGTAAAGAAGAATGAGCAATTTCTTACCCATGCACTGGGTGGGGGCGATTAAGGACAGAGCAGAGTAAAATATTGAAAGACCCAAACCAGCAGCTGTTGTCAATCGGGAGCATGGCATCTAAGGACCGCGATCGACCGGTAGAGTTACGTTTGCTTCTAATTTGCACTGGGATTTTTCAACGTGCGTTCTAGACTTATAGGATACTCTTTCTTTGTAAAGAGGGGCAAATCACTTTCTGGAATTATCGTACACTTTTGATGAAAATCTTATTGTTTATAAGAAACTCTAAAGAAATCCTTTCATTTTAAAACATTTCTCGAAATATTTTTTCCAATTTCGTATTAGATGTTGAAATTTAGCAAGGGGGTCCTTTTTACTGAACCCTACACCTTGATGCAAAGTTAATTGCTTGCTCTTCCTGAAGACCAATAAATTTGATAAACTGCAAGATAAAAATTCATTCTAGACACATTAAAGAGCCACCCATTAGCCTAATTATTTTCAGACTGGTTGTGCAAATGCCTGCCTTTTGTCTGCAACGTCTTTTGTGGACCAATGGGCTGGATACTCATTAATGTCCATTGGTAACAAGAGTAGGAAATTCTTGGTCCTCCTCCTTAATTTCTATTTTAAGAAAGGTCTTTTTTCTCTGTCGACTTGATTATATTTTAAAGGCATCAGTTAAGTGTGTTTCTTTTTAAGCAATTGTATAAAAATTGGGGCAATGGGTTGTTCATTGTTTGGATTGTACTAATCTCCTTGGTCACCTTGAGATGTTGTCTGGTTCCACGTTTCTACATTCTCGTAAAGAAACTTATGGGCCTAGCGTATGGAAAAACCGTTTTGGGGAGGAAGGGGGGCGTGGGTTGGTTTCGATCTTGGCCGAATAGTGTTGCTTCATTGACAGAACTGCCCGAATGGAGCCTTAAATGCGATGAATGTCAGGGATTAGGGGGACTGCAGCCCTCCAAGCCCCCATGCGATGGGTGGGGCAGGAAAGGGATACAGAATATTGAAGATATTTGACACACTAGAGTTTTATATAATGCTAGAGCTGCTGCAAGGAAGTGGATTCTGAGATATTTATACCCCCTCAACACCTTTGTATTGCATTGGACCAATATTGACACAAAATCAAATGTGCTCACATTTTTGCTTCACCCATGTACAAACTCTTTCATAGAAATAAGAATCTTTTCAGTTTTTAATGACCTACCGATATGCAGTCTAATAATAAAAAATCCAGGATACTAGAGTAAAAAATTAATTTTTCTCTACTGACAGTAAACATTTTTCTCTTAAAACGAAACTTGCATCAATCTTTAGCAACCTCTAAGTATAATTCTTTTACTTCAAACATTTTTGATGCAGTTTCATAATTTCTATTTTATCATTTCCTTTCGATTCTAATGTAATACTTGACATCAATTTCTGATGGCGTTTACAAAAAAGTGTATTAGTAATGCGAAACAGGTTTCCTATTATTCGTGATGTTGCCAATTTACTCGCAGAAGTTCATATTTTGTGTATGGAATTGATTTTCAGTAACCACTTTCATAACACAATTTTATATAATAATTGCTGTAGGTCTTAGTTCCCAACTATTTCTTGTACACTTCCTTACCAGTGTAAACGCAACCGAGCACCATTCATTCTAAGAAGATCCACCACCCGATTGTATTTTGGTTGCGCTGCCTTGTAATACCTATCGCGTCGCCGATGCCTCAAAGATGCATAGATTGGTTACTTGAAAGAGTCTTGTGGCAGCTCTGGTAATTCTTTTTATCTAATCTTCTCGGTAGCAGTTGTGTTTCTAGATTCATGATAGATGTTCAAAGCAAATTGTGACTGCTTTAGGCCTTGTCAGCAAATCTAGGATAATATGGCGATTCATCTCTTGACAATACACCAAAGAGTCGGTTTCGTTTGCTGTCGCTATTTTTACGTTACGAGGAAAAGGAAGGCCAATTTTAGCTAACTTACTCTAGCCTGGTTGACCAAGCAATTGTCTGTTACACAAATCTTGGCCTAGAATGTTGCTACTTTCAGCAAGTAGATAAGTTCTCTGTCGCCGTCGTTAGCCAGGCTGATAAAATATAACAGCAGAAACGGATCTCATTTTCTGTATCTCCCTCCCTATTTCCCGCAAAGTTGTTACAAGGCTGCCCAGAACTAAGTACATTTCACCACAAATTTGCCTTGTTTTTCTTTCAGAGCAGGCCAGTAAAAATCAGAAACGAACGATACTCAACTCACGTGATATCTTCCATTACTTCCATCCTTCCTAGTTATTTATACCTGTTTGCAGGTAATATCGAATTTATGCGGCATGATCGGAGCATAGTTTAACTGATTTTGATTTATAGAACACAGTGGCAGAAACCGTTTTATTACGTTCTGTTAAGTTTATGGGGAATCTTTCTGAAATATAGTTTAGTTCGTCAGTTCATAGAACTTTCAAAATGAAGCTGATCCTGTTGCTTAATCCATTTCTTGTTGGATGGGCATTGACAAATTATATTCAGGATCAAACAGTTGGTCAAAGTACTCAAATCTTACGTCATACAACTACCATTGAAGTACCGAGCATTTTATTAATATTACTTTGCTGGTTGTTGTACGTAACTGATATGTTTGGTAGCAAAATTACACGATGGCAGACTGTGTTAGGCAACCAGTGCTTGCCTCCACCAAAGCTTGAGTACCCTAAGCTAAGAATGAGACCTTAATAGTAGAATCGATTTCATATTTTTCATCTCTAACAACATTATCAAAAGTGCAGGGCCTCTGAAGAAAGGAGGGGGCAGCCGGAAGAAACATTACCTCCACTTTTGTGCAAAACAATCAAGCTTTCTGCAAAATATTTTGTTATGGATCTTTAATTTGCCCCTGGCCTCCTCTTTTTTCAACTGGCGACAGAGCCCCAGAAGTATAGGAAATCTTCCAACAACCCCCCCTCCCCTTCAGGATTCACAAGCAATCAACAAGCAAGCTTGCCTGCTCCATTCTTTTTCAAGCAACATACAGTTCTGAAACCCGGCCTTATATGTTCTTTCTGCGTGAGCAAGCTAAGCTGGTCACAGCCCTAGGCCTGCATTACAACCTTGTTATGTTTCACACTAAGAATTACTTTGAAATAGCTTGTTATAAGATAATTGGTTCTTCAGCTTATTACATGAAGTATTTACATACAGAAGAGGCATGTTTGTTGACTAAATATGGATCGACTAAGACTGCATGGGTAAATTTTGTGTTTCACACAGGCTGAGTTGTCGCAATTCTGTGATCTGGTATTATTAAGTTTGATTGGATAAAAATCGACTGAGTAGGAACTTGTGGTGAGACAAAATGGCAGCACTCTTAACAAATACCTTAGAAACGCAAACTGCGTTGAAAATGTTGCAGGATTGTGTAACTTAAATGCCATTTAAACTCGTTCATCTCCTTATGAAAATTGGATTTGCTATGAATAAAGTGCGCCAATCCTTTAACAAGGATTTCATATCGAAACATTGTAAAATTGATTGTCTAATCCCCTACTAATAGGCTATAAGTGTAAATATCAATACGATTGCAAGATCATTGGAAACCGAGCAAGTCACACGAAGAGTGGGCCCTGATGAAATGGCTAATTACTCCTTAACCCCACCCACCTTAATTAGCACTATGCTTACAGTAAATTAGCAAGAATCTATATGGTTTTTTTATTGCTTATTGACGTTATTTCTGTTTGAAAAATCTTTAATTTCGACTTCCCTAATTACACAAGAGGGATGGCGTCATGATCAGGGCCTTTTGGTGTTCCTGCTAAATAAATGACTCAACAGACTTTGTCACACCTTCCCTAACACATAAATGTTTCCGCCCCGAGTAGACTAGCGCCTTTTTCAATTGCTCTGGGACCTTGTTGCCCCATTCTTAGATTAATCTAAAATAAAGGAGAGTCTTTTGGTTTCATGAATTTAACATGTTCACTTCTTTAAAAAAATTTAGAACAATTTTATAAGAACACGAGTCACAAATTGATAACAAATTAAGAACAAGCTTTGGCTAAGCTACTGTGAAATTCAATTCTGAGTTTGAATTTCAATTCTGTGAAATTCAAGTCTGAATTTCATCAGTGTTATGAAATCCCCTTATGAAATTTCATCTCAAAACGAGGAGTTTTTTGCCATCTAGGGGTGCTTTTCTGTGAATTTTCAAACTTGTCGGCAAGTAAAAGATGCTTCACTCAATTTTTTGGCAAATAAGGCCTGAACACCCCCTTACAGCACACTAGCTAGCAAGTTACTGCTTACACCCTAATAATTCAAGAACAAATTAAGAACAATCCAGCCTCAAATTTTGGATAAAAATTAGAACGGCCAGCCTGAACTTCAATCATGTTGGTTCTTATAAAAAAGAATGTATAAAATGCAGAGTTTAGTTTTTTTCGACGTTTCTAACGTTTTTAGATGCAATCAACATGAAAGGGCTTGCTCTTTGTTTATTGATCAAAGAAAAACACAATTTTTATCACATCATGCATTCAATTACATTTAGCGTTGGTTGGCCGAATATTTAGCTTTTTATGTAGAATTTTTTTTTACCAAGAATGCAGCATACATTAACAACCATAGTGTTCCCTCGTTCCTTCTTTATACAAAAAGTAATACATACTGAAAACATAACGACGGAAGATTAATTGGAAACACGATATTTTCGTATTGTTTAAAGTTCCTTTTTGAGCGTAGACTGAAATTGTCAACAAACAGAGTTTTGGCGCGACTATTTGCGGCTATATTTAAGGCTAAAGCGCTGCAGAACCATCTCGATTTTTTGTAAACGAAGCTTGAATTTTCAAAAACATACCAACGATTACTAAGACTATCGTTAAGAAAAGATTCAAATCCCGACTCACCGCTCCACTTCTGAGAGATTTCTTAGCTTTTCCTGCTTCGGTCATGTATGTGACCCCGAACCTTAATTAAAGATGGGATAAAATGTTTGAATACTTGATAAAAACAGATATATGAATAAGTATAATTGGCTGACGATCAATATATGGTGTTAATGCGAGAAATTGAGCACTGGCCATGCATTATTTCATAGGAAAACATGATCAGAATAAATTTGAAATACGAACACATGAAACCCGCGTATTTGCCAGCAGCAACTACGGATCGTGTTATAATGAAGAAAATGACGATTTATTAAAACTGAAGATTAAATATCGAGTCAGTTTTCCTTGCTCTATGCTAACAATTTATTTTATGCAATATTATCCTTCGGCTCGCTGAATTAGAAAACCAACGGTTCATAATAATGCTTCGTTATTGAATATCGAATATGATTATCTCTTCATTAAAAATAAACTTTGAACAAAACGTGATAAGTGAAAAAAACTCACAATAGCAGAACCCCAATTATAGTCGGTGACCGCATTTCGAACCTCTGCGTGATCGATGGTCTTGAAACACGTGTTATCCTTGATGATAACTTCTTTTACTGGCCCAAAATGTTCTTGTTTCTTTCTTTCGAATTACTAATAAAGACAAAACTTGTTTGCCAATCTGCGGACGCGCACTGTATGGACGAAGTTGTTTCAATTTTCTTTGAATATTTGCTTTTTCCGGGATCTCCTTTGGTGTAAGTAAATGTGTTAGCTCTCTTTAGAAACCACTCTTTTGTTGATCACCGCCCCTCCGTAGCATGGTTTTATATACGAGACACTGAAGCAGTGAGCGATGTGTATTTGAATCACCAGTATTACGTCAATTAGTGTAACGCGCATGTACCTGCCAATTCTACTGCCGCAGCGCCATTACCAATGAAGTGAATAACCCTATTTTATACGGGTTAGCCCGTAACTGGGGGGCGACTGCGCCGGACTTTATAAATCTGCATGATCTCCTATTCTTCCGTATCAATTAAGCACACAATGGCGACGATACCATGTCGGTCGATGTAAAGGCGACTTCGCGGTGACGTCGGTGCAGCGACAATGTGGCTCGGAACATAGTATTTCTTCGCTTGTACAAAGATTAACACTTGTAACGCGAGTTTCAATCAGCATTGAGGGCGTGAATGTGTCCAGATTTGTCCCAGATAATCCAATAAACTATTTACGTTTTAAATCCCTGCAAATACCAGAGTTTGAGTCTGAGGAAATGCCCGGCATAATTGTTAATTTGCCTCTGAAAACAGGACAGACCAGACATGGTTGCGGAGAAAGGGCATGATTGCCCTTTCATTATGCCTGACTGCATGGCACTTTGGTTTGTTCTTGCCGTCTATTCAAGTCTTTACGTTGTTATGCCTGTTTACAAACTCTTTGTATACGATAAATCGCTTATGCTAAGAACCAAGGCAAACCTGTTTAAATCGAAGATAATAAGTCAACAAAAATCGTATCCCATGTTTTTTCCGGCAAAACTACTGAACTGCCAAAGTCTTAACAACATCCAGTTGTTTTTGTCCGCAAACTAACCATACATTAACCAGATGCATATCTTTTATTTGACGAAGTATAAAAATATAACAGAGAAAAAAGGCAGAGAGTTGTCCTTCTAAGATTTTTTTTGAGATGCTTTTAATTTCATCAACTAAATTTATTATTCCATTATGCGTACACTATTTTTTATATAAAAACAAGATCATAAGAACGCGAGCCTCAAAATTTGTCCAAAGTTAAGAACAAGTTAAAAAAAGCTATGATTGTGCTACTGTAAAAATGTCATTTTGAACAATCTTGTAACCCCCTTAGACGTTTTCGTCTCAAAAAGAAGAATTTTTTGCCATCTAGGGGTGCTTTTTCGATAAATTTTCAAACTTATGGGCAAATTAATGATGTCTTGATCACTTTGTTGGCAAATGAAGCCTAAACACCCCGCTAGAGCACCCAAGCTAGAAATTTCACTTTGCGCCCTGCTAATTTTAAAAAAATTAAAAACAGCCAGCCTAAACTTCAACTTATTGGTTCTTATTAAAATAGAAAGTGTAATTAAATAGAGAGTGTAAGAGACTGAATAAGATATTTCATATCATAGTAGTTTCATTGCAAAATTACGGAAAAGTAGGAAATCGTAGGAATATTTGGATAAGCGGCGATATGAAAAGATAAATTCAGACAATAGAGGTAGATGTATTTCGAAATTTCTATTTGTGATGTTTTCTAAATTTGGACAAGTTAGCTTCAGCTTTGCATTCAAACTCTAGCTTCATGTCATAACTGCATGTTTCTATATGTAACCCCCATTGCATGTAGTAAAAAACAGCTTGTAAGCCATTTCTTGGGTACATCTAGACCGCTTCACAGGTAAGATACGGGATGGGGCCTAGAAGACGAGCTTAAAGGTTCAAGGCCAAAATGTATGGGTGTGGGTTAACCCCCGCAGGATGGTTGGCCAAAATGTAAGGGTGCGGGTTAACCCCCGCAGAATGGTTGGCCAAAATGTATGGGTGCGGGTTAACCCCCGCAGGATGGTTATATATGACTGCTTCCTTTTATTAATTAATGAAAATGCCAGCCACTTAACCCTCATAGCATTACTTCTAGCACTTTCCTGATCCTCTCGCATGGTCACCCATCCTCCCAATGTTTTTTTACTGTCTTTGATTCATGAAAAATAGTATTATCCAGGGGGTCTTTCGAAATATAGCAATAACTAAACGTCAGTAGCTTTCTGACATTAACAGCAAGAGGTAGTGAGCCTATGAGCTCCCCAAGCTCCCTGAGCTTCCTAAACCCCCTAAGCCTCTTTGCTACTCTAAAGTTCCTAATCGTCATTTATTTGACTTCAAAATACAGGTAAAAAAATACAAATACATTTAGCTATGGTAATCTGTTGAGCAATGCTGATTTGCAAGGGCCATTGATCCAGAATAACTGGAAACTAACATAAATAGTAAAATAAGTCTTAAAATGATACCCCTCTCAACTTTACCCTACCCTACCCATGCAATATTTATTGCCTTTTTAGAATATTTTTTTTTCTATTTCCCTTAATATATCAAATTTTACTATTATTTGCAATATTTATTCGATTGTTCAAAAGTCTAAAATATGATATTAAAACAGATATTTTTAAAGCAAAGTTTGAATAAACAGATTAATCATCATTTACAAAGACTGGTTTGCCTATTGTCGTTCCATGTTTTTGCGAGTGCAGACTTCCAAGAAGTGGCCTCAGAAATTGAGCCATATATTCCACTAGTCTGCCAAATATCGACGAGAATGATATTGCCTCATCGTCTATGTTTCAATGTTGTTGTTGCTATGATTTTTTATTGTCTGGTTTCATTTGCCAATCAAAAATGATATTGAGTTGATTTTTTTGCGATCGTCTATGAGACAATTTAGGTGAGTGTTTATTTGACATAGACTTTTTACTATGGACTGGTATCCCTGATAACGAAAACCACACACAAAGCTCTACAAATTACGCTGATTACCCTTTCCAGGTCTATTCACCAAAACGCCAAACTATCAATATACAATTTGTTGGTATAAATTACCATTTCATTACATTTTAATTATTTATCAGATTTCTAAAGTCTTGTAAATTCTTCATTACCTCGAGTTTCCGGGCCTATGTATCGCTGTTCTCTGCAACTCTGAACTTCTGCAAATCGGGGTGTCTTCGTCAGTAGCGATACCAACTGCTGCAGGGGGATGGATAAATGGGCGTGGACCACCGAAAATGTATTGATACCACGCCCCTTTTTTATAGATAATATTGAAAATGTGACAAATCCCACATCAAATAGATCTTTTATCCACTTTTAAATGTATTAGGTTGGGCAAATCTGATTAAAGTGGAGAAGGGGGTTTAATACCCCCCCAGACCTCCCTTGGTATCGCCGCAGTTTTGCAGTTGTGCAAAAAATCAAATCCCTTTAGAAAATTCATTGAAAATTATTATTTACCGGTCTGTCATAAGTTGCTCCATGTCATATAGGCAGAGCTGAACTCATGTATTTGGTGTATAGAACAGGACGGTTGTAAGTGCCAACGCCGAGTTTTACGTTTAAAATCGAAAGGGGGAACAATTGCCTGATTGATGATCGCATTAAGCATGAAACTTAGAAACTCAAAGAAGCAACTTAGAAACGTCCTGTTCTATACACTAAATGGCGTAAAAATTCATTTGTATAAGTAGCATCCTCGTTTTCGATTAGTCATCTATTCAAGGCACAATTTGTTTAAGTTGCACTATTTCTGATTGTCAGTGTTAATGGGGATATAGATGTACGGTTTTTAGTGATAAACTTGGATCAATAAAACGATCAATCCAAGCAAATTTTCTATCGATGTTACTTAGTTTATCAAATCTATCGATTTAGTTTCACCCAAGATTTCCTGGATGGGGGTAAAGGCAGCATAGCCCAGCCTCTTGTTTATGTTCCCCGAGTTTTTGAGAGATCTGAGAAGTTTCTGAAGAGCCAAGCCACTGTCCAAAAAGCGCGTATATTATCGAATAAGCTCTAACTCAGAACCCGTCCACTCTTGGCAACGCTGGATTTCCAGAAAGATGTTTTAGGCGCGACGAAGGAGCGATTCTACTATTATCATTTTTCAGCTTTTGTCAGCTGGTAGCGCATATTTTTTGTTACCGCTGACCAAAAGGGTTTTCGGAGTTTGCTTTCTGCGTGAACTAACTAGCAGCTCGTTATTCCTCGTTTGGTAGTTTATGCAAAGAACCTTGTGATGTGCGTTATGCATCAATTGAAGTTTAGGCTCGAATCGTGAAAGATGTTAGGAATAATCAGTTTTTCAAGTTTTCCTTTCTCATAAGGTGCAGCGTAACCAGATTTTCTTTAGACAGGGGCCAACCATTCTTGATTCAGTCATTATTCATAATGTACTCTGGGTACCGGCGCTCATGACACCCTGGGTAAGATGAATGCACCAAAGATAGTCAACTATCAGTTTTTAATGAGTCTTTTGTCTCAACTCTAAAAATTGAGTTATTGTAGCATTTCAGATTTCTACTTTTGGACAAGTACAAACCAATTTGAAGCTACAAAAGCATAGGTCGGATTGCATTTTAACTGTTTGTTTCATTTCAAATGTGGTATTTGATAAACTCCCTGTTTATTTCGCTAATGCTGTTCTATGATAGCACTTAATTTTTAATGCCTTGCATCAGATCCACAACTTTTCATTTCTGTTAATTTTTTTTCCTCGACCTCAACCAAAGAAAATTGTTTAAAACTTTTGAATTTTCTCCTATTTTTGATGCGACCATAAATACGACTTTCCTCGTGATGCGCATAGATTATAGATTAGTTAGTGCGGATAAAAGAGATAAAACGCTAAAGCTATTGCATTAATTCCCAGATTTTTCTTTCCCTAATCTTTCCGTTTAGTACTGTGCTGTTTTTAAAAAGAAATCTCGTAAGGTCTGTGTCATTTCATGGTTTCCACACAATATGTAACTATTCTTTGAAACCCTTTCAAAGCCTCATCTACTGTGTACAATTTGTAAAGAAAACAGAGCTGAATACTGCCAGTTTGCTATGCACTGTTTCCTCTTCGCCTTAGAATATAAATGATTTTGAATAAGATATGATCCTTAACATGGCCACACTCATTTATATTTAAGCAACTTTTCTGTTGATTGTGCCTCACCTCGATGTTTTGTCGAAACTTCGCCTCGTTTTGAAAGAAGGATGAAAACACCTTATTGCAGACACTAAAGACTTCCAACAAAAGTTTCGTTTACAAAAACTATGGTTTGAATGGCCCTTACTTTATTCTCGATTTCACCGTTTCCATTTGAATCAATTGCTGTTTCAGGGTTCTCGTTTAATTCAAAGCTAATAACATTGTTTCAAGTAAAATAATTTCTATCGCTTTTTGTGGTGACTCATTGGATTTATGTTGGATTTTATTGGATTTCATTAGATTCTTAGTGGATTTTTGTTAGGATTTTCTTTTTAACTGGATTTCAGCTAGTGAGAGAGTGAAGTTTCAAGGAACATTTACCCTCAGCAGGAAATCCTAGAATTTGTTGTAAAATAATTGTTGCACTTGTCATTCTTTTATATTTGAAACAGTTACAAAAACTGTTTACGCATTATTTGTAACAGTTAAACATGTATCAAAAGCAACCATGGCAATATACTTTGGCCGTTAAAGTAAAAAAAAGGCCAAATTACTTTTGGTACTTCTTTGCCTTGATAATGTATTTAGGTTAGCATAACGTTGTTAATTTAAACCTTTTTTATAAGGGTACATTTTTTTCAGAACATCGAGACTCAATTTGCTGAAAAAAGCATTTTGTGTTTGTTGTAGAGACAAGATTCTGAGCCAGAGATAGCATTGACGTTTTCTTTTTTACATTAACACGAGAATTCTATTTACAATTTAAGTGACCATAGCTTCACGAGCGATAAAACTAACTAACTCATTAACTGTCGTGGCAAGTGCATTATGTACCGAAACAATTGAAGGTGTTGTCAACGCTGTGGCTTACGGGAAGAGGACCTGGTCCAAACCAACACCCTAGGCTTTTAGTAATTACCACAGAGTTTTTCTTAAATATTCTCTGTGTTAACAAAACAGAGCCAATTATACCAGGATATTTGTACCAAAGACGTAGATAAACGTGTATCTTACAAACCATTTAACCAAAATCCATAATTAAAACAGGGTCAGAAATTTTTTAACCACCACTAGAGCTAAGGGAGGAAGAGAGGGTCTTTAGAGGACACTTTCTATACATTTGTTCCCGCCTCCAGTTTGGAATAGGTGGAGTAAGCCCGACTCTTGATAGATAATATACTTTATTCGCATCACTTCTGTTTTCTGCAAAACTCAGCGTTATTCTGTTCCATGTTTTGCGATTCCTGGTGATTACTTCATTACAGTGACGTCATTTAGTTTCCACTGATTCTTGTTTTAGCTACGGAATAGCAATCTACGATAAATTCATTGTGAGAAGTAGATATTTTTGTTACAACGAAATGCTATTATTAACATTTGTACATATGTTGTTTTGGGATATTTCAAAGTACTTTCAGCATGATCAACTACCTGACGAAACGAAACAAAAATGGTGTGCTGAAAAACGTACCCTCAAACAAAGTGCGACATGTTTTTTTATAATTATTTTTTTCTTCTTGCCATGACTCATTTCGAAGATGCTAGTGTTTATTGTATCATTAATATATTTTTCAGATTGCCTGAAGACCGATTGTGTTATACAGACTACTGAGGTAAATTTTCTTAATCACTTTCTTTTAATTAGAAAATGTGATATGAATACAAAATCTAACTCAGAGCCATTTGTTTTCGATATAATTATCAAGTTTTGTGAATATCAATTCTAATATTTATTTTTATTGATATTTTTCTTCTATCGTTGTAAAATTTCCTAATTTCTTGTTTTTTGTAGTTTTATTGTATTGTTCTTATTTTCATTATTCCATCAATTGTTGCGCGTTTATCCCAAAGAAAATAGGAAAACCACAGGAAGCCAAAAAATCCCAAAATATGTTTTAACTGCTTTTAAACTCGTTAGTCTATTTGATCGTTTGATCAATTGTTCATCTGGCATTCCTGAGGCTTTTACCAAATCGATGCCTTTTGCTGGCACGTGTATTTGTTTAAGAGAGAGAAGTGAGTTTGAATTGGCCTCAATGCCTTCCCCGACTGGCAGTTTCACAGGAAGGGTAATGTTAGCATCGGTCAAACAGACTATGTTCAGTAATTCTGCACTCTAAACAAGGTGACATAAATCTTGCTTATCTCACAGTCCTGAGAAGGGTTCCCACATCGTTAGACCTTTGAGCAAAAGCTTACAATAAACTCGTTGAAAAAACAGTCAAAATTAGCCGTGGCCTTAAGATTTTTTCGGTTGTGTTGGCTCTCCAAGCCTGCAGTTTACGAACACTTTTTTCTTCCAACAATAAACCATTTCCCAACTGCCCTTTTACTTTATTCCAATTGAAAGTATTTTTACATACACATCTATTTCAGCTCTCTGTTTTCATGTATTGAATACTTTTGAGGAAATGATTTATTCTGTATAACCTGGAAATTTCCAGTAACACTGCCGAGAAATAATGAAAAATGTTTGAAAAGTAAAGATGTTGACGAAACTTTATCTTTGGTCCTACAATTGTCAGGGATACTTTTCTAAGCCATATTTCTGTCGAAGATCTAATTATTCTTAAACCATTTATCCCATTATCTCCAATGCTTTACTATGAAGTATTTTATTTGTCTCAAATACCAGCAAGAACGTCAAAATTTAATGTATGATTTAGGGTACCTTTTAGCATAGGTAGCACTAGGGTGTTTCAAGACAAGGCAGCGCTTTATCGGTGCATAGCCTGTTACAAAAATAGAAATGTTGGGTACAGTGCTTTGAAAAGAAAAACTTTTTGTATTTTTCATAGAGTACCTGTACCCCCTGTTTGTCATCCCTTTTTCAAATGCCGTCGGAAGAAGAGCAGAAATAGTCTTCTTTTTCCAGGGGGATAGGATATTCCGGCATTTGTATTTCTGTAATGTTTTTCTTGTGGAACGTGAAGTCAAAGTTGTATTAAACAGCCTAGCATCCGGGCCTCTTATTCACTTTATTGTTCTTGTTATGAATCCTCTTTCTAGTTAATTCCTTTTTCATTCATCTTTCTCTTGCACCATTTAAAGCTAAATTAAGCTTTTCCCACGAAAATATCAAAGGCCATTTCTATATAGACTACCGATTATTTTTCGTTCCACTTTGCATTATAACGTAAACAAGATGTTTTTCTCTCTAACCACCGTATGCATAAGTTAGAAGTGACCAGATTCTTTATTCTCGTTACTTAACAGATTTAAACTATAGAGGGCGGACTCTCGTTAGTTGCGACTAAAGATTTAGGTCCTTGAGCGAAAGCTGAAAATTACGGTAAGTTTTTGACTGTTCCCAAATCTTATTATTTATATCTAAATATATGCCTGTATAAATATATTCATAATCATTTTAACCACAATGAATGTCGGCGGTATTTTCGATTTTTTTCTATTTCTTGTGTAAGGAATAATTCACTCCTTTAGTGAGATGTATTTTGAAGTAGTTCTAGCTTTTTCTGATTTATTTTATTCTTTAGCTGCAGTTTATCTTATTAATGCTTAAGTTATTTATCAGTAATGCTTTTTTAAATCTTCAAACTTTTCGATGTTTTAAACTTTTCTACTTGTCACTACCCACTTCACCTTATTTAAATCTTAAAACTTGTAGTATAAATACTTGTTCGATGTTCAAATTGTTCTACTTATCACTAACCACTTCACCTTAACGAAAACAGATGACAACTGGGATATTTTTTCCTCTTATTTCCTACTTGCTTCTTTCAGAGGTTCTAGCAGATTTTTATCTTCACTGACACTAATGGATGATTTTTCTAGCCTTATTGTCAGCCACAACACTTATTTGTTCCTTTTCCATGTGCATTAGTCTTAAAAGCATCTTTGTCACCTTTTGTGAATGGGACATTCATTTAAAGTTATTTTTTCCTTTTTAGTGTTAAAGATTTACAAAGTACTTCACGTCAAATCGTCAATTTTTTCTGTAAGTACCATATTTTCATATAGAAGCTTTTTTCTTCTACTTTCTTTTACTTATTTTAATGTACGGGTGAACTCTATCAACTTCAATGAGTTCCTACCGATATTTTGATGTTTAATAAAAAAAACTTATTAACAAACCATTAAGAAAATATATTTTTGATGTATTTTCCTATAATATCGTAAAGATACTTTGTTTTAAAATCATGCTTTTTGGGTTACATCGGATATTGTTACATTTTGCTCGAAGAACTTTGGTAACCAAAACTAACGACTCATACATAGCCAGGCTGTTTGATTTTTGAATCAACCTTGTGTAGACTCTGTATGTTTAGAATTACTTCTTTGTGTTGTTCAACGCATTGAAATTTCTGCGTATGTTGACAGTAGGGATACTCTCTAATAACAGCGTCCTTTTATGTAACTTTTGGTGACGCATTCACAGTAACAAAACATGAATCGATTCAACGTATCCATCTTTGTACATCATCAAACAACTTGTATAACAACCGGAGTTTCCATTCATGCCTCAAAACATCTCCTTAGCTTTAGGAATCGCTTTATCGTTTAGGTCACCACATAGGTATCGTGCGTTTGTTCCGCCGGGACGTACCATAAACTGCACCCGGAAATGTTCCTTTTTATACCGATATCCTGGAATTTAGAATTCTAATGAGCTCATTTCATGAAAGGAATTTCCTCGAGAAATTCTGTTGCAAATCGCTAAACGTTTCGACTGAGAATAAGAAAAGCACCTTAAGTCCGTATTATCCCAAAAATAGGCCGTGAATAAATTTATCGAAAAAGAAACATACCCCCTGAGGAAAAGACTTTACGCTCTCATTAGGAGATGGATTTTCATTGTTTTAGAATTGTTAGATTTTGCCATTCAGTTTTGCGTTTTTCTTCGATGTTACCACATGTTTCCTAGGCTTCACTCATTGATTCAGGACGAGTTCTGTTTGAGAGGAACCTTATCTAACTTTTGTGTGGATCATTTTGTGCTTTTGAAATCTCTGCCCGTAAGTTGGTCCATTAGCCACAGCTGGGCCTTGCACTAGGAAGGCCACGTTAGAAAGATGGGACAATTCATTGGGAAGAGTGATATCATTTATGCTTTTGATTCACCTGCTGTTGTCTGTAGAGAGTGTACGCTGAAATTGTTGCTCCATCCGTCTGATCAGGCCAGCTGCCTACATGTCTACAAATTTTTCCAGGAGATTTGCAAACTTTATATTTGCTGTCCTGGCAAAATTTCGTTCACTGGCACGCGCAATGTTCTTTTAGTCGTTGATTTTTTACACACATTTTTATGTATAAATAAAGTCGTTAAGAACTCAAAATCGCTGAATTTAAGAATAATTCAAGAATAGTGCAAGACTCTAGCTTCATCGAGAATTAAACAATTTTTCACTTTGAGTTTTTTTTGAACGCAAAACAAATGCGAGTTTAACGCTATATGTTTGAAATCAACTCTACACCTTTTGTTTCTTAAGAATTATAAATAATCTCAGGCTCAAAATAAAAAAATTGAGGCTCGGCAAAAATTTAGGTATCCTTTTAAAAAAGTTTGTACAAGTGTAACAACGTATATTGCTAACTCCAAGCGATTAGAACCACCTCAATTCAAAGGCTGGTGCTAAAATGCAAGATATTCCTTAAAAAATTTGTAATAAGAGCATCACACATGTTATCACGATTAGTTCACCGTCTTCGTGCTTAAAATGTTTCTGGATGTCATGATTAGGCGAAGCTTTTTCGCTGATCTCGATGAGAATTTAGCATTTCTACACAGAAACCCGAGTGTACAATACTGATCATTCTATCTTAATCTTTTGTAAATATTAATTAAAACTTCTCATGAAATTGCGTTTGCCTGAAAAAGAATGTAACACCGCGATATAAAAAGCGATTAAGTAGAAAAGGATGGAAACATTTGTTTAAAAGGCCTTCATTTCCCTTTTTTCGTACCTTTGAATGATACTTTTGTGGCATGCTATTTACGCAAAACACTTTCACACCGCCCTGAGAAACTGCACAAATTTTCCCTTGATTTCGTAGTGACTATTTCTGTTTGTTATTTGTCGAGCGCTTAATTATATTTAGATTGTTGCTAGCTGCGGGCTATTTTCAGATGCATGGCACGTCGTCAGCTCTGTTGATGTAGCCTCGGATTTCACCCTTGTTACTGATACTGATGCGTGTTTAATCAGTTTGTGATTAAATTTTAAAGAAAAAAGATTTAGACTGTTTATTGTTGATGCCAATATTACATTCACACCCATTTTTTTGCTTACACAGTCAACTATGTGAGAGAACCATCTCTGGTGATCGTAAAATAGGCGTTTTCTTCTCCAAAATGAGCTTTTTATCTTACGCCCAGCGCTAACTGTCCAATTTTCAAAAACCCCGCTTTTTGTTTAGTTTCTTTTCTTTGTAAGTCAAATGTAGAATCTTTTATTCAGGGTTATAAGAAGAGTGTTATTTCGCTACATTCTGTTCTAGCGATATAAGCTTGAAGTTACCCCGTAATTTTCAAGATCTCAAGTCCGACAACCCGCCTCCTTTAAATTTACCACCATTTCAATGTTAATGGATAATTTTGTTGCAATCTGTTTCAATATCCTTTGCAATCTTCTTTTCATTCAACAGTTCCTCCAAAATTTTTATACCGCGTACTTAACACCAGCTTTTGAGGTTTCAGAACCCCTTTTTAACATTCTATATGGAGAGAAATACCGATAAGCATTTTCCCGCCGAAAATCCTGACGTAACAGATTTTTTGCTGACTGTAGTTTGATACTTTTTTACAATTGAATAGATCTAAAAGAGATGAATTGCTAGAATCGCGATTTTAAATCCTTAACATGTAAGATTTATTTTTCGTAAACTGGACCTTAAGTTGAATAATCCCCGTTGATATTGAAATAATTTGTTTAGGAACATTGTTGCTGCGCTTTCCTCGTCAATACCGCGCTTATTAATGCCGCGTTGTTTACAAAGATTTATGGGTAAATACCTACCGCGATGACTTGGTATCGCTAGCACAAAACCAGCAACTGCCTATGTACAAAGCTATTGAAAACGTTGTTTTTCATTGGGTGGTTATGAATAGAGCATAAGCTTTATCGGAAAAGATGGAATTCGTTAAAGTGAGCGCGACTGCCCCGCCCTAGTCCCTAATGAATGAGGCGCGTCATTCTCAGGATTCCGGGACGGTCCCTGTTTGAACGTTGATTTTCCCCGAAACTTAAAACGCTGGCTTTAAATAGCTACACCTTTGAAAATGAACTATTTGGCGACAATAAGAGAAGATAGCGAGAGAGAGATGTTTGTCGGTAGGAGCTTAGTTAAGATGCACCTTGATTTTGCCACATAAAACATCGCCAAAATGTAAATAACCATTCCGGGGCTGATAATTTACCGTCCAGTCCAAATTACCGATGCTAAAAATGATTTTTTAATATGGGCTATTCTAAGTAAGCACAATGAACGACTTTTAGTTGTTGAAGCCTAACTATAAGGTTTCTTTATTCTTTTTTCCACAAAAACTTAGAAAACCCACATTTCTACTTTGAGTTATTCAACTTTATATAACCATAGGCTTAACGGGTGCAAAACTGTAAGTGGGGGAGGGGGGATATCAGTATGGACTTTGTCCGAATATTAATCCTTCGTTAAAGTAGAACTGCCCGAATCGAACCTTATATGGGATAAGGTTGCCTTATTAGGGGGCTGCAGCCCTCCCAGCCTATAATACAAATCTATATTATATGTAAGGTCACTTGGATATTAACTCCGGTCTGACATCTATCGCCTGCACCACTATCTTAGCCTGTATCTGAAGTTGTTTTCTTTGTGATCTTCTCTACCTTTTTAGATGGTTTTCTGCTGGAGTCAACAAGGCTCTACAGGCTCAAAAACTTCTTCTAGAATAAGGTTTATGTTCTGCATTCTGGTCAATGGTGAGAATTCAGGCTTTTATTTGGGGGAGTTCAAGCGTATTATTTTCTGACAAGAAGTCAGACTCGACAGGAAATCAGGGGTTTGATAGCCCGAATTTTCCGACAAATGCGCGAATTCGAGGGGCTCGAGCCACTGGTAGATACAAAAATAGGTTTTTCTGTTCTAAAAGGTCCGGATCTCTTTCCTCCCTTTTCTCTCTGCTTTAACAAGCCATCCTGTCTCTTTCCATTCCTATTTCGTTACATTAAAATCTCCTCTTTCTCTTTCATTTCTGGTCTTTTCTAATGGACCCGCGCCCGGCCCATTTGCACAAATCGATAGTTCTTACGTATTAATACCTCTTCCCAGACATGATGAGCTTGATCGCTGGGCGTTTTCGTCTCCACGGACTGTTCAATTCATCAAGTTAACTTAAACATAAAAATGTTACAATTGTCCAAGATCTGTCAGGGCATCCTGGATGGTGCAATATTTGCTTCTCTCTTGTTACTTCGTGTTTTATCGAATTGCCACCACTTGAAACTGTGTCTTTTTTTGTTTATCTTTGTTTCTCTAGTTGCCAACCTCTGACCTTCTTAACCCAAGTCCGCTAAAGAGCTGAAAAGCTTGCTATTTTATTTCTTTGCATCAGAACATTTGAATAAATCTTGCTCTTTCTTGTCGACTTTTACGTCAAATAAATTCGAAACCTAGATTTTAAGCTACCGTAAAGAATCAAACGATTAAATGCCTCATTTTCTGGCATTTTCGTCAAGTATGCTTTCATGATGCTTTCAATTTCTGGAAACTTATTATTTTCTTCCTTTCCTTGTATATTCTTTAATCTATGCTCCATCTGTGCTTTACGGCAGCTTTCTGATGTTCTGAATACAGCAAGTTTACCGCCATGTTTTAGCTTTTTGAGAGGATATTGCATGTTTTGTCGAAACATCTTACTTTTTGTTTCTTACTGTTGAAATGCAAACCGGTGGTGACCCGTTTATCGAGCATTGCAAAGACAACCCGTCCGAATTTTAGTAGAAATTGTCAATTAACCTCATATTGTAGTATTTTAATGGCCGGTCATCTAACCTCATATAGCAGTAGTTAGTCCCTTACCCCTTGACTCTATGACAACCGGCGTCGCCTGCATGGGTCGGTCTTCATAACGTAGAGCCTCACTACCGAATACCCAGCCTCTTTTTCATCTCTCTGATTTCTAATCGATATCGGCTCTTTAGTTCATGTTTACGATATAGCTTGTGATTCAAATAAAAGTCATTTACTGATAATCACGTTGTTGGACACTGACGTGCCCGTCTTAGCCTGCGATCCTACGGCGAAAGGCAAGCCGTGGACACAAGAGGGATAAGCAAGTGAATCCATGTTTGCTCTTTGGAGTGACTTAGTGAATCCTTGTCAAATCTTCGAAGAGCATCTGCAAACTCCTTTATTGTGATTGTTACGATTTAGAAAAATATTGAAATTTCCTTGTGCTTTATTTAGAACAAGGATAGACGACACGGGGGCTGTGGTTACCCTTAATTTCCTGTTTCGCCTACGCTGTGATGAAGAAAATCTCATAAATGCAAAATTCACCATTTCGAAGGAGCACGCGTCTTAAATTATATCTAGCCTCCCGATAGACTTAAGTTGCATGCTGAACGCGATATTCCTTTGTTTTCTGTATTAAAAGTCCATACACTATGCCATATTGCTTCCTAGTTTGCAGGATTTTTCAGCGCGCCTTTCTCGTTGATTTTTAGGCATAATTTGAATGTGTGCTTCTTTATGTGATCTATCAGCTATACAAAAACCTAGGGTAAGTTATGCAGTAACCTAGGATTAGACCAAAGAGAGTGTGCACATTATTCTCGCAAGTTCTATAGTTAATTCCACTCTTTTGGAAAATGGACCGCAAAGTACTGTTTACAGATTGGTTTTTACCACTATTCCATGTTTCAGCGTCTTTTTTGTTGCCATTACAAAATTCCCTATAAATCTGTATGTTCCTGAGGTTCTCAACTCTAAAATTAGATTTTCTGTTGCAGGCAGCCTAGTTTAAATCGAAGTCAATTGACTCGGAAATCCCTTATTTTCAAACTAAAGAAAGCTCCCAATTTCTCTGTGTGAAAATGCATTAGGCACCCGAGGCTCGCTATATATGCATTAAACCGAGGTTATGTCTAAGTCAGTCGATCCGAGGCTACTCAAGGCTGTAGCTACGTCAAACGGAGGATCCCAACTGAAATATGCGAAGCTCTCCGTGTCGTTCATACTTCATAATCAATTGTCTTGAAATTTCCTCCTAACTTCAATTTGCCAAGCGTTCAACACTGCTTGATGTGCTTAAATCAAGGCTCAGAATAGGCCAACACTGTACTTTCAACACCCGATTTCCAAGATTTCTTTTCAAGGAATCTTCAAAAACAACATCAAATGAAGATCGACAAGATTTATGCAATGTTGAATAGCAAAAGAGACGTGCTTAAGCCTTTAATTCTACATGGCTGTGTTCGTGGAAAATCCAGGCCATTGCTTGGTTTGTGGTTCAGTCGAGGCGGTTAGTCATTTTTAATGCAACGAATCAAAAAAATTACATGGTATCCCTGTTTTTAAATGGCGCCTTGTTTTGATCATGTCTATGTTAAAATGCTGCAAGTTGCGGCATTGAAAATGGCAAAACGCTGTTGTGGGTAACACTAGGGTCTTCGCAAAATAACCATTTTACACGCTGTACTTATCAATTTTAATAGTTTTTAAGCTCATACACAGACGGTAGAGCCATGACAACGAACAGGAAGCTGCTGAAAATAAACAACTATATGTTGGTTGCCGTATACGTCGTATCATACCTGCTGCCGTTTGCAAGGTCCTTTGATCCTTGCTATCTCGCGGATTACGTATGTGCGATTATGATGAAATTTTAATTTTGTTGCAATTTTTTGAGTTTACCAGTTGATTGCTATCTTCAGCTTTCGACGCTAGCTAGCATCAGCGTCTAAGCATTATGACTAATGAGACTTACTACATTTGCAGGCACTACGAAGCTCATCGTACAGTAAAAGGTGTTCATTTAGGATACATTTTGGTAACATATACTTTGGTAAGTGAGTTCATGATCATTGCAGCATGTTATGGTACCAGCAATGTTCAAAGATTTCTAGAAATTCAAGGTTAATGTCTGTATAATGGCTTAAGAATATCGTTTGCTCGTGGTCACACCGTTGCGCGTCTAAACTGTTCTAGGTTCTTCTGTGTTTGTAGTTGCAATTTACTTCCATTTCTTCTTAAATTGTAACACCGTCTAACCTAACACCTGAAATCCTAAATATTTTTATTTTGGTTATTTTCATAGTGAAATAAGGTGATAGTATCCACTTGAATATTGATAAAGCTATTCGAAGCAAATAGAAGAAGTCTAGTTGTGACAAGGCTAGGTTTGACAGTTGCTTGTGCAAATGTAGATGAAACGTTGGTTTTGATGGTTGTTATGGTAATTGTGGAATAGAAGTGGAGACATAACAATACAATCAGGTTATTCCTAACCTGTCCTTCATGTTTATGCGGACTAGGCGACAAAATGTGGAGAAAACGCAAAGAGAGCCAAAGTTTAGTAAGAAAAATACTAGTACGCCTTGAGTTGAGGAAAACCTGTATGTGATAGAAGCGAAACTTGAGTTGAAACAAAGTAGGTTCGAAAGATGTTATTCCAACTTGAAATATTTGCTAGAAAATCTTTTATTAAGATGTTACACGATGTGTTTGCTTTGTTTGCATGAAAAAGCCGTCCCACAAATGTCGATAGTGTTACAAAAATGCTCCCAAAAAATTTTACAGTTACATTGATTTCAGTCAATTTATTAAGATATCGATGCAAGCTTGAAAATTCCTTGTATAAAGAAAAAGGCTCTACTCATTAAAGAAATAAAACAATTTTAGTTATTATTCTTTTCTGGACCATGAAGGTTTAAAATAAATCACTGAGACCAAATATGAAGAACCAATTGAAGGTTCTGTGCAGCTCATAGATTACTCAAACTACTTTTATTGAATGTTTATCAATATTTATCAGTATTTATACACAAATACCTTTCAGCTTAAAAAAGCAAATAGCAAATTAATGACTTATTAACGATTTGTGTCTGTCTAGGAAAAATAAAATCGCTACTCTGCCAAGGGGTCTTTTTGGGTCCTGCAGTTTTATATAGAACGCAAATGAGAATAGTAATGATGTCCCAGAGATTTTGTTAGTGATGAAACAAGTAGAAAATTAAAATGATAATTGATACTCATTGTAGTATAATCCATTTTAAAACAGTTCAACAATGTTTGTAGTCGCAAACTTTCTCGATACGCTTCAACCGCTCTTCTTGATATCAAATGCATATCCTATCGTTGCACAACAGAAAATGGGCGATTTTTTGTTAAAATGCCGATGACCAGAAACTTTGGTTTAAGTTAATTTCATTGGGATTCATTTCCAGTTATCGCTTCATCAATGATCAATCCTGCTGAAAATTGTAGTCTTGATGTAAACGAAACAAAATATCGCAACGGAACAAAAATACAGGTTCAGTTTTATTCGGCCATAAGATAAAATTAATGTCCAGTTTTATTCCGCAATGATGCAATGCAAGTTAAGTTTTATTCGGTAAAAAGTGGAATAAAATCTGAAGCTTGTTAGCTTATTTGAGCTGAAGAATCTTCATATCTTTGCAGTTTTAGTCATTTATTAATGTTTGTGAAAAAGACTAATGCCTACTTTGGGAAGAACTCGTCATGCTCTCAGTCTCGAACCAAACGTGATTCCGATTGAAAATCTAGCAACCCAGGTGCTGATAATTTGCTTTTCTTTTGAAATGATGTCAAACGGGAACATTTGTTTTCTTGGTATTTTTCTTTGATTTCATCAGAAGTATTGTATTTTTTATGCTAAATACGATTGGTCGCAAAATATTTTTATTCAGTATATTTCAATGATTTAATATCTTACATTGATACAGATAACAACAAAACAGAGTCGAAGCTAAGATTCTTATCTAGATAACAACTGCCTGCTAAGTCCCACCTAGACGTAAGATTTAGATATCCTCTGATCATCGCAGTTGAAACAGTTGTTTCATCCTATTTCTGAACTTAACTGGGAAACCATCGAGCTTCTCCGTGCCTCTTATAAACGATTTTCGCTACGATACTTTGATTTTCGCCTTATTTTGATTATTGTCATTAGCATTTCCAACGAAGGGATTTATTGAACTTCAAATGAAATAAAGCAAGCTAGTTTGTGTTGTCTAGAAAGCAATCCGCCAGGCTCTCGAATGAGTCACCATCTGTCTCAAAAAGAAATCCAATAAATTTGAAAATCAAGTTTGGGTCATACTCATTTTTCACATCACACAATTTCATCCCAACTTTCATACATTGCTATACGCTGAGAAACTTGCTCAAAATTATCAAAGTTCAATAATTTGACACCACATTCTGTTGTATTAGTTCAAAGACAATTAGTTTATTTTCCGCCTCTTGTGGATTTCGGAATTCTTATATACTTGTTTCCTATGAACTCGTCAATATTTAAACTTTAAGAGATACAGTTGTATGCAATTGATCGTATCCTTTTTGCCAACCAATAGAAAAGCGGCTTTTTAAATCAAAGTTAATTTTCAAGAGTCGAGGACCCGAACAAGATCCTTGAGGAGCTTCACTTTCTAGCTGGTTTTCGAAATTGCGTTTCTCGAGACATATTCTATTTCAGCTTTGACAAGGTAAAAACTAATATTCTATTTATTCTTTTCCAACTCATTTCTAACAGACCGAGGAAGATTTATGATTGAATGTTTAGACTATATTCATCAGATCATATCAATATTCTAAGGACACATTATCAATATACGCCAGAATATAAACAAAAAGCTGATTATATCGTTTCAAGCATCATAATTATGATTTCATGACAATTTTGTTCATTGAAATCACCATTACTAATCTAAAAATTATTTTATATTTATCGGCCTGTAGTTTTTAATAACATTTTCTTCTTCAAAACAAATCTAACGTGCACAGTATAAATAATCCTTTTTCCGCAACTTTTTTTATTTCTCTTTTTTGCTTAAAATTCCGCGAACAATTTTGACGGATTTCCTCCGTCTAAAAAACGTCATTTCATCTTCAGTTGCCATGATATAGTCACATTCAATTGTGAATAATCCTCAAAAGTGACTTGTCTCAATGTTTGACATCTTCTATGTGGCAGTAATGATTGAAATATTTGCCACAACCTTTCAATTTGTTGGTACCTTAAATGTTGTATCCCTTTTGGCATAGTCTTAAAACCCTTATTTCAACAAGTAGTCCTTAAAATTACTTTTGTCGAAAAGGTTACAGATATTTCCTTATCGCAGTTACAAAATTTATTATCGGTTCTCGAAATTTATTAAAGCTTTCCTAACCCTAACCAAGGATTTTTCAAATAATGTTTCCGAGTCCACATGGTTTAAAGTTGATTAATATACTCCGTATTCATGCATACTTCATTTGCTTCCATTCCAAACACAAGGAACTGGTTAGAGCGCGCGCAAAAGGACTGGTGCCTTTTATGCGTAAGATCATTATAATAATCGGCTGATTGCATAAGGTCTTTTAGGACGAGAGGAAGGTCAAGAAAAATTGTTTTCCTGAAGTTGATCGTTCGTTGCTCACACTTTATCTCTATTGTGACGTGACATCAACTACCATCAAAACACATTGTAAATTCATTGAATGAATTTTCGCGTGATGTTATTTGTCCTTTTCTATGAATCCTTTCCATCAAACAAAATGTATGTTTTACCGTGCAAATGTTTCGATATGGCGAGTTTCAGATTCCATGCCCTTTTCTTCCAAATGTCGTCCTTTTTTCCGGCCCTGTTTGCCATTTACTTTGGCATTGTTCAAACCATTCACATTTATTTAATATAAAACAATGTTGAACAGGAAATTGCAAAAACACGCTGAAATATTATCTTTTATTTTCATCATAAGACCAAACCCGATACATTTTGGATAACACTAAATTTTTCATTATTATTCACCCCCACACCTTTCTATTTTAACAAAACAATGTCGCATAAATAGAACGATTATCGCGACCTTGGTGTTGCAATTTCCCAATTGTATTTTCTTGATAAAAGATGCTTTGTGAGTTCTTGTAGAACAGTACACAAATGTATTTGTGATTGCTCGAGTGTTTTGGAATGCACATATGTCAGCTGCCTTTTGAATTAACAAGCTGTGATTCACTGGAAAGCCTTCTTTCTAGAACACACAAGCTTTATTGTAAAAATTGTTTTCTTGGGAAGAATGTCACCATCGGTATTTCAAAGTCATATATAAAGACCAGAGCTAGATACAGTATCAGTTCACTGAATCTTTGTCGATGCTGCTTAAGGCGACTGTATACTTGATAAAGTAACAGGAATAGTGACGTTAAACTTTGCCGTGGCTGTAGTATCAATTACAAGTCTTTCACCAGAAGTGATACCAGCATTGCATTTGCTAAGTTGTGAGTTAAGGAGTTTTATCCATACTACGATTTTAGTTTTTCTTGCTCTTCTTGTGATGTAACAGTACAACTCAGATAAAACAATCAAAAATTGCAGTGTTTTCTGTGAATCTTCAAATCCTTGGTTTGTAATCATTAAGCTAAGGATCTAGCATTCTAACTGAAATCTCAAATAATCCTTACAGTTGTACATAATCGAAGAAACTCAAAATTAAGAACATAAACGATTAACAATATAAAGTTGTATCCGCTCATAGTAACTCCACTTGATGTCACACTACCGTTTACAGCGACATGAAATTTAGATCCAGATATACAAAACTGCTGAATTAAGGTCCGTGTACAATCACACTCCGATTACTGTCACAATTTTCAAGCAACGTTTGGTGTGACTTTAAACGAAGTCCATTGTACCTTAGTAACCGGTATTTTCCTATAGTTATTTTATGCATGTTTCATTTCCTCTCCTTGCCTAGAAAAATTCTAGAAGCTTAAAGATTTTTAAGAAGCAATCTCTATTAGCACTTTGTTATAGAAGATACATTTTTGCTCAAATATTGGAAGTGCAGTCGGAGTTCTATATTACGACTGCTAGTTAATCGCGATTTTTTCTATTCGTTCAAATGGGTTATGTAACTTCTAGATAGCTATTGCGAGCTATTACTGCACAGCCGGAGGAGCACAACGATGTACTTTATTTCAATCTGACAGAGAATCAGATTTTCAAACCGTTATTGTAGGTAAAGTTTTTTAAAACTGGGGCTCGAGATGATGTTCTTTCAATCTGTAGTAACACGTCCTTGTCGACCAAACTTAATTACTTACTGCCGTATACTTTTCGGAGCATAATTTCTGCATTCCTAATGCCGTTTACTTTTCAGCGTATGCTTTCTGCCGTATATTTTATTTTTTCTACCTAGATTCTCTACCTCCACAAGACTTTTAAATGTTCTATATTTTGAAATAATAATACTTGATCTAATGCATATAATCTGCAGCAAAAAATGGCAATCTTTAATTATCATTTGAACTTCTTTCTATGTCTTTTTACATCACTCAGACTTCACAACAACCGGCGATACCTAAAGGATAAAATCTTCATTTTTCAATGCCAATCACATGTCTTGCTATTCTTGGACATTTTCTAAATTTTGTTTTCTCCTCATTCTTCCAGAGTGCTAAGAAACTTTACAATTTTCCATTCTTTCTAAAGTGTTAATCAAATATATCATCTATTATCAATCCTATTTTAAACTTATTCGAAAGGTGCAAGTTGTTAAGAGACATGTTCTTGGTTGAGGCCCTGTTCACGTGAGCTCTTTTTCTTTCCCGTAACGTCACTTCTCATTTATCATGCTTTGCAACTATTCGTCTACAATTTATCGTCTCTTGTTCACTCTAATCCAGGCGGCAGATTTTTTTGATGAAATTTTTGTAATTCTCATGCATGCCAGATCCTTTCCCACAATTTAAAATTGCTTGCTTCTTTAGCCATCTGTGCAAATAAAAGAGAGTGGATTATCCGTTCTAAGCCATATTTAAGCGATTGTCGGATATCTGCATCCTGCTTCGGAGGTAATTACAATGGAATAATAGCTTGTAATTGCAATGCAGCTTCCACGAGAACACTTACCCCACAGTCTCGTATTTGGGCCAGATCCCGTAAATTTCCGTGTGAAAGATTTACTACCGACTTATTTCGTAATCCACATCTCATATTAACACAGGGCAATACGCCTTAGAGAGATCGAGCACCTAAGAAGCTCTGAATGCAAGCCGAAAAATTTCGATGATATTTAGGAATTTGCGTTTGTGCATATAATTTCCAACTACCAAAAGAATGCTAGAATATTAGAGACAGCTAGAAAATATTTGGGACAATAGTTGTAGGATTCAATTAATTATGCATCAATTAATTAATCGGGGTTAGATTCAATTTTGAAGTTTGAAAGTGCTATTTGAAGTGAGAACAAGTTAACTACCTGCGTAGTGCCAGTCCCAGATTCATCTAAATACCTACTTATTTGTTGTTCAACTGGTTTGATTTGCAAATATGGGGCTCAGATGCCACCAGGTACATTTCAAATCGCTTTTTCCAACACCAACAATAAATGTTAGTTTGTCTTATCAAGATAATCTATCCCGATTCTAGCTTAGTTGAGAAAATGAAAAGAGAATATTGTGACAAGGATGAAAAAAGATCCTACCACCATTTAACCCTATCTTATAGTGTCCGCATATGTATTATATGTGATAATTTTTCTCACAAAACTTAACATAAATGTTCTTAAGACCTCTTTCATCAGGGATTTTTCAGTCAAACTATATATCAATGGTCCAGACAAAGTGATCTTCTAATAATCAAAATGCTGAATTAAAAGTGTTTTTAAAGATTAAAAATTTTCTTGCTTAATCGGAAGGCAAAGTTGTCGGTGTTATAAGCTATGCTCTCTAATTCATTTAATCCAAAAAATTTGTTCTTTCTCTCGAAGACACGTATCTAGTTCCCAGCTCTTTTTCCACCATTGGTTTTATACCATACATTTCTAAAAGACTCCTTGGCATTTCTAGGAGGCTATTTCGTGAAATTTCTCAGCGAGAGCAAAGATTGAAAACGGACGGCCAGTCAAAGATCAAAATTATAAGACCTGATGTTAGGAAGTTATCAGAAAGCCGCGAGATTTATGTAGATATGCGGATACCCTCAGTTGCGATCATCTGTGCCGTAAACTCTTCGTCTCCTATAACCCATTGCTACTTCCTGCACGAAGTCTGCACTCGCTGCTTTAACAAACTTCTATTTTTTAAGAAGGATGTTGATGGGATCTTTAGTCGCTAATTTCATACGATCGATTCTAAGAAGGAAGCTGTCTGTATTTTGGATGTAATGTAATCTCTCACAGTTTATCCAACTTTGATTGTGCATGTTCAATGTCATTAATGCTGCGCTTTCGGACAAATGTAAATGAAATTACACATAGTTGTTTTAGGAAATGCATAAACAATGTTGGGGAAGGGGGGGGGGGATGAAAGAAGAAACGCTGAAACATGTGCCTTCCTTTGTTATTGCTACAAATCTTATATTCTTAAATATTTTTAATCTATATCGAGATTTTATATTCTATATATCTTTGCATCCTCCCTTTCCAAATCGTACAGTTTACTGTTGAGATGAAACTTTCAGTTACAATGAAAATAACGTTTGATTGATCCTACAATTACCCGAAGCCGGGTTGTCTTACGACTTCAAATATTTCGCAACATATCTTTTCTGGTTTTCTTCTGCATATGGTCTTTTCAAAAACTGTAACATTTCTGTGGTTTGACGTATTGGATACCCAAAGAGTTGCACTTTCTTTGCATCGTCTTCTCACATCTGAATCTAACAATTGGCGGGATGTCTCATACTGAACATGAATATGATGAGTGCCCGATCTTAAGAAGCGAAAGCGTTCGAGTGGAATGGAATTTAATAACTAAACATTTTTCTTATATTCATTCATGTTTGCTAGTTCCGACCATAAGATTTGATAGTCTTTTCTGCTTTTTGAAAGATGTAGTTTCTTTTGCTTGACAGCATTTCCAGCCAGAAGTTATCTGTTTTCACAAGATTGTGGAACATTCGAGTGGCATTAGTTGAATCGATGACGTCACTTTTAAGTCCACCTCTGGCTTAGGAACCAGGCAGGTCTTCAGTGAAACAACACAAGCCGTACCTAGAGAGGGTTTGAGCTTCAGTCCTGAACGGCAGAGGCCCTTTGCTTCGCTCACTAAAGTATTCTATATTCCAAAAGTCAAAATTTCTTTTAGAAGTGATTAAACCGTCAACATGCTCTGACTTGCCCAAAGGAGGGCAGGGGTTAGAAACGAGGGGGTGTAGAGTCTTCCATATCAGCCCAGTCAACCCCACCATTGCATCCCTTGTTTGTTGTTATGATATTCTGGGATGCATCTTGTAATTTTCAGTGATAAAGCTTAGTTTAGGGAAACAATATAGAGATTTTGCAGATATGGATTTTGTGTTGTCAGACACCAGCCTTTGGTCAATCTTAGAAATACGCATTTACAGGGCACTGGCGCATGAGATTGTACCCTAGAGGATTGACGACCACACCCTATTGGCAACGTATGCAAACCTACATGATACAGCCTCTGTATTTTTATTATTTTGCTGCTCTTTTTATAACACTGGTATTGGCAATACTATTCCTTTCATGGGATCATTCACGCGAAAACGAGGCATACCGTTGGAGTTTTGTTTATAATTTCTGTGCCAGCCGGACACGGGAATGACAAAAAAATCAGACAAATTGAATATGCCCACGTTCTAACAAGATTGAAACATCTCTTGAGTGCTTAGCAGCGCTACCCTGTACAAACAAGAAACCGAATGATATTGCGTTATGTTATCCATTACTTAAAACGAGTACTTGTAAAAAAATTCCTCTAATTCATAACCATTAGAATAAGAACTTCAACGTGCTTTTTGTTTTTAAGTCACATCGGCTGTATTTTTCGCATAGTTGAAAGTATTCCAGTCATCCTCAAGAATCTTCGCTATTCGTTAATTTTCTGATTTAGAGGTTGATAATCTAATGAGTACCACGCTAATAAACTTTTTGCTTCGCTAGATAGATTATTTTGCTGACAAAAACCATGTCAAATCGCCTGCCTGGAGACAGAAAATTAATTATCAAGAACCAATGAACGAAAGCAATATTAGAACACGTCCTTGTATGCACTTAATTTTAGTCTAAAGCTTGAAAATGTTTCCTTTTCGTGCAATTTAAATTTGCCTCATTGGGTCTATTTACTGCAACAAGCGGATGTCTGTGGCGTTACCTTTATAATTGATTTACAGTTTCAGGATCTTGATAAACCCCTGCTCAATAGCTTCGTAGCGGTAATTATTGCATCGTAATTTACAGCTAGACTGTTCGGTAGCCACTATTGCTATTGTACAACAGATTGTTAAAGAACTCTGTTCCTGAATTCTTATTATTCACAGACGTTTCTTTCTTTCAATAGGTAAAAGAATCAACATTTGAACTCTGATATTAGTGGAGAATTTTAAAAAATTTGAGGTAAGTTCAGCTAACTTTTTTGTAATGATTTACTTCGTCTTTAATTGAGTGTTAGGGTGGTAGCTACCATGCCTTCGCAGTGGATTAACTTAAGATGATGTATGCCACCGTGATGGAGGGAAGCCTCTCGAGGTCACGTGTTGAGGTGTCTTGTCTTGAAGTTTTTCCCAAAGACACAGATAGAGGCATGTTTTATGCCCAAATTATCTGCTCGATGAAGGGTGTAATCGCCAAGTTTGTTTAGAGGTTATGCTGTTCTCACGACCTAACAGCGATTTACACACTGTTTTTTTATGGATTTTAAGACGGGTGTCTTAGACACATTTCTCCACAAAAATTCATTTAAACTACAAAGAACGTTTCTTGAAATTCATTCTCAAGTACATTTTAACGAAGAGGACACTTTGTGAAAATGATCTTGAAAATGGTTAACATGCAGTTATGTATGTTCAATGGCTTCCTAAAGAAACACCATTTCTAAAGGATACCATGGCTTTCTAATGAAACAGCACGATTTTAAAATTAGGATTTCTTCCAAAAATTATTCATTGCAATTTTGAACAGGCCTTAAAAGACCGGATACAATTGCTAATATATAACCGATCCGTTACCTCACTCACTCGAATGAAAGAATGTTTTGTTACTGAACGTTGCTTCCAGATGTTTGCTAGTTTAGAGCTACAAAAGGTTACATTGTAAGAGTCCTAAAAAGGTTACATTGTAAGAGTCCTCAGTTCTAAAAATAGCCTCGTGCTTAGCCCAAACTTCAAACAGAATTTCCTGTCCGCAACTCCCCTATACAATCCACCTTTTAAGGAACCTTTCAATTTGTACTTCAAGAAGACCACACTAGCAGTTTAAAAGTTAAATCTTCAAATGAGTTTTACTTGAAAATCCCTCTTTTTGTTACGAGGGTTTAATGGCATATCTTTGAGTGAAGTACACGTCATGCAACCATGGATGACTCGAGTGATGGTGTACGTGTCATCCCGCCCATGGATCTGTAATACTTATATGCAATTCTCATGTCACCTTTTTGTAATGTAATCACCGTAGTAAACCGATTTTATCTATTGTCTTATTTCATTCCTCGATTGTACCATCTTTCCCGAATCATATGAACCTACATCGAAGAAATCACGACTTCCTTCCCCCCTGTCCTGTGTCAGATTGTTGGAAACCAGCAATCGTATTAATGACTCTATACATTCACCCTTCCGTGTGCATTCAGTTTATTTTAATGCTATTGAAAACCGAACCTACATCGTTAATGACCTTTGGATAACGAGGGGAAGTTGTTCTAAGCTAAAGTGTTGAATAAGCATTGGAATTTGGTATACCTCTTTTAGAAAATCTGTTTGTGGCCGATGAGCGATCTTTTTTGTGCTAGACCTATTTGCATTAGTCACTGACCTAAAATCGTATCTCGATGCCTAAAATAGAAAGTATTGCCAGTTTTACGTTAAATCTCTGATACATATGAGGTATAAGTGGCTTATTAAAACCGGACAAGGAGTTCTTGATCATCTATAAATGGCAGCGAGTAAACATTGTTTTCAAAGGTTTGTGGCTGCTTCAGTGCTTGAAACACATGAAGGTCTCGAGTGAGAATCGAAATTTTGGTAAGGTGTTTCAAACAAAACTTTGTTTTTTTCGATTTTTTTGCTCTTTCCTTTTAAGTTTTTTGTTTCTTTCATTTTGTTTTCTAACATTATTATCATGGGTATTTCTCAAATCCATTGATATTTTGGATTCTGAAATTTTTTCTGTTCTTGAAAACGATTATGTTTTTCAATTTTTTGGTTGGTTCAACTCATTTTTAATTCTTAGAAATGGTACATATTCTAGGAAAGAATTAAACAAGGAAGTAAATTTCTGTGGTGCGATATCAATCATTATAACGAGTACACTTATTCTGATGAAAGAAATTTGGTATTTCGAAACGAGCACTGTACAATAGATTAACAGGCTTCATTTGTAAATTCTATAAAGTTAAGAAACAATTGAATTTTAGAACAATTGAAAGTTGGCATAAAACGATAGGCGTGAAAAACAAAAAAGTCTTCAAAAATTCCACAAATTCTTCACAGCCAACTTCATTAATCTCTTGTCTACCCTAATGAAAAGAAATACCAAGATAGGACATAAAACCGCTATCTCCACATTGGCTCACACTTGCAGCACTGTTAATTTCAACAATTTAAGCGAATTGGATTAAATGGTACTAGATTCTGTCTTTTTATCAAGCTTTAAATTCAAAATTTGACGTGTCATATTCCCAATTTCAATCTTGCCCCCCCCCCCTTCCCATGTCCCTTTGCTAATTACCTCCTCTGGCACCCGCAGGGGAAATACGCTTCCCTTGTTTGTTGATTATCGGGGTATGCATATTTTTATTTACGGTTGGGTTCAGGATGCTAAACAGCTAGATCTCTGACGTCAATAGCCAGCACATTGTTTATTTTCAGTTGGATGTTCTGCTGAAAACCTCCAAGTAGTTTGTAAAATCTAGAATTCGTTTGAATGCAGTAGATTTGATACCTCAGCGTCTTCTTGGGTGATCGATGCTGCAGAACCACCTTTTTAGCGTTATTACATCAATTAATGTGCACGTTTGTTTGAAACTTGCTCTCATAAAGCTCGCTTCTCAATTATAAGTTGCTAACCTAGGTGGTTGGCGCCTTTTGTATCATTAGCATGTTCTGAGACAATTGATTTGCTAGACCTCCATTACAGCGCGAACGTCTTCTTTCGTCCACAAAAAGGTAATACCGTCAAATAGGGTGCTTTTAACATACTGTCAGACAACAGAGGTTATACCTCTACAGCACACCGTGCATCATTTGGATGTGTACCAATGAAACATTAATTGTGTCGTCAGATTTCGGAGTTTTTAACTCCTGTAATTCGATTATCTTGTAAGTAATATCACCTCCTAATGGCGAGCCTCGCTTGTTAATGACTCTCGATTCTAATATATTTGGCTGGTTGCTTTCGTTAAAAAGGAATTTTGTATGCTTAGGAGGTTCATTTTACGTCCGAATTCTAAAAATAGCCAGCTTGAGATGTGTGATAAGCCAAAAAGCCAAGGGGTAACCAGTTTACACTTGTGAAAGCACGAGATCGCTCGCTTTGGTGGTAGTGGTAAGTGTCACTTCTGAGAAATTCCCTAAACTTTGTTTCATAATCACTTTCACAGCGCTGCAGTAGCAATTGTTATAAACAGCGTGGTAGTTTCTCTTGTCGTTAAATCGTACGTAGTTCGTAATGTTCTTGAGGTGTAAACCATTGTGATCAATTTGTAGATTATCTCGAGTAAAACTCTCTTACACTAAAATTCGACTTTGCCTTCAATTTATTTTAAGGTCGGCTTGGAGAACTTCACCAATATTTGTTTGAATCTTCATAACATAGCAGTAACGTTGAATCGCAAGAGTTTGCAATGACATTATTTTGTTAACAAGCACGCAGTCTTGGTACTTTGCTTATTCGAAGACTTGTTCCAAGACCGGTCCATGACTACCTAACTAAACTCCTTGCTAGGGTCCTGTTTCTTAAGAAATATCTTTGAATCCAACTCCAAAATCTACACCTTTTGCTCATTTTATTAGTGTGTACGGTATGGGTGGGTTTTCGGCTCTAAAGATGCTATTGATCATTTTATGAGCATTTGTCATTTGGCTATTTGCAGGGCCATCGAGAGCCAGCTCGGGCCCAGGGGTGATTCACATAACTGGACCCCTTAAGAAAATTTCCTGTTGCCACGCCCTTCATTCTCCCAGAAAATTCGGGAAACGTCCTTTTTTTTAGTTACAATTGTTGAGAAAGTTTTTTAAGAATTTTTACAGGAATGTGCAAAAACATTTTACATGAATCAGGGACATGTGGATATTCTCTGTAATAAACTTACAGGAGCTGATTCCATTTAGGTAGCTGAAATAGCACCTTTTTGCATTATAAATAGATTTTATTACATTATTACGGGCCCCATCGGAGCACGGGCTCCGGACCTTTTGCCCCTCCTAACCCCCCCTCTCGACGCCCCTGGCTATTTGTCATAGGCTTCATACAGACTTTGAAATCTTACCTCTTCTCTGTACAATATAAGACAAGCTTTGATTCTTTGCAAAGCCATTTTCTGGACAAATGTAGCAATCGGAGAATTGACTGCTTACGCTAGAATAACAGTCAACGCACCTGCTTTCCCCGGGAGCAACTTTGGCAGTATAGCCAACAAGCATTATTATGTAACTGGAATCAACTTGAATAACTTGAAGCTCATAGATGTATAACAATATTGTTTGAAAGAGAATATTGGGTTGCTATCGCCATTCAGATAAATCTAGCGTAGTGTATCAAAGCATCTGTAAGCGCTGAAGAGCCCTGCTTTGTTTGTGAGTGTAAGGTTGGTTATGATGATATTGTGATAGGGTTAATGTTGGTAGTATCTTGACACCTTTTATCTGTAAGATGGTTTAGGGTAAAGTAGGCCCGAAGAAGGCGTCAAGTATTTTGTTGCATCTGTACTGATAGTTTCCAAGAAGTTTTTCATTCTTTATGTTTTAAATGAGGACTTTTTCATCAAAATTAAAGTTGAAAGTGCTTACAGCAGCGGAATTAACAAAGAGCACAGGCTAGCAAATGCTGGTAGCTGATGCCTTCAGAGCCATGTTAAGTACTAATTGGATTTTCTGGTAATAAAAGCTAATGTATAGAAGTATTGTTCTCTTCTAAACGGATTTAATTGAAGAAAATGAATGCGTGCTGGATACGTGCTCAATAGCAACTTCAGAGTTCCCGTTAATCTTTCAAATTGGCTGTAAAAATTTCAAAACAGTAACAGGTAGCCATTTTCCCAATCCAGCCAATCGAAGCTTTGAATCAAAATCCTGCAGGCCATTTTGAAAATTCCCCAGTCTAGGAGACCCTCGTTTACATTCCAGGCAACTTCAGTTTCTGATAAAGGATATTCCCCACTCAATATAATCGTGATTTTTGGT